TTGTTTGATAAAACCTCAAAATACATTTCGAAGAAATATTATGAATTCTTGTGGAGACCTGGTTAAATTGATTTTTTTATAATTACGATTTTAAAATGTTTCAACGAAACTATTTGCTTTCCGAGCAGTCGATCGAAGAGTATTTATTCATAGAACGATCATATCATGTGGACTGATATATTAAATTGCGTGCATTTAGAAAAATAATAAAAATAATAAACAAATACAAATTGGGGAGATTTTTACTTGTCCGGCTGATATGCTCCAGAATATTTGCATTATCTTGTAGATACACCGAATTGTGAATTTGGCCGAATACTTGATCCATGATTCTTCGACCAAAGCCGATTCCGAATACTAAAAACATTAATTTTTCAAAATGAGAGATAAGCTATTAAAATAAACAAAATAGTTGGCGATTTCTGTCCATCCAACAATTCTTTATCGAGATAATATTTAGCCACTTGTTCAAGTTCTGAAGTTGCACTATACGCCCTTAAACTGGCTACAGAATGTCAAATTTTTGCCAAAAGTTCTGTCAGGCTGATTTTAAGTGCTTTTCTACGTTTTGTTTAAAATTATGTTAAATGATGAATAAGACGTTTTTACATTGGAGGGGATAGTTTATTCAAAATCAGACTGCGTGTTCGTGTTTCACTGTTTAATCTTGTTGTAATGTTTTGCAACATTATAAAAATTTTCAATTGTGGAAATTCTAAATATTTCTACCATCTTCATTCCAAACCGGTATTTGTAATTGGTTATGGTTGAATGACATCAGCGCTCACTTGTTGCTACTTACAATTGAATGAACTAAATGCTGGGGACTGCAGCGTTATTTCTTTTACATTCTATTGTGTAGAAAGATGATGAAAATTTGGATGAAATTAACATCATTCCTCTTAAAAACTTCCATTCAGAACGTTGGTTGTTGGAAGCGATCTTAGCATATTAAAAACTTTGTAAAATTCAAACTGTGAATAACTGAGTTCTGATAAACGCTGTTGATATTATTTATATTAATGAGATGCAAATTTAAAAACCGGTAGTGTTAAAAAATATGTATGTATGTGTGTGTGTGTTTGTGTCTGTGTGTGTGTGTACGTATATGTGTTTGTATGTGTATCTTACAATGTACAAACATCACATATGTATGCAGGACATCACAATATGTACACAGATGCTCATTTAATTTAAACGCTTATTTCATATGATATAATGATCTTCTTGGATAAATATTTGTTTGTCTGTTTGTCAGTTACTTTGTTTGTTTGTTTGTTTGTTTGTTTGTTTGTTTATGTTGTTTATCCTTTTATCCACGTGACGTGCAGGCACGCCGCACACGCTAAACGCGCACACACATATATAAATATATACACATACAAACTCAAAATACATTATACACAAGACAAACAAAATGACTGACATATACATATATACATACATATGTTCATAGTTATATATATATATATATATATATATATATAGCTGTATGGGTAGTAGTTAGTAGAGTTATGTATAGGATGAATGGTGCGCATTGTATGACATGAAGATAGCAACAGGATATAAGCTGGTTGAACGGAAGTTAGGGCTTCATTCATTTCAAATACCTGCTACCGCATCAGCGTAGTTCTTCACTCTTTTTTTTTATTTTCTCTTCATTGTGCAGATTTCTTTTCGTCAAAGTTTTCAATTTTTTAGTTTCGTTGTTATTGAGTTCATTATTCTCGTTCGATTGAATTAGAAGTTGAAAAGGCAGGCGAAGATTCTTGCTTCATTCAGTTTGGTGAGGTGTTGGTTTCGTTTCGTTTCGTTTATTTTATATTTGTTATTTTACAGTTTACAGTTACTTATTATTGCACCGTTATAAATTTATATGGATGTTATATTAATTCATTTAATTTTTGACTCATTCATTGATTTAGCGTTAATGTTTTTGTAATTTATATCCAATATATATCGAATACTTGGTAAGTAGACCAATTGTTGAAAAATTAATTTTTTCAACTTTTTTTGTGAATGATCCTCTCTCTCTCTTTTGATGAGATGGCGAATGGTTTTGTGATTGATAGCATCAACATCAATTATGAGATACATCAGTTGGAAGATCTCGTCTTTTGAAGTAAAATATGCTTCTCATTTTTTTAAATTTAAAAAGTTTTCGAAACATACCGCCAGTCAATTCTCTTACAAACTCCAATAATTCATTGCACATGCAGTTTTATTTCGTAAACATTTGCATTAATATTTCTCCCAGAGAAGACTTGAATGCAAATGGTTTTCTTGTTATAAATGTGCGCGTGTATTTATTTTTAAAAAATTTTAAATTGTTCGTTTAAGAGCTAACATATCTATTAATCATTAAGTTAGTGATATTTTTCAATTTTGTCCTGCTGGAAATAAAATAAGATGATGTATAATTTAGAAGCACATGTTCAGTGGTTCGTTTATCCATTCTTCATTCGACCATACTGATCAGATGTGGAGTGGATGTATGCTGGAAGTGGAAGTTCTTGCTTGCACTCTTATCCTTATTGTTATTTGGTACTTCACTGAAATGCTGAGTAATGTAATGGTCCTAAGCTATACTTCTGCTTCCATTTTTATAGCGTTAAAATAGGAACCTTTATTTTGATTGACAGTTCATGTTTGTTTAAATTTTTTATAAGTGAAAAGTTAGCCGAGGATTGCATGAATAAGAATAAGTTAGTGTTTTTAAGTTTTCTATTGAAAACATTGGATAAAATGGCTAACCAATCAGTTAACATGAATGTTTTTTTTTTTTTTTTTTTTTGATGGCGAGTCACCTGATCAACGTATCTACTGACTTATTTAACTGAAAGTTTCTGTACCAACCGTTAAATAATAATTGAATAAATAATTGTTAAATAATAATTGAACAATTCTTTGTTAAATAATTGAACGTGTATGTGTTTTTCACGTTCAAGCAAATAAATGGCTGGCTATATAAACGGTGAAAATATTTAATAACATCTTAAATAAAATTTCTTTTAATTTTTATAATTCCGCTAAATTGTTTTTATATTTGAATTAACATTTATCTTAGCCATTTCTTACGTTTAGCGCCAATGTATGCTTTATAAATGAGCAGAACTGAATGTTTTTGTTGTCGATACCTGCCTTCAAGATAAATTGATTCGTGGGATTTCAACATTATTTCACGAGTATGATGTTTAGTGTTCTGGTTTGATTGATATATTTCTTCATTGTTCACCATCATCACCATTCAATTAACTGCTCTTCTTTATCTTTGTAGGATAGGTACGGCACTTATCTTTCCACTTATCTTTCGTATGGTCGGCAGTTGCAAGCCACGAATGACAAACACTGCATGCATACACTCCTTCATATGTTCTTATCTTTTGTTCAATCACATAATTATTTTAAATATATTTGTTTATGTATTTTATACACATTTGTATCGTTCTGTTTCCAATTATCTGATTATCAGCCGGTGGTAAGATAGGTTATATATTCCATGTAAGTGAATCAGCATACCTATTTCTGATCCTTAGATCTTATTTAAGAAGTATTTTGTTAGCCATCAACCTATTTCAATTTGTTGTCGTCGCAAGCCACCAAATGCATTTTATCATTTATTTATAAGATCTTTTGACTTTGCATTCAACAACCTGAATTCTTTTTTTTTTACTGCGCCTGTTAAGCTTAAACAATGCAGCCAACAAAGAACACTTTAAACTTTGACGGGTTTTTTAATTTTGAACTTGCCAACCGAAAGTAGTTTTTGTTGTTTTGTATTGTGTTTTTTTTTGTTTGCAATTAAATTTTTTTATTTATTTGCATGAATATTCACTTTTTAACAGTATCTTAATATTGTCATCGGCTGGTCAGCAACTCCTGAAACAAATAGTGGCAAACAACGAACGAATGAATGATGATTATCCAAAGATTGACTGATTGAGAATTTATTCATTTCATTTGAAATGCTATTTCTGCATTAGTTGCCGTCATAGTAGTAGTAGTAGTAGTCGTAGTAGTCGTAGCAGTAGTAGTTGTATCAGTGGTAGTAGTAGTAGTAGTAGTAGTAGGGTTTTTGTTGTTAACTTTGTCATAGTAGTAGTTAAAATGGTTGCTTCAGTTGTGGTAGCAGTAGCTCTTGTAGTCGTTGTAGTAGTTGTGGTGGGCTGATGATTAATTTGGTTTCCTTTGGTGGATCGTGTCTTATCTCAATAAATGATTGGTTCCTACACTGTACCACACATACATCCATCACCATTTGGGTACAACTAATGTCTACGATTTTCAAATATATGTGTGTGTGTGTCTGTGTGTGTGTGTTGGTGTGTGTGTGTGTTGGTTTGTGTGTGTGTTGGTTTGTGTGTGTGTGTGTGTTGGTTGTGTACGCTTGCTTGCACGTATGTGTTTGTAGTTAATAGTAAATATGTATATGTGTGCGTGTGTGTGTGTTGGTGTTGATTTGTGTGTGTTTGTAGTTAATAGTCATTAGACGGTAAATTTATCCAAGGTGCGGCAAAGCCAATGCGAATTCATTGTTTCAATGATGTGCATATGCTTGTATTACTGAACTTGTGTGGATTTTGCGTTATCGTTATTATCAAGTCGCACACATTTTGAAACGACACGCGTTGGCTCGGCTCTTATAACGAATAATATATTTTAGTTTATCATAAAAATTAAAAATTACTTTTTAAAATTACCCTTATTATGTGAGTAATTTTAAAAAGTATTGCAGCCTGTAAAATTAATTGAGACACTTTCATGCTTTTTTTAATCACAACTGATTCACTGGTACAATAATGTTATTTGTTGATTATAGCAATGTTATCAACCTTTCGACACTTATCTATCTTTATGAGCAGTTCAAGTCTGTTCACTATTAGATATGCTTATTAAACGTATTTATTAATATTTTGTCTGTCGTGCAAACTCATGTTTGTTTCATACACATCGTGTTGTTGTTGGTTTGCATGATTGATGTGAACATAAACATGCGACAGATTAAAGAGTGAGTATGGAGAGAGCAAGGAGAGGTACACATACACACTGGTTCTCGTATTTGCTCAGTGTCTCGTTCATGTACTCTTTGCTCAAACAGGTTTGTTTGTCCGTTTGTTTGTCTGTTTGTTTGCTTGTTTGCTTGCTCGTTCGTTTGCTCGTTTGTTTGTTTTGCAATGTTGTGTTGTTAAGTGTTGCTCTTGTTGGTTTTGTTGACGAGGCATGCACTGTGCGTAACATGCATCATTATACATTTGAATGCACATAAAGATTTGGATTTCATTTGCATTCGAACTTTGAACCTTCGCATTGAAGACGCTTGTTTACCGTTACAGCTTCTTACAAGTCTGGTAGCCTAGATGGCAGAGAAGTTGATCGTTCTTTTGTCGGCTGTTTTTTTAGCAGACTGGTTGATTATTTATGGTTGATTAATACAATGTTTTATTGGTTGGCTTTTGTTGGAGGATTGATTGATTGATATTGATTGATGGTTGGTTTCTTGCTTATTCAACAGTTTTTTATTTGGTTGGTCGGTCGGTCGGTCGGTTGGTTGGTTAGATAGTGCTGATCTAGTTGAGTTATGTGGCTGTTGGAGGATGGTTATGTATGAAATGATAAACAGAAGTTTGTGTTATCACAACATAATCACCTCTGATGATGCTGCTGCTAATCATAACTCAGTCAGACCACACTATCTCATCAATCCTGTTTCTCTGCTCCTTCTCCATTCATCATTTCTGTATTTCCTCCTACGGCATCATTTAATTCCCACGGCTGGCGGTATGGTTAGGACGCCTGGTACTGCTTTTCCAGTGACTGTTTTCCAATGCATGGAGGTCTTCGACTATCACGTGGAATTGTTGTTGTGACACGTTTTTCACGCATATTCACATGCGTTCCTTGTGTGTGTGTATGTTTGTGTGTATATATATATATATATATGTGTGTGTGTGTGTATATATATATTTGTGTGTTGTTGTTGATATTTCACCATAAGTAAGAGAGAAATATAACAAAAAATCTTCTGTGTGTGTGGGTGTGTGTGTATATGTGTGTGTGTGTGTGTGTGTGTGTGTGTGTGTGTGTGTGTGTGTGTGTGTGTGTGTGTGTGTGTGTGTGTGTGTGTGTGTGTGTGTGTGTGTGTGTGTGTTGATTGTGTTGATATTTCTTCGACAGGATTCATCTTTAATATCATCGCTTCATCGTCTTCAGTATCACAAAGTCATCGTTATCAGTATCAATCATTATGTTATCATCGTCAGCCCCATTGCCAGTTTTACTAACAGGGCTATCTCTGTAATCATCATCATCATCCAGGCCATTATCATGATTGGATGATTATTTTCTATCTTAATTATCATCATCAGAACCAAGCCAACGTCATCATCACTTATTATTATTATTATTGTTGTTGTTATTACTACTACTACTACCACTAATTTTACTACTACTATTACTACTACTACTATCATTTCATCATCATATCGGTTACTTTCAAGACAGCATCTATCGCCTAATGCTTTATCATTGTCACATCATTATTATCATCATCGCTAGAGATGATCATTATTATCTGTCATTATCGTTACAATCATCATTCTGTCAGTCAGTCAATCATCATTCATTCATTCATTTATTCATAATTTATATAGCGCAATTTTCGTAATGACCAATGGTGTCTTTTAATTTTTAAAAACGCAGCCAGTCAACGCGTGCATATGTTGAGAGTTAGCATGTGCATGAGGGACGGGGTAAGTGAGGGCTATCACGGTTGTGGCCGGGTGCCCTACCGTTGGATACTATCATTAGTATCATCAGCTGTATGCCCATCGTCATTTTATATTACCAGTATTATCGTATCGTCATCAGGTACTTTTGATATATATCTTAATCAGTCATCTATTTTTTCGGCACAATGCCATCAACATTCTTATCATCACAATCAACGTTAAGCATCATTTTCATTTGTTATCTGATTTATTTTTCACTTATTCTCGTGAAGCTACTTTCATCGCAATCTAATTGCACTCCTCATACTTTAATTGAAATATATTTGCACTCCTCCTCATCATTTTCATCGTCCGATTGTTTCAATCATGCACTCCTCACAGTCGCAACTAAATTATCATCATTCATCACTGCATTTTCGTTGGAGTCTGGTCATTACGACGAAGGACTGGCTAGCCAGATGTAATCATCGCCAGGTCGCCCCACCGGTAATCTTTCTAATTTGTCTTACTAGTTGTTATAACCACTTGTGACGATACTTTTTTTGCTAGCATCGTCATCAACGAATGATCATTTTATCATCTTCTTCAACATCATCGCCATCCTTATCCCAGCTTATCAATTGATGTGCATTTTTATGAAGGGGATGAAAGGTTAAAGAGCTCGCACATTTTTTAATATAATTCATCGCACACGTGCATCACACACGCATGCATATGTGTATACACACGTACACACTCATGCACAAATGTATGCACATACATACATGCAAACATACTATTAATTTGGGTTGTTTATTTTTGTATCTCTTCCGACACTGATGAACATTCATACATAGTATTGATGAATATTTATACATAATATTTAATTCCATTCAGGACAACGATTTGAATTACTTTTTTTTAATTTTCATAAATTTTTAAATTCTACATTCGTTCTTTTAATTGTTTTTATTTGGCCGTCCTTTTTTTAGCAGAATGTCTTGAAATAAAATGAAATGTTTCGAAACAAGTCCGAAGAATGTGTGCAACTCATCCAACCAAAATTTTACAAGACGGATTTGTAAAAAAAAATTTCTGGCTGATTGGGGGAGTGCACTTTTGTGACTGTTTGTTGACGGTTGGTTGTTGGATCAGTTGGGCCTATGAGTTGGTTGAGTTATATCGAAATAAAGTAGCTTCATGATCCAAACATGCATGCACGCACGCACGCACACGAACATACATCAGTCAGTCAGTCAGTTCACAATGTACGTTGATGTGTGCATTCTGAATTGATTGTTGTTCGTGTTGTTGTAAGTGTTGCACGCTGGTTGATCGTGATGTTCACGTGGTCGCTCGGCTTATCTATAACTCAGTTAGTTCATGGGACCAAATGTTCTACATTTCGACCGGTTGCCCGCGGTTAAATTTTTCTGAATATTTGTAGGAGGAACTGGGGCAGGACGGCCAGTTTTGCTTGCATGCTCCAGTGACGAAAATAAATATTACACTGGTATTATTATTATTGTATGTTTATTTAAACTAAGGTTATTTCGTTGTCTCTTTGGTTATATTTTTTTCATTTATTAGCTACGGTGCGGTTGCTTTTATTAGCTGAAATATTGGCTTTCATCTTCAAGTTGTCATCAGTTACACGTCATGTCGTCAGCATTACATCATCATCTCATTACCATCATGTCGTCACCATGATGTCAACCGCTAATGTGTTATTCTACTTTATGTGACTCATTTGACCATTTTTCATATAGTTTTGTAGACGATGAAAGATGATAATTAATATGAAATTTTTCAAATTTAAATTTTTCAAAATTTAGTACACCTATGTTGTTGGCCTGAAACGACTAAATCACTTTTGAATCAGTTTTCGGGTGATTTGCTAACGGGTTTTCATTTATTAATTTATTCATGTATCTATTCATCTATCTATCCATTCATGTATCCATTTGTTTATCCATCCATTTGTCAATTCATCCATCTATTCATTCATATGTCCATTCATGTATCCATCCATGTATCCATTTGTCTATCCATCCATCTAGCCATCTATCCATCTAGCCATCTCCATCTATATAGACATCTATCTAGTCGCTAATCAATACAACCATTCATGTATCCATTTGTTTATCCATCCATGTATCCATTTGTCTATCCATCCATCTAGCCATCCATCCATCTAGCCATCTCCATCTATAAAGACATCTATCTAGTCGCTAATCAATACAATGATAATTTTCTTTGTATGTATATAAACATTCATTCATTGTATATTAAGTGTTTGAAGGTTTATAAATAAATATGCACCATAGCAATAGTTATTCATATTATTAAAAACTGTACATACATGCTGTATTATATTCATTTGCAATAAATTACCATTATATGCTTCCAATTAAATTTCAAATATTTCTTTGTTGCTATCTCTCTCTCTCTCTCTCTTCCTCTCTTTTTCTCTCTATCTCTTTCTCTCTCTATTTCTCTATTTAATATTATATATGTTTAACACTAAGACGGTTTGATGAATGGTTTGATAGAAAGAAAGAGAGAGAGAGAAAGTAAGAGAGTGAGTGTATGTAAGAAAGAGTTATAATATATTGTAAAAATAGATTGAGTGAGTGATTAGATGGTTTGATGAATGAAGCGGACGGAGGGAGAGAGAGAGAGAGAGGGAGGGCTGTCTCGAAGATGACGAATCGGGACGAAACGAGCCAAAATTAAATCAATTAAAAATGGATGAATAAAAGAATAAACTAATGATAGAATAAATGAACAAATGAATAAAAGATTGAAAGAACGAAGGAAAGAGAATGAATGAATGATTCAATGAATGCAAAAGTTGAAGGATTGCTGGATGTACATGGATGGAAATACGATTGAAATGTTGTAGATTAAATTAATGCGTTGCAATCAATGTGTGGAGATATGGGTGAGGTCACTAAATGAGAGTTTGAATGAACTTGTGTCAATTTTAGGTGCGTGTGTGTGTGTGTACGATCTGTTCAATACGGAATTAACTAAATTAATCTAATCAACAGAGTTTGAAATGGAAGATTGTATGAATAAATGATCGATTGATTGAATGATTGAATGATTGATTGATTGATTGATTGATTGATTGATTGATTGATTGATTGATTGATTGATTGATTGATTGATTGATTGATTGATTGATTGATTGGTCGAAGGACCAAATGAAAAAGTTGAAAGATTGAATAAATCAATAGTAGACAAACAAATAGCAAATTATTCAGTGCAAACTAAATAATGTTTTGCAAGCTACCAAGTACCTGTTGAAGTGGTCATGTTGTTGCAGCTGATAGTCTTGCTTATATTGTTGCTGTGGCGTTGTTGCTAGGATGCGGATGCCACTGATTATGTTCTTGTTGGAGATGTTTTGATACTATTTCATCTGTTGTTTCCCTCAGACGTGTCAGTGATGACCTTACAAATGTTATACACTGACGTTGCTCGTGTTTTCGATAAAATCATTGCCATCAAGGATTACATCAATCAAATTAACATTACCAAGTGTTATATACTGTATAATATATTCTAACTCGCCAACTAACCCTGACCCTGCCACCCACCACACCACACAGCCATCAAAACACAGGGGGGACATGTGGAGAGTTCCCCACGCGTGCTCTTCATCATCATGTCGCTCAGTTACGTCGGAGCCATGCTGGCCAGCAACGACGCTCTCAGATATGTTAGCTATCCTACGCAGGTTATTCTTTGAGTTTTTTTTGGTTATTTTGCGGTAATTTATGAAAAATTGAAGTTAGATGGTGTTCCCAGCAAATTCATTTACTGTATTGTTATGGGAAGTCATCCGTTATTTTTAATTAACTTTGGTCGCATGTCAAAAAACAGACTCAACAGCATTTTTAGCGAGTGCGCCCCATTCATACACGCACAACTAGTTAACTGCGGGATGCTTTGTCTTCCGGAAAATTTTTCATTCCCTTGCGAATAACTTCTTCCCTCTAATCTCCAATCCTAATGTACCTGCCCCATCTTAAAACATTATCCATGTGTTGAATCATTAGAAGTGTCATCATTATTATTATTATTATTATTATCATTGTTGTTGTTGTTTATGTTATTACTCCATTTGAAACGTTCCCTATATGCCAGGTCCTGGGCAAGTCTATGAAGCCGATCCCTGTCATGATCCTGGGCGTGCTGCTGGCCCGCAAAAAGTACCCCTACAGCAAATACATGTACGTCCTCATGATCGTCCTTGGCGTCGCCATGTTTATGTACAAGCCCAAGAAGAACATTTCACCAACCAATCAGGATAAAGTGGGCGGGATCAGCGTGGGGTATGGAGAGCTGCTATTGGTCAGTGTTTTTGCAAATATTATTGGATGTCGTTATATATAAGAATAATATATATATATATATATATATATATATATATATATATATATATATATATATATATATATATATATATAAAGATCTTCATTGGCTGAATGTGGAAAAACGGATAATTTTTAAAATGTGTATCTTGATGTATAAAGCCATGAATGGAATCTTGCCCAGATATTTGTTGGAAATAATCAAGAAAAAATCAGTGACCATGGATGGCATTCGCTTGAGAAGTGATTGTTCAAATTTAATGATAGCAAACAGTGCTCACTTGTGTATTGGTGCACGAGGGATTGCTGTTGCGGGTCCAGTGTTATGGAATGGTATACCAGAGTCCCTGAAGAAGCCGGAAATGAACATGGATGCTTTCAAGAAGAATCTCAAGAATTATTTGTTTTCGATTTGATTTTTGTTTCGTTATCATGTACACGTACTCAAACAATTGTTTATTCTCTCGACTATAAAGTAGCGCTTTTGAAATTTTTTCTTTTTTAATTGGCGCTTTATAAATTTTTGAAATAATAAATAATAATAATAATAATAATAAATAATATATATATATATATATATATATATATATATATATATATATATTCAAATATATAACTTTTTTGCGAAATTATTTATGAAATTGTCATTTTATCTTTTTGAAATTTGCCAAAATTTATGTCAGTGAAAACGGGTTTTTGCAAACTCTGAATGTTGGTTTAGTAATCAGGTAACAAGACTTCTGCAGTATTTAGTGATTTTAAAAAACGTAAACTTATTTTTATTTGTAATTTGTTATTCTAACACGAAAAAACTGTTATCATAAAAACCAGTTGTTTTTTTTCACCACCATCTGCACTGTTAATTACTATCAAAATCACCATCATCTTAATCATCAAAACATTCAGTTGGTGAGTTTGTTGTTGGACGGGGTGACGGGAGGTGTGCAGGATAAAATACGGAGCCAGCACAAGATCAAGACGCACACCATGATGCTTCACATGAATCTCTGGTCATCACTGTTTCTTTTCATCGGTTGGCTGCTTTCTGTCATCGTTCATTGTTGGTGTTGAATAATTGGTCGACAAATTGATTGATTAATCACTTTAAAGGATGAATTCTCTGATTAAAACCTCCATTTTATAGTAAATTAATTGAACATTCATTATGACCAACGATCTGCGTTACTAACCAGCATAAACATTTCACATTGTATGACGTGACTAGCAAACTTCATAGGTCACTGTAAATTATCATGACCCAAAGTTGGATGACTAGCGTTAACCATGAGCTAGATGACGTAAGGAGTGACTTGGGTGATGTAACACGTAATTTAGATGACTTTAGACATGAATAAAGTGGCTTAACGATAACTTGGTGGCACAACACGGCTTATCATTTGACACCCTCCTCCACACAGGTCTCATTGTGACAGGTGAGTTGGTGAGTTTCATTGGGTTTGCATCAAGGCATCCATGGATCATCTTCCAGCTTCTCACATTTTCCATCTGCTCTGCTGTCGGACAGGTATTTAATGTAAACGTTTATTAACACAATTCTTAAGTACGTTTCTCTCTCTTGCTCCATTTTTTTAATCTATCTCTTTAATGTTTAAAAACATGAAAGAGTCCGTTTGAAACATTAACTTTAATGTTTAGAGTTTTCAGTCGATTTAGAGCTTAAGCTTTTTACAACACCACAACAGAACTTCATCTTCATGACCATCACGAACTTCGGGCCTCTGCCATGTAGCATCATAACCACCACCCGAAAGTTCTTCACTATCCTGCTGTCCGTAGTCATCTTCAGGAACCCGCTGAGTTGGATGCAGTGGTCAGGCACCATCCTCGTCTTCCTGGGCCTCTCCTTCGATGCCTTCTTCGGCAAGAAGAATGATGGCGGCAAATCTTAACATGGCCCTCTGTTAGAAATCCTTAATTAGACGCGTCTATTTTTTCAGGTTGTCCAGCATTCTGTCCCTAGAATTTTTAACACCTGAACGCGTTCATTCTCGTTAATAACTTTATTGACCGCTTATTTATCAGGCGTGCTGAAATTTATTTTCGTGTTTAACTTACATGTAGTATGTGTAATATCATAATGTTTGTGTTGTTTTATATAATCTTAGGCTATATATATATAGAATATAACAGAATGTTATATTTTATACGTATGTCTTAGGCATATTTCTTTGTTGATGAAATTAATAGATTCATGTTTATTTATATTTGAATATCTTGTTTGATGCTTTTTTTATTTATTAATTTGGATTATTAAATATTTTATGTGTGGTATGCTGGTGAGATTTATTTAATCTTCGATTGTACAATATAGCACTCTGGTAACTTAAACTGAATTCCATCTCATTAATTTCGAGGTAATGTGGAATTGTGCCAATTATTTCGATCATTTGTATATAACTTTATGGTAAAAATACTTTTGTTCCTTTAAAAAGTGACATATACAATTGCAATTGAGTTCAGTTCGTCAGAAAATATTCCCATTTTGATATATTACAAAATTGATATTGACACGACACATCGACTTGCTGTCAAATTGCAAATCAAATATATAACATGGTGTAGATTCTGTTGGATCTGTGTTGGATGAGTAGTTGCAGAATGATTTTGAGCTTATACATTTTCTGCTCATTACGATGTGATGGTGTGCTTGCTATTCTGTTTTGTGGATGTTTTACATTACTGTGTCGCGTTATGGTTTCTATAGGGATTTTGTTTACGCTGTTACATTTATAGGTAACATATTTTTGAAATTTTAGTCGTAAATTGTGCAAAAAAAAATGTAAAAATAGTCAGTTCTGTTCGAAAGCGATAAGAAATCATAAGAAAAGAAAGATTGCATTGTATTGAATTGGATATTCGGTCAATCATATTTAACGGACATTTTGGAGAAAATCATAGAGATTTGGAGATATTTAGATTGCATTTAAGATTCAAGTTTTCATAAGTTGAGAGATTTGCATTTAAGATTCAAGTTTTCATAAGTTAAGAGATAAGTCGTCTAATAAGTTAACGAAGCATCTAAAAAATATGCTCCATCAAAATTTTTCTCGCGATATAGTTATTATTCATGTATCAGTTGTTCTCAGTCTCATTAGCAACAGCCGCACCGTAACTTAAATCTTGAGATGCAACATCATCTTTCGCACTGTCAGCTGGTTGCAGGTCATTACGGGTTGACTTGTAGAAGGTCAGAGCTTGTGACTTGCCCACTTCAACATCAAGGCGGTCAATGTTCCAGCTAATAAAATTATTAAGTTTTAAATATATCTACTCAGATACAAATACGACTGAGACATGAGAAAATGAGTAGAAGAGTCTACAGAGGTGGAACATTAATAACTACATTAACGGTTACGTATTAATATTGCGTAAAGAAAAACAAAATTGAAGCAAACTATTTTTCAGAGCATTAAAACACAAAATTACTTATTAACCTGTCATGTACATCTTTTCTGCTGGCCCATACATGCAAGGCACCTTTCTCATTTTGTCCTTTTAATGGTATCTTCAACTTTTAAAACATTTATTCAAGTTTGAAAGTCATTCAATTAAAGCCACTAATAACGAATTCCTACACATGAAAACTGAAATTTCTGCTATTGAAACAAGAATTTCTTTGAAAATAATAAAACTCAATTATTTAACATCTGATGGTTTGTCAGCATTAATGCAAAAATTACATTACAATACATAGCATAATTACAATATGAATTACATGATAAAATTGTGTAATTAATATAGTTGAAAATACAAAATTAAAAACAAACAATTTTTCAAAACACTCAATCCATCACTCAGCAGCTGCTCCACTGAAATTCTTGTCATAGAGGTTGGACAACAGGTGAACAACGAAGTGAGCATTTGTGTTAGGTATGACACAGACACTTCGTTTAGGTATGACACAGACAACTTTTAAAATGATTCACGTCAATCAATCAAGCAGCATCAAATAAGTGATCAGTTTAGTGGAACTGACCTGAGCTTGAAAACCTGTACTCCATGTTGATCCATCCCACAGATGAAGGTACTTCAACTGAATTGGAGGTCCCAAGGCTTTTATGGCAGGCTCGTATCCATTCAGCAATTCAATTGATTTCTTGTAATATTCCTGCTGTCGAAAATTACCTTCAAATTTATAAAGTAATGGATTTTACAATTCAAATCATGTGAAACAAAAAAATTTCAAATCCTAAACTCACTTAATTAAAATAAAAAATGAAGAAGAGCAGTCTAAAAGTTTTGTAACTTATAAAAAAACAAACTACAGTACGTTGAAATTGAACATGGTGAAACCAGCAAAAAATAAAACACTCTTCTACTCAATACTTAAAAGAACAACATCATCAACAAAAACACTGACAGACTCTGAATTCTACTTTGGAAATAAGTAACTCCAACTATCGAAACAAAACCACCACCGATTGCAATGTTCAGCAGAGTTGATGTTGATGGCATACGCATGTTGTTACAGATGTAGAGTTCCTTTAGAGTTTAGTTAGGTCTAAATCCAAACCATGAATATTGTGAAAGATATTTTTAAATATTAATAAATAATAATTTACAAAAATTGATATGACTAAAACTAAACTAAATTAAATAAGCAATTAAGTCATATACTGCTAGCTATAGTTGCAATAGTATATGAGGGAATAGTAGTAAAAAATAATTCAATCAATCAATCATCATTTAGCGTCCAGAGACCCAGTTCTCCTGAGGTAGGACGTTAGTAAAAAAAATTAATTATAAAATAAAAAAATAATAAAAGTAAAAAATAATTATCATAAAAAACAGTAAGAAAAAAGACCATCAAACCAGAACAAAATGTTCTGTCATCAATTAATTGTAACATTTATCACTATATTTTTGCAATTTTATTAAAAAATAAAAAAAATGGTAAATTTTATTAACCAAACACAAATGCAAACGAAATGATAATTAAATATTAAATAAATAAGTTAAATATAATAGTCATAGAATATAACTTATAAGTATAAATAACATAATATATCTAGCTAAATTTTTCATTATATTAAAATTTAAAATTATTCTATTTAATATTATTTATTCTACCAAATAAATTAATAAATAAATAAACCAACGCCAACCCAACTAAACTAAATAAAATTTAAATTCTAATTCTCTCTCTCTAGTCTAAATCTAACTAACTACTTAACTAAATGACCCTTTTTCGGCTGTTTTTAATTTTAGTCAATCAAGTGCCTTTTAATTTACCCTTTAAAAAAAGTTTAGTTGGTTTAGTACTTTAACTTTTAACTTTTTAGAGCTGTAGTTGAAGTTGTGATCAGTGTTCTCCAGTCGGTTACAGGTTACTCAGTTACTGAATTAGAGCACAAATCGAAGACGTGAAAATACCTTGGAAAAAAAACAGTCGGAGAAGTATGAAAAGCCACTACGGAGATTTAATGCGGTGCTCAAATACTTGCAACAACACAATAAAAGTATCTATTTTATATTACCATGTATATTACCCGCTGTGTGTATCAGGAAGACATTACATTACATTAAATTACATTACAATGACGTATGTATGTATGTATGTATGTATACATACATCACTTTTACTGCATATTTCTTACATACTTCTTATAATCACATTATAATATATGATGACCATAACGTATATGTAGAATAAAGTATGGGTATAACATATAACCACAATCTATTTTTACTTATATGACAAAATTGAATTTACTTTCAATGATTGACCAGATCAACCAAAGGTAAATATATCTAGGGTTGTAATTTGGGGGTATTCGGGCGGGACTCGTTTTGTTACAAATTTTCATTTATTCACATGTCAGCATTTTTATTGAATAATTTTGCAAATGTCCTTTTTCTGTCTTCTTCTTTCTCGTGCCTTATCTTTTCAGGACATTGGCGTCCATCGACCTCCACAAAACCCGATCTTTAACACTTTGTATTAATTGAAATGTAGTGATATTTAACAAGTGACACAAAGACTTCACGAATGTAACACCCTAACCGTTTTAATTTTGTTGATTTTACTTTTGGTGAGGATGTTTTTAATTTTAGAATATGCATCTTTCGCCATAGCTATCCATCTTTTGATATCCATATCCCATTTACAACCTGAGGTAATCAGACTTCCGAGATAATTGAAGCTGTTGACTTGTTTTGCCTGTTTACCATTAATGATTATGGAGCAAATCGGAGCGGTTTTGCTTTTTCTGATAACCATGCATTCAGTTTTGTTGATGTTAATTTGCAAGCCTTTCCTTTCACTTTCAAAAACCACTTTGGAAACAAAAGTTTGCAGTTTTTCCATAGAATCTTCTATAAAAACTGTATCATCAGCATATCTTGCATTGTCCTTACCATTTCCAATTTGAATAATAATGCTAAATCTTTCATTGTTGCTTTCTGAATGATATTAACAAAAGAGCAACTACTCGTTTGTATTGGTGTTATTTGATAACCGGATCATGCGAAGTTCCGGCTATTTGTATTTCAGATTGCATAAAGCAAAACATTGACTGTGAACACAATATAACGATAAAAAAAGAGATTTCTGCTATATGCAAAAGCACGCTCCACAAAAATGACAGTGAAATGAATATCTAGGCAGCCACCGCGATATTTTCAAACCTTATTTCCCCTAGTCCAAACTCAACCATTAAAAAAATGTCAGTTACACCCTTCAAAAGTTTGAGCAGTTAACAACCCCAAGCATCGTACATAGGCAGGGATCTTTTTGTCATATTCGAACCCTGTTTGAATGAACATTGACAAGTGTCTGAACGAACCCGAAGATATAAAATAAAACATAGATAAAACTGAAGTCGACATCATTAACATAAATTCAATTTTGTTAATATAATACTTTAATATATTAATATTTTATGATAAGTTTATCATGTTTTATCATTGCTTATTTCAAAACATTTTTTGAAAGTTGGTACATCTTGTAGGCCTAAATGTCCAAAATTCTTTTCGTCTAAAGGAAGTATGTTCTCTTCATGTAGATATTATTTAAACAAAGTTGAATATTTTGCACAACATTACTAATGAAATTTCTCAATTTACCAAAATAACATAAGTCATAAAAAATGTTAAATTACAATTAAGATTATTTGTAGTGTGGAAAGCGAAGCGTGGACTGAACGTGCATTGCCAACTAGAACTTTGAGTAAAATAACAACGGTAATAAATAATAGTACCAAGGAAAAAATTGAAATGAAAATTTAAAATAAGAAGAAAGAAATTTATAAACAAATAAAATCCTAATAAAAAAAACAAATGATGAAAAATAAAAGATACATTTAAATGATCGTTGCAGAACCGCATAAAAGAGACAATGCGCAACGCTCCTATTGTATTTTTTAATTTCGCGTCTTATTCCATTCAACTTTCACTATGACAGAAGAAAATGTTAAAAGTAATTTTTTCTAAACATTGAAAAATTTAAAACATATTTCTATAAATTAACTAAAATTATAGTGACTGAATTAGCACCGAGTTCCACGTATCAACTGTAAAATAAGTAGAAGCAAAATACAAGTAACAAGTAAAACACATCAGGATAAATTTTTATGAATTGACTGCTAATAAATTTTTCTGAAATTGACGAAAATATACTGTACAGTTGCAGCAGTTTAACAAAGCCATCCAGGGTCACGCGTGTATAAAAAATTTATAGGTGCATGTATGAAAAATATAATAGGTGAATGGAAAAAAAAAGTGCATACTCGCTCACCATTCAAACAAACTTTTTATTCTGACAATAGAAAAAATGATAAGTGATAATATTGGTTGCTATATATACCGTGTTTCCTCGAATATAAGACAGGCATAATAATATAATATATTATTATGCCATTTTTTTCGACATCATTTATTTTTCCCAAATACAATAATATTTTATTCAAATACAATAAGATCATCATCTTCTGGGATACCATCATTTTTTTCCAGATCAAGACCTTGAATTCCAGCCAAGATTTCATTTGACTCCAGCTCCTTCAGTATCATAGGTCCCAATCTATCGTGTTTTGCGATGTAGCTCGCTTCAAATGGCGATGTTTTGTCCAAGTACCCTGCTTTCAGAGCCTTTGCAACACAGCTATCAGTGACTTTGCCCCATGCATTCCTTACCCAAGAGACTACCTCCTGCAGATTAGGCTTCACGAAGTTGTTATTTTTGTTCCTTGACATCCTATTCTCAATATAATCATTGATTTCAAGTCTGAGGTAATCCTTGAAAGGCTTGTTTATTGCAATGTCCAAGGTTTGGAGGTAAGCAGTCATCCCTGCTGGGATCATAACCTGATCAACCCTTCTTTTTGCCAAGAAGTTTTTCATATCCTTTGCACGAAGAGTGCTTGCAGAGTCCCAAATGAGGAGACCTCGTTGACTTCCTTTTAAAACAAGTGGCAGCATAAGGTCCACCCATTTTCTTATTACATTCTGCGTACTCCATGCCTTTTCTGATTCCAAAACATAAACTCCTCCCTGGCATTCAATCTTTTCTTTCTTTCCTTTGGTAATAAGAAGTGGAGCAGCTTTCTTCCCATCCAGACGAATTGCCAAAATGCAGGTGACGCGTGCACTTTCATATCCAGTTGATGGTACATAAATTGATGAAGCTCCTCTGAAGTCGACTGTCTTTTGAGTGTCCTGATCCATGTAAACAGCAGTCTCATCCATAGCAATCATGTTGGAAAGCTGATACTTTGAAAAATCCAAACCATCCATGAAAGACTTGAACACGAGAGCTCTCTTGACAGCTTCTTTATCCTCAAGCTTGAACAGTGTTGTTGATCTTCGTAGTGAGAGTTCATACCGCTGAAGGAAGCGATCCAGCCAACATTTTGAAGCTTTAAACTCCTCAGGAGGGATGTCAAGTGTAGGAGCCATCTCGAGAGCAAAAGCTTGAATCTCAGCTCTGCGCACAACCATACGGTTTTCTCTCTTCTCAGCAATCCAGTCAAAGATGATGTCTTCTAACTCTAGAAAGAATGGACGATTTCCAGAGCCACATTTTTTTTTTTTTGCCTGCCCATCTTCAACCTTTTGATTGAGATCATCATACTGTGCTCGCCATTTCCTAACCATTCGTACGTCCAACTTCTTCTCTTTGCAAAATGCAGTAATATTTTGATCTCTGCATTCTTCCACAATTCCTTTTTTGTATTCGACAGAGTAACTTTTCCTCTTGCCACTCATCTTAAATATGGGCAAAATGTTAGTTTATTTAAATAGAAAAAACAACCCTTACTTTGACAGCTTTGTAACCTCAGGATATGCTTGAAGGAGGAAAAACAGTTCGAAAAACGAAAAATCCTCGAAAAACGAAAAATCTTGCAGCAGTTGACGTTTCCGGTGTGGTTTTGACAGAAGTTTTTGTTGTTGTCAGCTGATTCATACTAGAAATTATAATCGAGGGAGGGCTTATATTCGAGGGAGGGCTTATATTAGAAAAATAGACAAAAAACGTGCTAGGTCTTATATTTGAGGGATGTCTTATATATGAGGAAACACGGTATATATATATATATACATATACATACGTATATATATACATACATATATGTGTGTGCTTATGTGTGTTTGTCTGTGTGTGTGTTTGTGTGTAAAATTTAGTATAAGGTTTGCGATAAAGACATGCACGCATGTGCCTCTTACTATGACGTTAATGCACATTTTATTGCTAGGTTCGCAGAAGTAAAATGGGTTAGATTGTTTTTAAAAGTAGCGTTTTGACGAATATTTTGTTTTAATTTTAATTTCCTCTCAGTTTTTTATAAAATTCATTTATTTCAAGTTTAAATTCATGTCTGAATATTTTTCAAATTTTTAAAGTTTTCAATAAATGAGAAGATGATAAGATTCTTAATAATCTTGCACATTTGGATGGTGTTACATCAATTGCCAGCGTCAATATCATTAGATTTTTCTCTTTCCACCTGGCAATATGGATTCTGGAATGAAGAATTTCATGTCTGTTCGGAAGATTTTCTGATAAAAAGTACGGTTATAGGAAGCAGTGCGTTGGAATGTGCACTGATGTGTGCTACTTCGTACTCACCGTGTTCATCTTTCAATTTTTTACCCAATGAAAATGCTTGCCAACTTTTTCCATACTTGTCGAAACATTTCAGCGTTGGGGGCTCAAATAATAAAAATTGTTTGTACTTTTATATGGTAGGTTGCTGCTGTTTTAACTTTTTATTAAAAATTTTAATTTAAAATTTTAACTAAGAAAATGTTGTTTAACGCAGCTGCTATTGATAATAAAATTTGCAGCAGTAATAAAAATACAAGTCAATATAATAAAACCACTGTAATATTTAATTTTAGAGCAAAGATAATATTCTACAAAGTTTGTTTTTTCATTTTCAATTTAATTTCTTTTTAATTGTTTTTATCGTTTATTCATCAAAGTTGTTATCATCACGCTCCTGTGTCGAATTTGCATGAAAAAAATATCCGACTTAAAAAATACCCGACAATGACGCACAGGGATAGTGTATGTGACTTTTCTCAAATCAACCATCACTGCACCACGGAACATGGAGTGGCGTCTCTTCCAACTACACCGCCACGTCTCTCATATTATTATCATAATGTATAAGCATCTTTTTTTTCTGATAACTACCATTCAATCATTTTTTTCGGTAAACGTTCCTGTCTTGATAAAAAAACTCATTGTGATGGATAAGATTATTTGTAATTTCAAATGATTTTGTGTTCTAAAGTCTTAAGTTATATACCGTAACAACCAGCCAAAGTTTTTCTATACAGAATATTGTTTTAAACTTCAACGCTCGTCACTACCGAGACCAATGTTATAACTTCAAAGATCTCTTATTTCCGTCACCACTGTTGTAGCTTCCGACGATCGTCAAATGTTCTTTATTCCGTAGGTTCAAGATTTTCGATAGATGGACACAATTGCATCAAAGGCAAACTTTGTTGAGCGTTTATTTGAATGCCAACAGTAATAGAAACAATAAACTTCGCTTTCTCTTCCCTTGTAACCTCCACTTAAAGCCTACTGTTTGTAGGACGTATTTAATAGTCGGTTTTACAGCCATAGATACGATATTTCTTTACACTCTATGGTTTACAATTCAAAAATTACAAAGATAACAATAATTGAATAATAAATAGTATAGCGCAATTCTATCATTCCCGCGGTTATAACAATAATTAACTGAAATTAAACAAATAGCGCAATTCGATCATTCCAGTGGTTATAAAAATATATACGTTGAAGTTCATTGATCCGTAAAAATATATTTATTGAAACTGAAAATTTTTTTAAAAGGTAAGTGACGAACCACTGAAATATGTATTTAAATTAAATTTAGGAAATTTGGCCAATCTTGCCATCAAGAGAACAACATTTTCAAGTTCAGTTTATCAAAATCCATTATCTCCAACAAATCATGCAGTAGATGGAAACAGAGGTGGTGTCCTTCTAACCGATGGATGTTTCCACAGTGATTTACTTCCACCGAACTGGATGGCAGTTGATTTGTTGGATGTCTACGCTGTCTATTATGTCATGCTAGTCAGCCGAGCTGATTGTTGTGGTTGGTTTCGTCATCTAATGCTTTCCTATAAAACCCTCTATTGTAGTTTTTTTAAACTTTTTAAAACTAAACCAAAACAACTTTGATTAACTATAATCTTTCCGCTATTTATAAAACATTTGGCCTAATTAATTATAAATAAACAACCAAGGAGAAAGATTAGATAATTACAAAGTTGGATTGAACAGGAGCTTGGAACCTGTTGCCGTCAGATGGAGCTACGATATTTGTGGGCTATACCCCAAAAAGACAGAAGCTGCCTTCTGGTACATAACTCTATGCGAGAGTTATTTGTATGGACACAGATATCTCATTGTGCAGTCAAATGACACTCAAATGTTGACTGTTTGCGAGTTGGAGGTTTATGGGCAGTTGTTTGGCATTTGAAACAATATTCTTCCAACAAATAAATTTCACGTAGCTTCATTCTACAAGATTTTTCATCGTTGTTAAACAGTTTATTACAAAAAATTTTCAAGACCTAAATTGTGTCCCTATAGTGAATTTTAATTTTGTTTTTTGATTGCAACAACTTTAATAGAATGTTTTCATGAAAATTAAATTAGAATAATTTCTGCCAAAAAAGCAAATTATTTTAGTTGTTTCACAATTTCGTAATATTTCACTTTTCCTTTAGCTTAAACATTTTCTAATACAATTACTCCATCGAAAACCTTTGCAAGAAGAGCTCTACTAAGGCCATCGCTCCGTTGGTTACCCAAAAAACGATATATAAAATTACATTCCAGTGAATAATAAATAAATAAATAATTGAGTGAATGAATAAATGAGTGAACGAATAAATGAATCAATAAATAAATTAATAAATAAATGAATAATAAAACTTTTAATACGGCCATAGTCGCATGATTGATGTGTGAGATGATGGGTGATTGTGACGTCAAATAATTTGATACCTGAGTTAACTGTTTTGAGTACCTGAAATGCTTGCAGTCTTTTTGTTATGATGTGGTTTACCTGAGGTGCTATGCTGAGTGTGGAGGTGAAAGCAAATAATGTCAAATATTTTTTTAATTGATTCGTGCGAGTGATTGATGGATGTTCTGAAAATATGTTATTCTCTTTCGACTATTGTGTATTTTCGATTGATTTATTGAGATTAAGTGACAGATTGTATTGATTGTTTTGACCATGTATGATAATTAATGAGTTGAGTTCTAGTTGGATGTTGTTTGTGTTAGATGATGGGCTGATAAGGTAGGTAGGTGTCGTCAATATATTTTATGATTTTATCAGAATTATAAATAGTTATAAGATTTGAGGCATTGATGATAAAGGTAAACGGTCTTTAAACTAGACTAGAATGCCTATATATAATTATAGATTTTTGAAAGTATCTGTTTTAATTTAGCATCCAAATTTGTTATTAGATATAGTATAAAAAAGTGTTTTAACGAAGCATTGAAATATTTTGACCGTATACATTTAATTATCACTATTTTAATATTTTCATTCTAAAATCACTCTATAACTCAGTCTTTATTTCTGACTTTCACAATTAAGATTATATTTAAAGTTGAAAATGCTGTATATTTGCGAAATTTATAGACTTTTTAATTTTATGTCTTTGGAAATAGAGTAATATATCCATTGTTGAGTAGCTAGTGGTTATCGCTCAGTCGGCTCTAGTTTTAAAAGATTTAACATTTTTAAATATTATTATTATTATTGGTAATAATAATAGTTATTATATACCAAGTATAAATGTGGCTCTTATTTATTTAATATTCTCATTTTGACATTCTCAATTTAACTTTTCTTCATATATTATTTCTTATCTTATAAAAATAAAATAATTATAAAAAATTACTGACAATCAAAACTCAACTTAGCTAAAAGTAAAAAAGCTTTTAGAAACTATGGCTGGTTTGGAAGAATTAGGAATACCCGGACCATCCACCGTTAGAGAAGTTCTGTCAAGTGATGAAACCTTGTCTTCCATTGAAGAATTTCAGGTTATTATTTGGTTATTTTTTTAATAAAATTTTCAATTGTCCTCTAAATTATTTAATTAAAATAATTAAATAAAAAATTGATAAATTAAATCTAATCTAACTAAATAAATAAGACCAAATCAAATCATTCCTGTTTGATGTTTTAATTTTGTTTGGAAGGCAACTATTAGTTGAGTTTACATTACATTACAATTACTGAATTAGAAGTTTTCCCCTGCCTGAAGTTCTGTGTGATGTAACAGTCGGTAGAACCTGAAGGTGGCCATAAAAATTATAATAATATATTTATTTATATATATATATATTATTATGATAAATTTATATAAAGCACCAATTAAAAAAAGTTTTCATAAGCGCTATCAGTAAGTTTACAAACGAAGACAAAAATAACTAAAATAGACATGGAAAAACAAAATGAAAATCACATTGAAAATATGTCTTTACACTATTCTTAAAAGTATCACTAGTTAATCACATTGAATATAAATATGTCTTCAAGTTCTTCCTGGAAAATGTCAGTGGTAAATCCTGGCATTCGCAATGATCCAGGAAGTGCATTCCAGACCCTTGGATCAAACACACTAATGATATATATATATATGTTATATGGTAAAAGACCATAATTAATGCAGTAATTTATGAAATTTACTGATTTTCTAATGTTGGTTAGTTTTTTATTTACATTTCTCATTATTTCTAACCAAATTCTTGCTATCATTATTTATTTGTTTATTAAAAATGGTTATTTGAGGTTTGGTGTTATTTTTGTTGATGGAAGAACTGATGGTGACGTGAAAATAGTCTGATATATCATAAATGTGAACACAACATAATGCTACATGCTGATGTTATTATATGCTGCATTACTTTTGTTTATCGTTTCTGGAAAATTGTATAGTCAAAGACGTTTTTTGTTCTGTTAACCACGGTGAATGGTTTGTGGTTTTTATCGATGAAATTGTCCATCTCACCTGCCCATGTAACACTGTTGCCAGTTAAATTATTGTCAATGACATTGTGTGGAATGTTAATATTGCTGGAAAAGTTGAATGCATTCTTATTAATTTTAACTTTTGGCTCAACGTTATCAGGTTGTTTTGAAAATGCCTGCATTGTTTGCAGCTGTTGTTTATTCAACATGTCTCTTATTTAATTTGTTATCACGTCAAAATTAATTTTCATTATATTGTTCATTTTCTGAATTTTAGCTACATGTATATACTCACAAAAGTAAGACATTTATCCCAAAAACCTGATATTTTTCATGACTTTCAACAGAGAAATGACATCCATAAGTTTTTCCTTTTTTGAAGCTCCATGAAATGTAATTTTATCTGTTTTTCACATTTTAATGTTTCGAAATCTCCTTTCAGTGGTTTTGTAGCCAAATTAATATCTTCAGTTCTGTAAAATTCGATTGTATTAGTAACAAATATATCTTCATCTAACAAACCAAAATTATTAGACAAAAAATACAAAAGTTCGTTAGCGATAAAATTTCTGGCTGCCATTTTTATACACACATACATACTGTTTTGTTAATAAACATATTTAGAAACATTATAACGAGCAATTTAGTATTGGTGGAGAATACAAAACCACATAAAACGGTGAAGAATCAATATTATATACAGTTAAACAAATTATGTTGAACACCAACCACATTCAACATTATAATACATAGATTTTTACATACATACATACATTTTTACATATATACATGCACACGCACATACACACACCACACACACATACATACATACATATTTACATACAAACAAACATCAGCATAAAGTCTAAATGAGGCAAGAGTTATTCAGGGTTTTGGCATAATTGTCCGACCCAGAGAAGTACCTATCTCTTCAAACGTTTTTCTACCCCACAACGTTAAATTTCCGTATCAGCAGCTAGAACAGAATCCTTAAGTCATCCGCACTATATAGTAGAGTTGAAACAGTTTTGGCCCAGTTTGAACCACCTAAAAAATATTCTTCGAGACGCTCAAAATCGGCTTCTTTCTTCATAGGTAAAGAAATTTCAATCTCTGGCAAGTCTAAACTCGTGCTTACAGTAGTTTTGTCGCTGATGAATTGGTTCAAAGGCGTATCTCTTAAAATCCACTCAACTTTTTGGTCTAGTTTGAAAAGAAAATTTTCCATAATTAGGATTTTTTTTAATAGTTGCTCATAATTCGGAGATGCAAAGTAGCTGTATTCCTGTGGATGTTGATCCATATTGTTCCCTTCTTGTTGCCACAAATGCCTGCTCGCTTGGCTCCTCCAAACAGTACCTCATCAACCTAACTTTATTGAAAGACCTTTCTGATGGAATCGTGAGCAAAGATTGTAATCCAAGAACAAAAAAGTATGTTTGAATTAAATTAACTTTGAATTTAGTTTTACAATTAATTTAAACACATTTTTACTATCAAAGACCATCAAAAAATTTGTTTTACAAAAAAGTCTTTTTTAAAAAAAAAAAAATAAAATCTGAAATTTAATTAAAAATTTAAAAAAATGAAATGGATGTTTAATTTGGATAACCACATTTTTATTAAATTTTCATGATGAACTTGGATAACAATTCTTTTTTCAATAAATTGAACAATTTCTAATAAATTCTAATAAGGGAAATTAAAACAACAAACTTTAAATCGAGTAATGCCAACAATTCGATAAAATTCATACAATGCTGTGCATCAATCAATCAATCAATCTTCGTTTAGCGTCCAGAGACCCAGTTCTCCCGAGGTAGGACGTAGGTAGGACAATACTGTTTGTATGTATGTAAGTATATATATATATATATATGTATATATATATATATATATGTATATATATATATATATATATATGTATATATATATATATATATTAGGAATGGGACGGATCCAAGATTTTGGGATCCGTGGATCCGAATCCGGATCTCGACGATGGATCCGGACGGATCCGAATCCGGATCCATGTTGTATGCGGTCATAAAACTAAATAAGCTGTTTCTCTGACGAACCAAAGAAATATTTTTTTTTCGTATTTGTATCAAGTTAATTGTAATATTAGTTATATTAAACACAGTAACAAATAGCATTATTCATTATAATTTATTAAAATAAAAATTTTCACAATCAATAAAGTGGAAGTTTAATATTACATTATTCACTAATCAATCAGATAGTTTTATTCTAGGCAAATTAACTTTCAAAAATGTTAACATTTCAACATTATCCATTAACAACCGATGGCGACCTTTTGTAATCCCCGATGAGACCTTGAATATTCTTTCTATGCACACAGTGCAAGGTGGTGGCGTTAAGTATTTTTTGGCTATTTTTGATAACAGAGGATACTGATTGCGGCAGTGGTTCCAAAATATTAATGGATCTTTATCATGGGAAATTAAAGCTTCTTTCAAATATTTTTCAATTGTTGTCCTTGGTCCATCCATTTTTTCATTTTGTGAATTGTGTGATTGACCAGCAATAACATTATAGGATGACCACAAGCTTCCATCATCTGGCATTAATTTTATTTTTTTTGCTGGTTGCTCAATTTCAGTAGGCCCAACAGCATCAGTTTCAAGTTGCATATATTCTTGAATAAGATTATCTGTCGCAGTGACTTTATGAATTTCTTTCAGGAAAAATTTGTCTTTAAATCGCGGGTCTAACATTGTTGCCAGTGAATATAATTTATTTTCACCAAAATTATTAAATCTTTTTCGCATCTCATCCAATAAAACTGCTTTTAATGTTAGGACACCAGCCTCACATGTATTTTCTTGTAGTTTGGTTTCTATCAATTTTATAATCGGAATGACCATTGAAATTGAAACACTTTCACCGCTTATCGCATTAGTAGCTTCAGCAAATGGTGAGAGGACAGTTATGCATTTTTCCATTAATTGCCATTCAGTTGGTGTTAATGACACCGGTAAATCATTCTCACTGCCATATTCAATTATTGCTCTTTTTTGTTCTCGCAGGAGTTCCAGCACGGAAAGACACGTATTCCATCTGGTTGGCTCTTCTTGAATAATACAAATTTTCTGCATGGGTAAACACCATTGCTCAAGAACAACATTAAAAATCTGTAAAATTTTAATGGCTGTATGTCTTGAGTGCATTGGTGCAACATTCAAGACAAACATTTTCCTTTCGTATGATGTGGTTAACCAATGTGCAGTTATCCCAAAGTAGGATTCTGTTGACTTTGATGTCCAGATGTCCATCGAAAGAACTACATCCTCTGCATCATTCATCTGTCGTTTGATTTCTTCGGTAATGGACTCCTGTTAGAAATTGCAAGTTGAAGTTCAGATAAGTACATTCTAATAACAAATAACATAACATCATTAAAAAAAAATTATTTGGCTTAAATTAGAATTTAAAAATTTTATATACAGGATATAATTTAAAAAAAATAAATTATAAAATTTTGTTGAAATTGAAATACTTTTAATTTTGGTAACATCTTTTCTGTTATATACCGTCGACATGGGAGAACATACTTCGGAATAGCAATTGAACAAAAATGATTAAAACCTTCGTCTTCCACTATACTCAAAGGTTGCATGTCTATTGCAATCATTCTAATTAGCGCAGTAGTTATGGCCTTAGACTGTGGATTATCTGCACTCCACTTATCAGACCTTTGAAAACCTGCAACTATTCCTTCTTAGCGAAGCTGAGTTTGTCCATCAGTAAAAGTTGAAGGCTTTGTTGTTGTCACTTTTTCACTCTCCTTTTGCTGAAGATTTCGAAATTTTTCAAAATGCTTGGTACGAAGATGTTTACGCATAGATGATGTACCACAGTCATTTACATCTTTTGCGCCGCGTGATAAAGTTATAGCACAGGTATTGCATCTAACTTTTGTACCATTTTCCAATACTGAAAAATATTCCCAAACCAAACTTTTTTTTTGTTTGGAATCCATCCTTTACGTTCACGTTACGTCAAGTTAATAAATTACCTACAAATGTGCGCACACCTCAAACGAATTCTAAATGGCGGATCGAAATCCAAAGATACTTCATATAGGTGTTTAATTAATCCATGATATAGCATAGCATGAAGCTGAATTTCTAAAATAAAAAAGTTTTTATTTTTAAAATGTGCAATAATGGATTATAAAGTTTACAAAAAATCAAATTTTTGTTTTGAATGTTAAATTTGTAGAGGTGCAAAACGAATCTCAAAAACATCAGTTTTCATAACTTTAAATGATTATTACGTAATCAATGTTGATATTTAGATTCACTTTTTCCCTCAATCGATAAAATTTTCTCGCCGCTTAAGTTGATTTTGGACCCGTAATCCTCAATTTAGGATCCGCGGATCCGAATCTTTTCCGAATCCGGATTCGGAACCGTCGCATTCCTAATATATATATATATATATTTGTGTGTGTATGTGTGTGTTTGGATAGGCTGGACACGTTTCAAATTTATATTTGAAATTCAAGCTTAACAAGAGCTTATTTGATACATATTTGTTTACAAATACTTTGACGAACCAGAAGACAGTGGCGGATTAACGCACAGGCACAACAGGCACCGGCCTGGGGCGGCAAATTTTGAAAACTAGTTATTTAAAAATATTCAAGTTGAATAAAAATAATTATTGAAATTGATACTTTAAAAGGCTTCAAACCAGAATCTCGTGCTGAGGCTAGAGGAATTATTTCTAATTTGAGTTTTCTTGAAACCGGAATTATGCTAGAATTGTGGGGTTTTGTTTTAGAATGTCTGAACAAGTCTAACGTCAAACTTCAAAAAGTAGACATTGATCTATCGACTGTAATCGAAATTTATTGAAATTGATACTTTAAAAGGCTTCAAAACCAGAAAGTCACTTTTAACGTTGCTCAAATCACTCAGAGAAAGATTTGAGGATTATGGAAAAAAGGAGAAGTCCTGTCTTCAGTTGATGACTACAAGGTACCGCCATTAAGAAAACGGAAGCGGCATTACGACGAATCGATTGACAATGAAACAGAATTTACCACTCGAGAAAATTTTCGTGTAAACATATTTTTGGTAATTGTGGATAACTTAAATTCTGAAATGAACAAGAAACGAAACGCTTATGTAGAAGTTAATGAAAATTTCAAAGAAATTGTACAGTTCAAAACATTGTCAATGGGTGAGTTAGAGATTGCAGCAGATGGATTAAGATCTTTATTTCCAAACGATCTAGACGACACCTTAAATACTGAACTGTTGCATTTAAAGTCTTATTAGGCTACGTTAGACCAAAATGCAGTTCCACACACTCCAATTGATTTGTGTAAATGGATAAGATTGAATGACTTGCAGTGTGTATATCCAAATGTAGACATTGCTCTTCGGATGTACACTTTTACTCCGGATGTACACTTTTACTCCTGCTACAAACTTTTCGGCCGAGCGATCTTTTTCTTGTTTAGAGCGCGTTAAAAACTATTTGCTTTCGACAATGTCCGAAGAAAGGTTAAATTATCTTGCAATTCTATGCATCGAAAAAACAATTTTGCAAGATTTAGACATTAATTTCGTTATTGATGAATTTGCGCGCAGGAAGGCACGTCGTAAAGTTTTGAAATAACTTTTATAAACTGCAATGAAAGAAAATATATTTTTTAAAATTGATAATATTACATTACATGAATATTATTAAAAAATGTACCTAATAAAAATGTTTTAACAATATTGCGTTTATATGAATTTAATTTCTAAATTTATTATAAAATTTAAAATTGGGGCGGCAAACCACGAGTGCCTCTAGGCGGCATTTTATACGGCAAAAAGTTTAATCCGCCACTGCCAGAAGAGCAGTGAGCGGGAGAAGAAAAGAATAGTATTCGTTTGGATAGGCTGGACACGTGTGTGTATATATATGTGTGTGTGTTTGTGTGTGTGAATAAAAAAGAATAAGGCCGGGGCGTAAGCAATTATTATTAAATTCTGTCTGCAACAGAATTATGATTTCTAATGGTATTTTTTAATTTGTTATTTATCTAACAAATAGACAAACATCTTTTTAATGTTCATTTTAGTTTTTAATATTATAAAAACAACAAATATATTAAAATAAAATATATTATATTAAAACGAATAAAATTAAAGTTAACTTATTTAAACCAAGAAAACTTTTCCGACAGAATTGTCACCATCACTACAGTAACCAATATAAACTAAAAACTAAACAAAATAATAATACATTGAGTCTTGAATGTAATTTCAATAAATATATTACTAGTTACATGATCTATTCCTATTGTAAATTAATCATATAATGAAATGATTGATCTTGTTGAACTGAAAACTGATGGTGAAGGGAAGATGATGATGATGATGATGACGACGATGACAACAAAATCAATTTTTTTAAGCAAATGTGAAAATATAATGTTGGTTCTATTTAAATGGAAAAAAAATTTTACTCAAATGAGTTTTGTTTCTCCTGACAGGTTTCCAATGGCATCTTATTGCCGTCTCTACAACCAGCTCTGCCCCTGCTGGATTTGCATAAAGTACCTCGCCTGGAGTTCCACCAGTCAGTCCTGGACGAGATGAAGGAGCGCATGATCAGTCGCATCAAAGAGATTGCAGCCGGACCAGACAAGGGAACCAAGTATAGAGTGCTGAACGAGTTGCTCAACAAGTGCATGCCTGTCATCAAAGTGAAGGTGCTATATGTCACCTAGCTTCACAACTAATAATCTGTTTAAATTCTATTGCATCTGCCAAAAAAGTATGGTTCTTCTGCACAACATTTTTTCTTGACTACCTTCCCGCTAATGTTAAAAGTTGCTCTTGAATCATGTATTTGTTTTGTAGAAGGTAACATGATTTTTAAAAGAATTATTTTAATTGTCAATTATAATTAACATTCTTTCCACACACAAATTGCAGTTATTAAGGCCAGTAGTCATGTGTTTGATGCAGTACCTGCCGAAGATCAAGTCCGAACATTTGCAGATTGTCGTGTCGAACAAGGAGCTCTATGATGAAGCTGCCGTCGAGGTGAAGCAGCAGATATGGGAGGGAGATCAATCCTTGTTTGGGGAGGAGGTTTCACCACTGCTCAGAAGGTCTCTTGGCATTTTAGCTCTATAGCTTCAGTCATTTATCGATATCGATTTTATTAAATTTGAAAGTTTCACATCTCTATAGCTGTAAATATTTTTAAAGTTTGATCAAATTTTATTGAAATTCATTATTTCCAGCTTCAATTGAACATACATGCAGATGCAAAACTCAAAACTTGGAAATGTTGAAAAAACATTAAATTACATTTTATATATATATATGTATAAATAATCACCATTTAATTATAAACACCCATCCATCAACCAGCTATGTTGAAATGAAGGAATCAACTCTCCTCTCCATGGACAGTCCACAGTCAACTTTTTTCCAAACCGTTCCAAAACTTCGAAGGCAGACCCACTCGGTGCAGGAGGTGGTGAGGATGGTCGGCAAGAACACCCACCTCTACGAGATGATTCTTCAGTTCCTTAGGACCATCTTCCTGCGAACACAAAACGTTCACTACTGCACATTCCGATCGGAACTCCTCATGTCCCTGCACGATCGGGAAGTCAGTGAAATACTGGCTGACGATCCGTGCCACAAGTTCACCTGGTGTCTCGACGCATGCATCAGGGAGAAGTTTGTCGATTCAAAAAGAGCTAAGGAGCTGTTAGGATTGCTTGATGCAGTCAAGTGGTCGCAAGAACATGTACTTGGGTGAATTGTTTTGCACTACTCATTCTTCTACATTTTGTTATTATTTTTTTAATTCATTTCAAAATTTCCAGGCATTCAACAATAGTGAGTTTTTTTTTTATTAAGCTATATACTCTGTACTTTTCTGACTCTGAGGCAATTCTAACTGTAATATAATTTGCACATAAATATAATTATACGTTATAGATATTTTTTAAATTTAAAGATAAAATATTTTAATTATCAAGCCAGAAAAAAATATTAAAATGAATGATCAGTGTTCCTGAGAGATTCATCAATAAAAATTGTATTTATAATTATGATCTGATATCTCCGTGAGTGAGAAAGAGAGAGAGAGAGAGAGAGAGAGAGAGAGAGAGAGAGAGAGAGAGAGAGAGAGAGAGAGAGAGTTTTTCAACGTTCATTACACTTTTTCATTATTTATTTTTTAATGTTGTTTGTTACAACCACTACTACCTTTTTCCAGTAAAGCAATTCTCATAAAATAAACTCTTCCAGAATCATCTTCTATTTCTTTCTGTGATAATAATCAATTAATGATAATATAATAATTAATTTGTTTAATTCAATTTATTCGTCAAATAAATAACAAATGAACCGACGGTGTCCACCAACGAATAAAATAATGAACATAATGACGCCCGCCAGTGATCTATCTATGGTCCTCTGTGATCCGCAGTCCATCCACACCATTGCTGCCTCGATCATCAAGAACCTGACGACGTGCATCAACAACGAATCACTTCCCAGGGTTGGCTGGCCTACTTTTTATATCTCTGTGTGTTTCATCTATCTTTCCATCGCTAACTCTCTCTTTCTCTCTCTCTCTCCCCCCTCTCTCTCGCTCTTGTCAGCTTTCGTTTCATTCATGCTGTGAGACATTTGTTCAATCAATGCCAGTCAATAAATTGCTCATACAAAGGTGTCAATATTTTTGTTGTTTTGTAAGTTTTTAGTGTTTTTACTGGTATAGTTTTTGACATAAATTCTTGTGACGAATTTGATTTGACGTACGTTCTAATACAATTTAATAATTTAATATTGAACATGACAATTAATATGATTTGGTTTGAGATATGCTCTAATACGATGACCCCCTTTTCAACAGGCGAATGAGGATGTCGTAATTCTGGTACGCCTGCTCTGCATGGGGTTGAAAGCGTGGAAAATGATTGACAGTCGATTGTTCAAGGAGCCTAAACTGGTCAGTCTTATTGCCTCTGTTTGGTCATGGCATTTAGATTCTGCGTCTGCCAGATTCTGATTTTTTAAATAATAAAAAATATCTTTAACGAACTGATTCATTTTTTTTGTGTTTATCACCACTGTCGCTATCATTACTTGACCACGTCATCAGACGGCTACACCATCACATCGTCACGCGGCCACCACATCATCACGTGACCACACTACTCCCCCACACGACCACCACATCATCACGTGACCACACTACTCCCCCACACGACCACCACATCATCACGTGACCACACTACTCCCCCACACGACCACCGCATCATCACGTGGCCACACTACTCCACCGCATCATCACGTGACCACACTACTCCCCCACACGGCCACCACATCATCACGTGACCTCACTACTCCCCCACACGACCACCACATCATCACGTGACCACACTACCCCACCACACGACCACCACATCATCACGTGACCACACGACCACCGCATCATCACGTGACCACACGACCACCACATCATCACGTGACCACACTACCCTACCACTACACGACCACTACGTCGTCCCGTGACCACACCACCACTTCGTCACCACACCACTACAAAGGACGTTGACCTGATAACTCGTTTCCTTCCTTGCCTCTCGTGGCTCATGGCAGACGATCAGCTGGCTGTGATGTCTGGAAAGACCAATGAGGTTGGTTGGACTGCACCACATATGATGCTTCGTTTGGGTTGTATTATAGGATGATATTAGGTCAATAGATGTAATTAGGTTAACGGATGTAATTAGGTCAACAGATGTAATTAGGTCAACAGATGTAATTAGGTCAACAGATGTAATTAGGTCATGTATTTAGTTGCCTCGGTGTCATTTGTTCATGCATTACAATATTAATCTGCTGTAATGTTAATTTATCGTCACCTGTTCTTTGCGACGAATTAAGCAACTCCAGGAGACAGTGAATTGTTTGCCTTCATTTCTTCAGTACTTTTATTTCGTTCTTTTGTTTTGAGCAGTTATTGTTCGTGTCTCCCGGCCGTTGTAATGTCATGTGTTGTCGTCATCTGTAACTTGCACGGTCTAATGAAGACGGTCTACCAGAGTTATGTAAATAACAGAAATAATGATAGTTTCATAGAATTCGTAAAAAATAGTTTTTAATTTATAGTGATGAATTAATTGTGAGAAAAAAAGACATTTCAGTAATAAAAAATTAAATTCTAATTATACCTGTTTCTTGAATATCATTCAGCAGTTGGATCCAGCTCCTAGCTACTTACTCACTTCATGCGACGATGTTAGTGCCGTGCTGCTGTGCCACTATGCCTTGCACGTCACTAAGCAGGGATGGACCGGTAGCATCGTTCGAGTTGTTTCCTGTTTGAGTGAGGAGTCCGTCAGTGAAGTTGCCTACAGCAACACGTTCCTGCACGACTTCGTATCGCATCTCATTTCATTCCCGGAGATGTTTGCCACTCCTGAGTTCTGCTCCGCTATCTTTGATAAGTTCTTTAAGGTTAACAATCTCTATGTGCGTTTGTGTGTTTGTACTTCGTGTTGAAATATCAATCATTTCATTCATTTATTCATCGTCCATTCCTGTTATAACACCTGCTTGTATCGTCGCAATTTGTGCTCTAGCCTCAATGTTCACAAGACAGTGTCTGCAAGCACCTTATCAGACTGCTGTTGTTCACGCATCACAAAGTTCATACAAACAGCCTCAGTGGCGCTGTCGAGATGCTACAAAACTTGGTTGCTACTTCTTCATCACTATTTTATTCATTCAGGAATGTTTATTATATAAAGCAGATCTTTTTTATGATATGAGTTAATTATGACAACGTCGTTATGAAAATGCTTATTGTTGATAATTTCTCTACAGTTTTCAGGAATGTTTAAGATAATTTCTTTGATTGCCCAAAAAATTATTCTCTACTTTCTATCTTATTCGTAATTCAAAAAAACATTTAATATTTCAATTTATCTGACACTTTGTATTTTATAGCTCAATTGTATTTTCATTTTTATTTATAAATTTACCTTCTACCTTCGAATGAGTTAACTTTGCTTCTCATGTCCAGAATAAGCGACACGTACATGTCAAAAGTACTGCTAATGATCACTTGATTTTCAATCACGTTCACAGAATTCAGTGCAGTTGCAATCACTGTTGGACGGCTTATCAGAGAGAGTTCGAACATACAACGAGCAACAAGTTCAACTGCAGTTGCAGCAGCAACAACAGCAGCAGCAACAGTCAATCGCGGCATCAAATGAGTTATTGGACTCGCCATTCGTCTCAACACCTTTGTCATCCATTCTGTCATAGCATTCCTTCACTCAGTCGATCGATAAATTGATTAATTAATTGATTGAATGATAGATAGATTGGTTGATCAAGCATACAACCAGTCGATCATCCATCATTTCAATATCTTGAATACATTTTTGTATAAATCCGTCCAAATAATTAAACAAACAAATACGAAAGAAGATATGAGCACACCGCCACACATACTTCACCACGTTTAAAAAGTGAAGATGCAAAGGACACTTTTACTTACTTGTTCAGTGTAGCCCTATAATTTTTTACCACATATTTGTACTCGTCATTTTGAATAATTTTTATTGGACAGTCGCAAACAACGCTTCGTTTGGTCACAAATTCGTTCCTTATTTCGCCGCTGTAGTGAATAAATATTTTTTAAGTTTCTAATTTATTTGGTCTTGCATTTTTTGAAAGCCGGCAGAAATCATTCAAATTGACCTTCCAAGATGTTGAATGATGACGGTCGTCATCATTCAAAGTTAATATTACACCGGACTCACATAAATGGCTGAATGATAGGAACGATACTTATGGCGGATACTCACGTTCTTCAGAGCAGGCTTTCCATCCGTTTGTATTTCCCTTTTTTGTATAATGTTTGTAGCACAACCAACTCAACAGGAAATAGATTAAATGCATGCGATAGCTGTTACATTGAAGTAAAGAAGATAATTTTGTTTGTTTTTGAATGATTCAGATTTATTAAGAAACAACGATGAGACCATATACACCATGTTTTATTTTTGTTCCAAAGTCAATTCAATATGCGGCTGTATTTTCCATTTGACGCGCACGGCACAAAAATAACAAATGCTGACTTGTCGGTTGGGTTGCTTGATACTTTAAAAAAAAATGCTACTATCGTCACAAATTTTACGTTTGGCTAATAATAGTTGATGATGGTGGTGATGATGAAATATGATAATGTTAGCTACGCAATTATAATAATGGTGATAACGATAATTAGTATAGTGATAATAAAATAGAAATAATGTAATAAAACAAAAACATTGACAGGGCGATAATGATTTTTGAATTTCAATCGCATCTGAAATGCCAGCTTTATCGGTAAGCATGGTTCCTTTCTTAGTATATGATTATAGTTATATAAATATATATATATAATTATGCGTACTACATAATTATATTTAATTTCACATACCAACTGTCATATGAAATCATATTTTCCAAAATGGAGAGAGCGTGAAAGTGGTGGGGGCGCTACATGCGATGCGTTAAAAACTAAGAGTCATGTTATGTTTAATAACTAAGCATATTAAACGACGATGAAAAATAGGAAATGTGCTTCGTGAAACAACTAATCTCATCGACCTTATTCAATGAAATAAACAATAAATGTGTATTTATATATCTATTATATATATATATGAATTTACAAATTGATAACGTATTTAAAATCATCCTCATTTCATTTAAATCACAAAATTCAATGACTTCATACTAACCGGCGCAAACCAATCCAACACATTATTTAAATTCATGGTTATACAACAAAGCAAACATACCAATCAAGAAGCGCAGTCAACCAGCTTCAATCAATCAATCAATCTACCAATCAATCAAAGGAGTAGAGTACAGCTTCAACTACGCGCTCGATCAGACCCAGCGTAGCGAGGTCTGGGTGGCTGGATAGGTCTGCTCTGATTGATCCTTGACGGCGGTCGGTTGTATTGATATCCTGCTGAATTGTAAGATGGCTGTGATTGGTATGGTTGTGGATCATAATAAGGACGATGTAGATAACTATTCGACTGATCATCACCAAAGGCTCCAAACTCTTCAGCGTCGCTTGCTGGGTTGTTAAAGGTCGGTCTCACCGCACCTGTAGCACTTACGGGGCTGCCAGCTAAGCAGACAGAGCACCTGCTAATCTTATTCATCAAGTTGGCTGCTTTGTAAGTGTCGGACATGGGTTTGCTGTACTGGTTGAATCTATCGAGGACGGATAAGAAGTAGCTGATGTGGTTGGCGTAATGATTGCACTTGCCGTCTCCGTGGCACTCGAAGACAGGACTGGACCTGAAAGTGGTGAGACATGATCCAGGGCTGTGCAGGGTCTGTCCAACCCCGAGTCCTCCCTCCCCTGTCATCTGGGTCATTTCGAGTGAGGGATGAAATTCATTTATCCGTTTTCATTAAGTATTTCAAAGCTACTATGATAATGATTTTGAAAGAATATTTTGTAAGAACTAGGGACAACGAAAAACTGGCGTTTTCTAAACTCTGTCTTTGAGACATTTCAACTAGCGCAATTCATTTTTAATTGTTCACTAATCATTCTAATTCCTACTTAAGTAAAATAATTAATTATCTGTTGACACTGCCTTCTTTACATTGAAATTTAAAAAGAGTGCACCAACGTTACAGACGTGGTTAGTAAATAAAAAAAATTAGTTGAATACGACAGTTGAGAACAAAATAACTTAGTACAAAATTATCTGTTTAGAATTGTAAAAGAGACGAAAAATTATTAAAAGGAATGATATTTTATAAAATCAAAAAGATAAGATATAAGTAAAATAATGAACACATTCTGGCAGGACCAAACTGGACAAAGAACCAGGGATCAAATATAGAATAGCAGAATGAATTGAGAAAGAAAAAAACCCAGCAATGTAATTTGCAACTGACCAGTGCCAAGCTGAATCCACTCCAAATATTGGACCAACCCCTGGGACAATCCGGCACTGAAGTTGCCTGGCTATGGATGGCGATCGGCTGAATGTATTTGTTCAAGCAACTTATTAATTATCACACATTAAATAACGTCCAATATTGATATTCTTCACCATAATATATAAAAAATGTAAAATTTATGATCTCACCAATATATATCAAATAAAAATCTGTAACACCTTGTCACACAGCAAATGATGAGCAAAGAGCAAACACACGCACCACACTACAAGCAGGCAAGCACACTACGGTGCACAGGGACAAAGGTTTGTGAGAGTAGCTCAATCAGTAGTAGTCATGAGGACTTGAATGGGCGCTATATAAACTCTACATATTATTTCTTTTATTAAACAGCACACCATGTCACACCACAGAGAACCAACTTGAGCGTGTGCTTCACAAACCACGCATCTTCCGATGTAAGGCCTGATCTGTTCATTACTGACAGTGGCCATGGTTGCAGTCATATCTTGCTCGGTAGCCAGCCAATATGTTGAGTCACTCCTGGTCGCCATGCTGCACACCTGGTTACTTCCACAGAACAGGTAGGGCATGGTGCTGAATTTCTGAAGGCAACTACTTGGTGAACCTTGGAAAAATTAAAGAGATTGAATGTATCTTTCCGAACTAATACTACCCATACTATGTGGATTGCAACATTTGTTGGTTAAGTTTAGATTGTTCTTTACTTATTTACTAAACACAGTTTTAAAAATTTTGGTGGTTATTTAACAAATTAAACGAATGAGTATATAAAGGCGATCAAACAAACCAAGATCTTGTCCGTGAGCCTTGTGGTTGGCTTTCACATAAAGCAGGGAGTAACCCTCCCAGAGTTTCAATGTACCCTGCGGACAAGTAGGCACTTGAGTTGTCTGACTGTGTCTGCAAGTCCAGTGTTATACAATATTAAAACGTTGTATCCCAATCTAACGTTGTATCACATTCTAATATTTATTATAAAAAAAAACCGACCTGGTGAAATAAAAGCCAGATCCACCTCCGGGTCTGCCATCCAACCCAGGTCCACCTGCCTGCCCGTCCGGTCCGGGATTTCCCGCCACTCCAGTTTGACCCCGCTCACCTGGAGCTCCTGGCAGTCCAGGTGGACCAGGCGGACCTCGATTACCGGATTCTCCTGGTGCCCCTTGAACACCCTTTTGTCCCACCCCGCCTGCAAGACCTGGTAAAGAATAAGTGAGTGAGTGAATGAGAAATTGGGAATTTGAATGAGAGAGAGAGAGAGAGAGAAAGAGAAAGAGATCTTTTTGTTGGTCTTATGAAACAAAATATAAACTGGCATTAAAAACGATTTTGTCACAGGTTGAAATAAAAAAAAAATGTAAGTAATTTGTAAGAAAAAATTTTAACTTTTCAATAATTATATTTTTTGTGCACTAAAACCTTGATTAAATAAAGCGAGCAGGCAAATAAGCCCACAAACCTCTATCTCCCTTGTCTCCTGGCATTCCAGGTTCACCCACTCTTCCTGGTTTGCCAATGTCTCCTGGTGCACCCTTTATTGGTGGAGAGGGTGGTCCGGGAGGTGCGGGATCTCCTTGGTCACCTTTCTTACCTAATAGAACAAAGCATTATGAAACATTTTCAAGCCCAGAATAATTTCTTTTGTGTTCTAGATATATTCAACAAACATCGATCAGTTTAATCATTGCTTGGGAAGTTAAAACCGAAACAGTCTCTAAAATTGCGTAGATTTCAAATTTAGAAAATATCAAAAAACTTAAATTTAAAAAAATTCTGAATCGGTCCATAACAAAATTTATACTCAAATTAACTAAAGAGTAGAAAATATTAACTATATAAACACAATGAAAAATGAACAACAAACCAAGCGGTCCGTTGGGTCCAGGATTTCCTGGTAGACCTCTGGGACCGGGTTCTCCATCGGGACCTTTTGGACCAGGAAGACCATTTCTGCCAGGTGGACCAGTGGCTCCGTCATCACCTTTAGGACCCTGAATTACACAATCATTGAACTATACAAACCTGATTGCAAAAACAAAAAACCTTGTCTTTCAATTAAAAAAATATCAAGTAAATTAAAGGGCAAAAGAACAAAGCGTTTTTTATATACATTCCAACAGGAATATAGGAATTGTATGTAGGTAAACAACGCTTAAGTTTTAAGAAGAGAGACACGAAATATAAAGAAAATTTTTTAAAGCCAATGGGATTCATATGAGAACGCATGGGTGGAGTAAAATGACCCTACAACGATACAAAAAGTTGGTAGTATTTGTTGTCATTCGATTTGTTGCTTAGTCACCTAAACTCATTAATGAATTAGATCTTGTTTTCGTCTAAATTTCAAACTTTATTGTTGAAATATTAATAACATTTTTACCACAGCAATTTTTTTTAAATTCATCATTCTTTCGTTTTAGATATAAAGATAAAATATGAAATATGATTTTACCGGCAAACCATCTTTTCCTGGAGGACCTGGATAGCCTGCTCTTCCCTGTTGGCCAGGCAGTCCAACATTCCCTTTGTCACCTTTCAGTCCATCAGTTCCTGGGAATCCAGGATTTCCTGGGATACCATCAGCTCCTAATTTGAAAATCAAACTTTAATAATAATATTACATAATAATAAAAATATAACAACAAAAACACAACAACAACAAAACAACAATAATAATAATTGAACCTGGTTCTCCTGGATATCCAATATCCCCTGGATCTCCAGGTGGTCCCTTCAATGAGATGCTGGTCGCCCCATTTGGTCCCCTTGGCCCCGGTGCCCCTGGATTTCCTTCAAAATGAATGCATTCAATATAGTCAGTTGATTTTTCATGAAATGATTGATGTCCAGTTATTGGTTATGAATTGTGAATTGTTGAAAGGAAGCATTGGCTTTTGTTTGTCTAACGAAGAAGTTGTGGGTCTATTAGAGACTATATTTCGACATATCTGAATGAACACTGCAACAGAAGCTTACCTGAAGAACGTAGCGAACCAAAAAATTAAGAAAATAGTAAAACATGTAAAAAAATGAAACTAAAGGGCAAGAATTTGTTAATGATAAAAACGTGTTATATATATCCGTACCGTCTTATGTGTTGTTGTATGTTATTTTTAATTGTATTTGTATATATAAGTTTTGAATAAAGCATAAAGAATAAAGCGTAATAAATGTTCAGATTGTTATTAAAAAAAGGGTGATTACAATGATAATGATAGAAATATGAACTAGGTACATGTGTTAATTAAAATAAGGTACGTTATACTGTGTAGCACACATCAGACCAACCTCTATCTCCGGGAAGTCCTTTAGGACCATTCTCCCCATTTAATCCATTACCGCCAGGATAACCAGGCTCTCCTTTCAGTCCTGAAAATCCAGGGTTGCCACGAACTCCGGGGATCCCATCGTCACCGGGCAGGCCAGGGAATCCCGGTGGTCCCGCTCTACCCGGTTGTCCAGTAGGACCATCATCGCCTCTGCTACCTAATTTCGGTATTTTACTGCTAAATTAGGGTTTACAACTAATAAAACATATTCCTTGTTTGCCTATCATATTTTATACCTAGTTTTGTTATTTTTCGATAAAATTAAGATTTATGACCAACAAAATATATTGCTCCAATGGCCTGATGAAATTTCTGCTTGAATACTTGCTAAATAAAAAAATATATGTAGTGCAAGTATGCTATCTAAACAATCCTTAAATAAAATTATCTTCTTAAAAATAAAAGTATCAATTTAAATAATTTTTAAAAACAAAACGGCAGACTCCCAAATAAAATCTTAATTAGAATAGATCTGTAAAACTAAGAGATTCATTTCATTTCACCTTTGAGTCCAAATAGTCCCGGAGCTCCATTATCACCTTTGTCACCTGGCATTCCAAAGGATCCTTTTGCACCAGAATCGCCGTCAAGTCCAGGAGGGCCCTGAAATCCAGGATTTCCTTTTGGTCCATCAAATCCCTTTGGACCCGGTGGACCTGTTAGCCCAGTTGGTCCAAGAATACCAATGAAGCCTCTGTCTCCCTTTTCGCCTTTTCTCCCTGGAACAGGAGGCAAACCTGGTTCACCCTGTGTTTCACCATTTAATAAACTATTATTCGTAAATGACTGAAATTAAAAAAACATTTAATATAATAAAAAGATGAAGAATTTAATGTCAAAAATAAAACTCTTCATTTCATTATGAAACATCATCTACTTTACTTTTAGTCCTGGTGGTCCGACGGGGCCTTGTGGTCCTTGGTTGCCCATATCACCCTTCACACCGGGACTTCCAGGTGTACCAGGAAACCCTGGCGGACCATTATTTCCAAGTGGCCCTGGAAGTCCCTTGTCACCTGAAAGACCAGGACGACCTGTTGAACCTTTTTCTCCAGGTACTCCAAAGTCTCCAGGAGCACCGTTTGAACCTTGCACCCCTTTTGGGCCTTTACGGTAAGTTATAATATAAATGGACGCAATTTAGTAACTACGTTTTCAATTATAAATTTTCAGATATTAATAAAAAAAAGTAAAATCGGCTAAAATATTTTGAAAAACCTTGGACTCCAGGATAAACAAGTCCAGGTTCTCCCGGCTCACCCACTTGACCTGGTAGGCCATCTGTTCCTGCTGGTCCAGGCATCCCAACTCGACCTTTCATGGAATTTAAAAACAAACTTATTAGATATTATTATTAGAAAACATCATTCTATACTTTATATAAGCATTTTATTGTTTACTTTAACAATATAGAGCTGCTTGCATACAAATTACCTAAAACTCATCTGCTAAGCCATATGACAACATATATACCTCATAGCAAATAGCATGTTCTAAAATAACCAATAAGCATAGAGTTTTCTTATTAAACATATGAGATGGTGCAGTCATTTTATAAATGTTAAAACATTAGCTTAACACATAACACTCCATCAGCCTTGTTATCTTAAAAGTAGTTCTACATAAGTTATCATAAACAGCAGCAGCTACTAGACTGAAGAAATATTTTATGTCCATAAAACATAACAAAGAAGTTGGAAATGTGCAAACCTACCAGGAGCACCAATATTTCCTAGTTGTCCCTTTGGCCCACTGAATGAAGCATCACCTGGTTGTCCTTTAACTCCTGGAGCACCAGGTTGGCCTGGGTTACCTACTTTTCCTTGAAGGCCCGAAGGACCAGGTGATCCTGGAAATCCTGGCTCTCCAGGCATACCTAAAAAATATTAACTACTTAAATCACTTCAATTATAACGTTTGATTATAACGTTAAAAAAAATATATATAATAATAATATATATAAAATATTAACTACTTAAATCACTTCAATTATAACGTTTGAAATGTTTGGTTCAATAATAGATTTCCAGCTATAACAAATTTCTAACTGTTCATTATGTTTTAAAAAACAATGTTTTACAACTTTCTTGTTTTCAAAAGATTTCATAAAAATGTCTTAAATATGATAAGGTCGAATCAATAGAGAAAAATTTGAAAGTTGTAAGAAACCAAAACTAGAAAGTTCTACTCAAAACAAGAAAGCAACATACAGATCCATAATAAATTAAACGCCTTTTAAGGTGAGATGATAACATCTGAATAAAAATAGCAGTAAAATAAATAAATGATGTAGTGAACAAACAGTTACAGTAAAATGCTAATGAACTTTGGTGAAAAAAAAACTAAAAAATGTATGATAGATTATATTATTTTTCGCTGATACACAGAATTTCTAAACCAAGCAAAAAAAATTTATAGATGTCAAACCGAGTTCTCCTGGGGCTCCTTTAGTTCCAGGAAATCCTTTCTGACCCATCATTCCTTGTATCCCTGGATCCCCAGGTGGCCCTTGAACACCTGATGTAAAGATGATTCATATAAGACAGCTTATTCAGAGGAAATAATTTGTTAAATTTTTCATGACGTGTTAAACAACATTTAAAACTGATTGACTGTCTAGCTACCCATTGGTGACAATGATCAATGTTAATAATTTTCCAAAATATGTGGTTTGGCGATAAATCAATATTTCTATAAAAATCAGTTAGCAATAACAAAAATAGGGTATAAAAAAATCTAAGGATAGCAGCTCTTGATAACATGAGTCTAAAAAATTGATACTTATAGTTAGCACAACATTTTCAAAACGTAACTTGAGAAATTAAAAATCACATCAACAATTTCATTATAATTAAACAATCAAATCATTTCTTTAACTTATCTCCAACCTTACACTTACACTGTAAAAAAATCGAAAATGAATAAAACATTTTAATTGATTGTTTACAGACCGAACAGTATTTGAACTAAACATTTCAACACTAAACAACCTTTAGCTCCATGTTTTCCCGGATCTCCAATTAGACCATCAAGGCCAGGCATACCTTTTTGGCCTTTCATTCCTGCCAAGCCAGAATCTCCAGGTGAACCCGGGAGTCCAGGATTTCCAGTAGGACCTTGCTGTCCCATATCACCTTTTTGTCCTTGAAATCCTTGGTCTCCTATAAGTTTTTGACAAACAAATTAAAAAAATTATGAAAGATAAAAAAATCAATAGCGCCAGAATAAAAATATCAACCAGGTAGTCCAGGAAACCCTGGAGCTCCAACATCTCCTTGAGGACCACTACGTCCCTCTCCGGGATAACCTTTCTGACCCCTTGCACCAGGCTCCCCAGGCAGACCAATACGACCTTTGTCGCCAGGTTCCCCTTTGAATCCCATGTTTCCTTTTGGACCCTGATAACCATTTCTACCAAAGTCTCCTGGTCTGCCGGGTGATCCTGGATCTCCCTGAGACCCTTTTGAAGTGAAATCTGTGTTCATGCCTCCCTAAAATGGTTTAAAAATTTATAAAAAAAATAAACATAATAAAAAACTAAATAAAAAATGATTACTTGATCGCCTTTAATTCCTTTTAGTCCCTTTGGTCCCGTTTGTCCTTTGTTCCCAAGGACACCTCTAGGTCCTTTATCCCCAGGAATACCAGGTTTACCTGGTAAACCAGCAGGTCCAGATCTTCCTTTAAAACCATCTGATCCAACATCTCCATTAGGTCCTCTAACTCCTAGAGGTCCATTAGGTCCTGGTTTTCCAGGAAAACCTAAGCAAAATTAATCAATTGATTGGTGGATTGACAGGCAGTTAATAAAATAACAAAGCATTTATTTTATTTTAAATTTTTCAGTTCAACTTAATCAAACTCTTTATATTTATATTAAAAAATTGAACACTTTCCAGAAAATTATAGTAAAGAAATTTAATACGAGTTAAGAAGAAGTGAGAACAAAAAGACGATCGTATACCGGCGCGTTTAGGTTCAATTAATATATCTGATAAGTACTTAGGAAATAATTTAAATTGAGATTTATACATAAATGTGCAGATTTTAAAAATTATTCTTTATTACAAGAGAACAAGATGTGAAGATATATGAGAAAAGAAAGGGTCACGAGCAACTAGACGAGCAGCAGAGTTAAAATCTTTACTTAAAGGATAGAGTGTAGAACCAGGAAGACCATAGTAGAGCGAGTTACAATAATCAATCCTAGATAAAACTAAAGTAAGAAGAAGGAAAAGAGTAGGATCGTCAAGAAAAGACAAAAGTTTTTTATTCTACGTACTTTCGCTGTATTTTGTATGCTGATGATACAAACTTATTTTATTCATCAAAAAATCTTATGAATGAAAAATTGCGTATATATAGTGAATTGTTTCAATTTGAACGTTGGTTTAATATAAATAAATTAATAATTAACACAGGTAAATGCTCTTTTATTATTCTGGGTTCCAAGATTGTAACTAACACTATTCCTGATTTAAATATCAACATATGTAACTAAGCAATAAAAAAACTTGACTGGATAAAATTTTTAGGTGTTTGTTTACAAAGTAACTTATTGTGGAACGAACAATCACATATTAGATAATTCTTGTAAAACCTATTGATTTCTTTATATAATTAACAAGATTAAAAATAAACTTAATAAAAATACTCTTGTTATATTTGTAATACTTTTATTCTGCCTTATTTACCGTACTGTAATATTATTTGGGGTAATATTCCGTCGTAAATTGTTAATCATTTATTTATTATGCAAAAATGGTTTATTAAAATATATTATAATTTAACTCTAATGTCTCATGTTGATCATTTGACATTTTAACAGTCAAACAATTGAACATTTATTATTCTTCTATTTTTATGTTTAAACTGATTAGCAACTTTTTACCTAATTGTTTTCTTAAATGTTTTTATTTAAGATCTAACATTCATTCTTTATCGACTTGGCAGAATAATATGTTTTACATATACCCAAATAGGTTAAATATTTTTCAACATAGTATATTTGTAACTGGCCCAAATATATTGGACGGAATTCTGTCAGAAGACATTAAAATTATATCTAACTTGATTGTATTTAAAAAGTTTCTGAAGAAATTTTTGATAAGCTATGATCCGCCATGAGAACTATTATTTGAATTTTGGCATTTGTTACATTGGTTATATATCTATCAAATTTGCATTTAACTTTCATTTTTGTTGTTTAACTAATTAACAATAATACATAAATTTTATTTGTATTGTACAGTGATTACGGTGGCCTTCACAAGATTATTTTATCTCATATGGTCTCCGGAAATCAGCTGTTTGATGAATTTATTTTTAAATTTTTCTTTCAGTTGGTTTGAATAAAAAGTTCGTTCGTTCGAAAGTAAAAAAGATAAAGCCTAGACTACGAAACTGGTTAGAAGCATAAAGAGTTTTAGAATCAGGTAAGATATTAGAAGGAAGAGTAACAAAGCGTTTAGATTTATTAATACAAGTTAATTCATTTAAATTTAGAAGGAATAAGTTTAAAGCACATAGAGTCAGACCAAGCAATAATTGAAGAAAGACATAGAGATAGATTATAAAGAACACTAGTGAGATTAGATGGAGGAAAAGAAGTATAAATATAAGAATCATCAAGAGTTACAAAATGTGTAATGACATTAAAATTTAAAAAACCTAGCCTTTAACTCCTTTGTCTCCCTGAAGTCCATTTATGCCGGGATAGCCTCGGTCTCCTTTGTCGCCTTTGTACTGTATAGTAACGTTGATTGCTACCATGGCACCTTTTTCACCTGAGGCAAAAATTCTACTTTATTAATTCTTATTTTAACCATGCAATTAATTGTTTATTATGATAATTTTACACCCAAACGCCAAACGGCTTGCCTATATCGCGCTGTTTTAAAACTCAAAAGTGTTGGCATGTTGCAAGAACGTTGTAATAAAACATGCCATGAAAAAGCAAAAATCCTTCAGCTCTTTGCAAAATCTGTGGAGGCTAAGTCCAGGCTGCGTAAAAAAAGTTTATTCCAAAACTCTAGACCAGCGACAGCAAAATATCGTTTGCCAGCAGACAGAGTCGTTTGACGATCATATGAAAATTCCTATCCTCATAACGCGGCGATGCACAATGATGCGAGGAAACTGGCTCAGGGATACATTCATCACCTAAATAGACGTTTAGCATATGATAAAGATCTGGTGGACTCACAGACATGATGCTTGTTAATTTGGTTTAGCAGATTTAAATCTGTGATTTATCCTTCAGAGGACCACAACATTCAAATGGATAAAAAAGAAGCTGCAGCTCGTACTCTGCAACCATAATAGATAAAATTGTTGACAATAGATGACCCCTATAAGGCATGAAAACTTTCTAAGACACACTTGATATAAAGTTTTTTGAAACTACAACAATGGCAAAAATTGGTATATGGTTATTAAATCTAAAATTATCTATAAGATATCTCCCCAAGTAAGAAATTCAATTGTATTTTTAAGATAGGTAAAAAATCAGGTTACAGGTATGGACAATTTGCTGTCCTGTACGTACAAATAGTTTATCAAAAAATTTGTTACAATTACAATAATTTACATAATCTTATTGAAAAGTACTTAGCAATGAAATTAGAACATAAATGCACATGTTATATAGTAAATTAATATCTAATAGAATTACCTTTAGGTCCAGGATAGCCAGGTGAGCCACTCAAACCTGGTTGTCCCATATCTCCTTTTATTCCATCAATGCCAATGGTAGAGAAGCCAGGAGAGCCCTTAGGACCAGGAAAACCCTTCACTCCAGGTAATCCATCCAATCCATCAGCTCCCTTTGCGCCGACAATACCCTTGGATTACAGTTTTTATAAAATATTCAATTAAATTACTTAAAACAAAAATAAGAATTTGTTAGAAAGTTAACAATGCAATGTTGGAGATGAAATATTTTATATGTCAATTGAATATGATTCAATATGCATATACGTATATACATAAGTATATATTACAATACAATACAGCATACAAAACAATAACTTTTCTATCGGCTCCCAATGAACGAGATGCGGATGACTGTATATAAGAATAATACCCAACTACTTACAGCCAACTTAAAGAATAAACATATTTGCGTACATTTTGAATAAAGAATTATAAAAAAAATTATTTGTTGCTTACGCTTAACAAAACAATGAGCCATAGACATGAATTAAACAGAAATAATGATAGACTTATTTTTGTAGAAATTTGAAGAAACTCAAAATCAATCAATGAACTCGCAAATAAACAAACTTTTGGTCCAGCAAGTCCATGAAGTCCTTGCATACCTTTCGGGCCAGGAAATCCTTGAATTCCTGGAAAGCCATCTCTTCCTGGTTGTCCTTGCTGACCAGGTGGTCCATCAGGCCCTCTTATAGGATCTATTGGGATTAGTTCACCTTTGTCTCCTTTAAAACCTGGTAGTCCTTGAATGCCTGGTCGACCCGGATATCCCTTGAATAACGTGAACATTTGATGCCATTTTAGTTGGTATTTTTTAGTTATAATAATAATTAAATTTACTATAATAAATAATAATGTTCTTATTATTAAAACATCGTTATTAATATAGCAATCACAATGCCGCTATTTAGTGCTCACAAGATGATAACCTATTGGAATAAATAGCAATATCAACGTTGTCTAACTTTTATTAATTTTCTGAACTTTTCAATCACAAAAGCAAACAACATAAAAAATTGACTTGATAAAATTTTTCTACTGCATTGTATCAGAAAGTATAAAATTTTAAGTAAATCTAAATAAAACCAAAACAAACTATATCATTACCACATTTAAATAACGACAATAAAAGCTAAAAGTTTAACGTCGTTAAGTGAAGATGTTAAGAAAATTTAACAAAGATATTTAACCGATGACTAATACAGGGCTGTATCTTTTGCATAATAATGTTTAATCGTTAAAAAACATTTAAATCAATGATCACACAAAAAATACAATAGCAACATCAAAATTGTTAGTGTAATGAATAAAAAATAAACGTCTTACAATCGGACCAACAGGACCAGTCATACCATCTTGTCCCGGCTTGCCTTTGGGGCCGGGAGGTCCCTTAGGTCCAGGATATCCAATATATCCAACTGCCCCTTATTACAAATATTATCAAAAAACAAATGCTTGGATAACTGTAGGTAGATTGATGATATTAGGTAAGTTATTATAAAAATTGCATGAAAGTGCAAAAATTTGAAATCACGGGGATCTTGAAGCTTTGTAAGAATTGTTGCTTTGTAAGAATCGCAGATTAGAAAAAGTTGTTGCAGCTTGGTTCAGTGGAGATATATAATAGAAATAGCAAAATTAGTTCCACTATTGCTGGAAGAGTGTTAAAACAAGAGTGTTAAAACAATCCATCGCATCATTGAACTTAGAGGCGCTGTTCGGGAAGCTGGCGACCATAATGGGGATGTTTTAAATTCTTTGCAAACATCTCTCTTTCCTCTATTACTTTCCCCTTGTCATCGAGCAGTCTATTCCAGACTTCTACTGCATCGACAGAGAAACGACGTCTTCCCTAGCTTTCTGTTCTGAGTTTTTGAAACAGCAAGTCTCTTCTCTGTTTGGTAGAAGATGTGAGCTTTCGCTCACCAGCGGCTATATAAACAGGCACGGTCAATTATTGTAAATATTTAAGGACCAAACTCTCTCAAACATTGCGATCCTGTAGTCAACTTGATGACAGACTGGCGACTGTATATAATTTTGAAGATTCCGACCGCTAGCATATGTGAATGTGTTGCAGTCTTCTATTCTGACACAAACAATGCCGTGCATCAAAGAGACTTAATATTTGTTAGATTATACGTATGATTTGACGAAGTTGAAAAAACATGGCAGACAAAGATCCTTCAAATGTTTAATCATCGTTGTCAGAGTTCAGCCAGGCACCTATTATATTTTATTGTATTGTGGATTTGCGGAGCGCCTCAATCGAATTATCTTCAAAGGCGCAATGTTCATCATCATTCCCTTCTTGTTATATAAAGTATAAGTAAAGGATAAACAGCAAGCATCGATATTAAAAGATAGGAAAGTGAGCAAAATGAAGACATCATGACAACCAATGTACAATGCAATAAACGGTAAAACTGAAGATTTCCATACTGGAAAAAAAATTAAAATAAAATATTATTATACTAATTATCTTAAACATAAATATTTAAAAAATTACTATTTTTTAAAAAATTGGCGATGAAATGAACAAAACTAACCTGGACCACCCATATCGCCAGGGTCACCCTTTAAACCAGTCAGTGGTCTACGACAAACCTCACAATCCCTACCCGGCAAACCTGGAGTTGTTAATGACCAACATAGCAGTTATTATACTCATCACATTAATTAAATATACAGCTGATGTCTATATAATGTTTTGACTTGGGTAAGGGGTTAAAGGTCAAAAGGTCTATTACACTCTCCCTAGGCTCAGAGGAACCAACAACACGCCACAAACGTCGTATATGAACACATGTCAAATGTGGCATAACAAACGAAGTATGTGACAGGTAATGGTACAATCTAAATAAGTACAATCACAAATAAGTAATTTTAAGTAGAAGTGGCCAGTTTAAATTGACACTATTCAGGTAGATTTCGAAATTTATAATACTACTATATTCAGATTGGCGTTTAGTTGACACATTAATAAAAGATGACTATGAAATAACGTTAAATCCAACACATAAACAAAAATTTTAAAAAATGTCATAAAAACTCAAATAACCTTTCAGGCCTACAATTCCAGGTAATCCAGCCTTTCCTCTAGGGCCTAAGTCACCAGTTTCACCCATGGGACCGGCAGGGCCAGCATTGACACCCGTTCCTTTTTTTGCCCCTTTCCTACCTTTTGGACCAGGGTCTCCAGGATCACCTTTGCATATTTTTTTTTGTCAGCACTACAAATTTATATGTCCTAAATTTAAATTTGTTTTATGGCCAAATAATGATGTATAAAAAATAAGTTAGAGATATATCCTATTCAATTGATAGCAAAATTTCTAAAGTTTTCAAGTCGTAACTCATATGATACTCAATAAACAATCCTAAAAGTATTAAATATTCACAGACAAAAATTAAATTTATTAGGGCAGTTGAGAAAATCAAGTTAATTTGAATCCATTTGGTAAAAAGACACGAGCACAGAAGTTGCCATACAATGTTCGCATGTACATACATAAATTTCTCCATAATTACATAATTATAAATTACCTGGAGGTCCAGGCAAGCCGGGAGAGCCATCGCGACCAGGTGTGCCGGGAAGTCCTGCAGCACCTTTAACTGTGTCGCCAACAAAACCTGGATCCCCTTTCATACCCATCGGTCCTGGGTCACCTTGCAATCCCGGGAGACCATCTTGACCCGGTAAACCTAGAAAATGGAGTATGGTGATTAATGATGGCTATAATTTTATTGATGATGGTGGTGATAATGGTAATAAAATAATATATATTTTCCACGCCCGCCTCTCCAATACCTTCTCTGAGCTCAAAAGAGGGACGTCATATAAACGGCCAATACAAATAATGAAAATAATGATGACAGGGCAAAAATACACATGATATTTTGAGTTCAAAATTTTTAAACAAAAAATTATAACAATGGATTTATATAACAAATAAATAAATATATAAATATATATATATATAATATAAATAAATAAACAAACTTGGTTTGGGATTGATAAACAAATTTGTTTAGAGGAAATGTAATGCATGAAAAAATTATCAACATACCATCATTTCCTTTCATTCCTTTGACGGCATATCCTGGTTCTCCCTTGCGACCTTGAAAACCATCAGCACCTGGAAAGCCATCATCACCTTTATCCCCCATCTCACCTTGCCTCCCTTTCATGCCTGGTTAATAAAAATTTATTCAACATGCATGCAATCAACGTCAGAGGCACACGTTGCACATGGTAGGTGGCGATAACTTTGCATAGTAAATTCCTAAACAAAACAACAAAATAGGTGCAGGCACAATTCTTCGTTTTTTTTCTCTCCACCAAATGGTCATACAGACAAAATCTATTAACTCTACAGAAGATGATCAATGAAACAGTTCTTAAATAGTCAGCAACTATATAGTAGATAATTAAATATATGCAATGAAATTAAAGATAAGTTTTGACGAAGGTAAGGAATGAAGAAATAAAATAAAATGATTAAAAAAATGGATTATAAGATTAAAGATTAAACAAGTAGATGATAGACACCTTTGTCGCCTGGATCCCCTCTCAGTCCTTTTTCCCCAGGTCGGCCAAAACTTGGCTCGATTGGGCCAACCTAATTTCAATTTCGATTCAATTTTGATCAATTAAACCGAAACAAACTGAATGAACAAAATTTTGCGGACTTACTGAATCTCCAGGATCACCAGTCATTCCTTGAGGACCGTCATCTCCTATCTCACCAAATAAACCGGGCTTTCCACTCACTCCCTTCATGCCAGGGAAACCTGGTGACCCAGGTGGACCACTTAATCCCGTAGGACCAACTTTACCCCTCTTACCCTTTTACAAATTATAAAAACAAGTTAATTGACAATGAAATATTAGTCAAAACTTTAAAAACACTTACAAAGAATATCAAAATTGTGAAGTCTAAGCAAAAATTAAAATTTCCAACAATTTTAAAAATATGAAGATGCCTCATTACAACGTTTCCAAAGAGTAATAAAGAGTAAAAATTAAAAAAATAATAAATGATAACCCTAGGACCGGGATCTCCTGTAGGGCCTCTCTCCCCAGGGTAACCAGCAATGCCTTTCTCTCCCTGCAAACGAGAACATGAGAAACCAATTCGCGATATGATGTAATCACTGATACAAGAATACGGGGAGGGCGTTTAAAAAGTCAGCCAACCAACCAACCAACTAACCTTTGGACCGTTCTTGCTGTCCTCTCCTCTATCTCCCTTCTCTCCTTGTTCCCCTTTACTTCCAGGCAGACCACCCTTGCAGTTTTCGAAGGATGTAATAGGAGGATCACCTCTGCCTGGAGGTCCGGGCCTACCCTGATAAAGGTTCATGTAGATGTGTTATTATGTTGATAGCAATTTGTAACAAATGCAACAGTCAATAGTAAGCAAATCTTTTACAATTTTCCTAATTTTTTGGATGCTTTGTTAACACATTTTTAACTGCTGGTTATAAATCATCCTTATCCATTCATTCGCATACTTTTTGTCCCTTTTTTCCCTGGGTGGCTCTTCCTGGGTCTCCTGGCAAACCTGGCTCCCCCACGTCTCCGGGAGGTCCCTGTTTGAAAATTTCAAAAAAGATAATATAATAAATAAAAATTATTAATAATTACGATATGAGATATTATTACTGAATAATATGACTAAAAAACCACAAGAATTAACTACGTTAAGAAACTTGCAGCTATAAATTTCAAACTAAAAGAAATACTTAAAAATCTGCGACAAACTTTTCTTTATATTCAAAAAATCCACCAATCACCCAATCACCAATCTAAAAATCTTTAAATATCCACCAACCAATCTATCAATCTCAGGCCAGGGGTTACTCCACATTATATCAACCGTTAAAATATCTAATACAAAATATGTCATCATCAGTACTTACGGGATATCCATTTGGTCCAGGAGCCCCTAGATAACCTGGAGGACCTCTGGGGCCTTTTGGTCCCTGTGAAAAAAAATTGTATTCAAAAGAAAATTTATCGTTATTGCAATAAATTAATTTATTTGTAAAATAGATTCAAGAAAAACATTTAGATAAAACATAAACCGGAAAGCAGATACAATTTATTGAATGTTTGCTATCGGATTTAAATACTAAAAAATTTTGATGTACTTACATTGGGACCTATTTGCCCTGGTGGGCCAAAATCTCCATCATCTCCAATAATTGGCAAGCCCAACAGTGTGCCCGGATCACCCTGTGTGTCGTTTAATTACTTAAATGAATGATATTCTGTAGTGATTTTATTAAGAATTATTAAGACGATTATTAAGGTAATTTAATGAAGATGGTATCAATGATTTTCAAAAAGTTTCAAAGTATCTTAACAAGACAAAGATGTCGCACTTTTTTTTAACAAAAAATAATAGATTATACTATAAACGCCTTTTACTTTAGTCTCTGTCTGGTTGATTTTTATCAAATAAAGAAACAAACCTGAGATATATAAGTTAATTTCATCACATAACAAACTATTAACCAGCTAAATTTATGTAATTTTCAAAGATGCGGGCTTATGAATTTTAATATTTTGCCCATTTTTTTGTCCTTGGTAATAATAAATATATAAAATTTGTGTGTAATTAAAAAACCAAAATACTTTTAATAGCAAAAAATAGTTTGACTCAATAAAGATGAATTGTAATGCGGATTTCGACTATTAATTTGGCTACCTAATAGAAAACTATCTTGAGAAGTTTAAAAACAATTGGAAGTTTCTACGTTTTCCACTAAGCAACTGAGCACAAAATGAAAAATGAATGCAAATGATTTGGATTGAACCTTTTGACCAGGTAGGCCAGGAATGCCAGGCTGACCGGCCTTACCAGGCCACCCAGGGTATCCAGAGATTCCTCTCTCTCCCTGAAATCCATCAAAAATAAAACATCAAAACATAATATCAATTTAGTTACAATGATTTGCTATCCAACAATCTTTTCATGCACATCACAATATATGAAAAAAGTTTATTTCCATGATACATTATCGAAAAAAGTAGTGTTACTTAAATAACGAAAATAATTAAAAAAGTGGAATGGTGACATATCATCTTGATCTGATGGTCCCGCTGCCCTTTAAACTTTTGTATACTTCCTATTTCTGCAGATTTAAGCTGAACAAATGACAATCATAGTAAGAAGGCTATAATAAATGAGTATTTAGAACTTTACGTTTATTTTAATGTACTAATTACGGTATTTATTGGACGAGTTCACGAGATTAGTAGAAACATCTGTAAGTATGGTTGATCATACTAGGTAGCTTCTTCCACTAACTCAACACATCTCTCGTTAGATGTGGCTGACTAGGAATGCCGGCAAACTTTAGCATCCATCATTTGCGATAATCTGAAGGTCCCTATAAGAACCTACTATACTACCCGATAATTTTGTTGAAATTTCCAGCATAGAAGTTAACGTGGTCTCGGACATTAACAACCAGCTGAGGTGCCCCAAGAAACATTATTTTTTAATACTACGACATACATCAAAGATTTCAAATCTTCATCAAAGATTTCAAATCTTTGGAACATATCCAGAGTAAATGATTTCTAGTCCTGCCTGAAGTGTAGTCATCTTGCGTATAATCTCCACAACAAGAAGTTCAGTTTCATGCAAATTATGCCATCTAAATTTCGTTTTATAACTAAAATCGTAGTCAAGGCAACAAAACCGTTAGTAGTTTAAAGAATTTTCATTGCAGACAATCAACCAGAATTTTAATTTTTAAAAGATTTCACAAAAAGATAGAGAAGAATATTTCTTGTAACATCATAGTACTTTTAAATGTGACGAATCATCAAATAGAATTTGGGATATGTCTAATGTATGATTCTAACTCAACATAATAAAAGCAAACTTACGCACCAACATTTTATCTTGTATACTCAAAATAAGTGATTTCAACTACAAACAAAACAACATAACAAAGCAAAGCAACACCAAACAATAAATTGACCTAACCTTTGAACCATCACATCCCGGCAATCCTTTTGGTCCAGGAGATCCTGGAAGCCCTGGTCTACCCTAACAAACCAACGAAGTTAAAAAATAACAATCCTTAGTAAACATTTTTAAAAAATATAATTAATAAATATAAAAAAGATTGAAAAATAATAATTTCAGATATTAAAATAATAAAAAATTTAAATAAGAAACAAAGCATTTAAATAAAGAAATCTTGAGACTTACATTCAATCCAGGAGATCCATTTAAACCACTTGGACCATCGTCACCCTATACAAGAAATTAAATCAATCAAAGTAACAAATCTGAACTGGCACCAAATATTTAAAAATCAATAACAGTTCTGGTAAATAAATTACAAATTTTTCAAATCTTTTCTCATATAAACATTTCTCACACAGCAGCTGACATGGCTATGAAAATGCTTGGCTTAAGTTCTGTTCTAGTTTTTCAAACTTTATTGGTGATATTAAATACATAGTCTCTCTATTCTCTTGTTGTTTTTTTTACGTTTATATGCAATCTATAACCAAATGGTCAAATGATGAATGCTAAAAAGGTATTTCAACATAAATTCAAAAACTCAAATCCAAAGATAATCAATTAAAGCAATAATCAATTTTAACAAAAATAACCAGCAAATCAAACCAAATAAACATGTGCAAACACGTGGAACAAATTAATTCAGCGGATAGAGAAATAGATACAAACATTCAATCAACTTACTCGCATTCCTTTGGCTCCTGGATAACCAGGTTCTCCAAAACTCCCTGGCTTTCCTTTGGCACCATAAGGTCCCTCTGGTCCTAGGGGTCCATAATCTCCTTGTACGCCTGGCAAGCCGTCTATTCCAGGTTCACCCTTTTATATAATTTTTATAAAATTCATTATTAAATGTTGACAATAATTCATGTACAAACATTTTATCACAATCAGTGTTTTAATTAATTAGAATCTTATAAAATGAATACGAATCAATTCTAAAACGCCGTTCCGACGTGTTCATGGCGCTCCCCAATGAACTTTACAAAGGGATGGGTTTTGGGATCTGTTATGAACTTCGTAAGTGATGGAGAAGTAGTTAAAGAAAGAGGAAGAGACTTCCAAAGAAAAGGGTCAGAAGAAACAAAAGCAGATTTATGGTTAATGGGAGTTTAATAAAAGGTGAGAATAAAAAAACAATTGTAAACCGGGCTTTTAGGTTTTATTAGTATATCTGATAAGCACTTAAAAAATAATTTAGATTGAGACTTAAACATTAATGAGCAAATATGAAAAAATTATCCTATATTTCATAGGTAGCCAGTGTAAGAGAACAAGATATGGAGATATATGAGAAAAGAAAGAGGAACGAGCAACTAGGCGAGCGGCAGAATTGAAAGCTTTACTTAAAAAATAGAGTGTAGAATCAGGAAGACCATAGTAGATCGAATTACAATAATCAATTCTAGATAAAACTAACAAAGTAAGAACAGAGTGGGATCGTCAAGGGAAAGCAAAAGTATTTTTTTCTTATTATTTTTAAATAAGAACTTTTAGCAGCAATGTTAATCTGAGAAGATGTATACTAGAATCAAAAACAAGGCCCAGAACTACAAAACTTGAGAAAAATCAGGAATTTTAAAATTAAGTAAGATATCAATATAAAGAATAGTAAAAGAGTACTTAGTTTTATAGAAACATAATAGTTCCAACTTAGTTGAAAACTTTCAATCGATAATGAAAGAAAGATACAAAGTTAAATTAGGAGAAATACAATTAAGATTAGATGGAAATGGAAGAAAAGATGTATAGATAAACAAGTCATCGGCACATAGCAAGAAAAATAATTTAATAATAGGAAGAAGTAAGAGGAATTATAAGTAGTATTATAAAAACAGCAAAAGAGAAACAATCACAGAGATAAGAAAAAAAACCAGGCAAGATCCAGTTACTTTAAAAAAAGATCCAGCAATTTTAAGAGATTAGTATGAAGATACAAAATAGTTCAGTAACGTAAAGTTCAATTCAAATTTGATAAAAAAAAACAGCAATTTATAAATTTATTTATTTGAATAAATTTAGATGATCATGATCTAACTCACTCTGGGTCCAGGGTTTCCCTCACAAACACACCCGACGCAGCCTTTGCACTTTGATTGGTATCGGAGGGAGGGGTCGCTGAATACATACGACTGATATAATTTTTGTTCAATTCATTCATCAACGATATATTATAGTAATACTAAATTCAAATCAACAAATGAATTCATATTAATTAAAACAATTTGCTTATTAACCTCTGGAAATATAAAAACATAAATAAATTGGCAATAATTAGTGATTATTAAAAAATTGACAATCAATAGAAATAATAAAATAAAAAGCAAGTTGAAAATACATTTGGTAAAAAAAGAAATTTCCATGTGATATTCAAAATGGAGATGTTTGAGCGTGTGCTTTATTTGCATGGCATCAACAGATTATGTACCACAATTTGTTTCAACTGGCAAAATGGTTTGAGGCTTGAATAAAATTTATAATCTAAACATGTATAGATGGCGAGACTAATGCTTCTGTAAGCTAAAAATAATTTTGCTGGTTCATTTAAAACAACGGTATACAACACTTCAATGAAGTCAAATAGAATTAAAATTTTCAAAGTCTGTAAAAAATGTTATAAAAAATATACATTTTAACATCTTTCTTTTCAGATCAATGAAACAAATCTCCAAATTATCATTATTATTACTGGCATTATTATTATTTGAGCATTAATATAGCACCTCTTATAAAACGAAGGTTTTCTCAAAGACGCATTTCATGATCGAAAGAAAAATTAAATAAGTGTTACAGTTTGAATCGATGCAAAAACATTAAATAATATATAAATTCACAAAAAGGTTCAAAAAATGTCATAAATTGAAGCGTCATCTTCTTTCTTCAGTCAGTCGATGCGCTCAGTTCACTTTTATTGACTGTCGTTGCTGTAGTTGAAGTACCACCACTCATGAAGTCAGACATCCATCGGCCACAAAATTTCTTCGCTATTCTCATCAGAATATTTGGCATCAACAGTCAATACATGACGCGAAACAAGGTTGTCAAATTAACTTAAACATGGATTAAAGTGAAACGACAGTTACAATAATACAATGGAACTGATAATAAAAATTATGGTTACAATTATAATAAAGGTTAAACAAAATGATTTTAGATTTGAATGAATAATGTTTGACCAAAAAAATATTAACTAACATATTTAAAAAATTATTAACATCCACATCTATCTTGAATTGAAATCAAATGTTTTTAACCTCACTACCACGCCATCGGTTATAAGTTTATGAGATCGAAACTTTCAAATAATGTATAACGCTCTCATACCGATTTGGTTGGAATGCCATTTTTATGAAAATCAAAGACCATTAGTGCATGTGGGTTAGGGTACGAGTGTGGTTGTTTGCCATGTAATGTGACACTCAATTCCGACTGTCAGGGACGATTCTTAAGCAAATTTGTAATAGTCAGAGCTACAAAATCAAGGAGAGTTTTTAAAATTCAAACTGGTTTTTAAATGGAATGATTTTCTTCATCTAAGAATAAAAAATTATTCTTCTGTTTGCCTACGTTCAAAATATGCAATAAAATGATGCATACAAGCAATATAATTTTAAATGAATCCTTACATTCCATTGGTGAATAAAAATTCATAAAAACAACTAATATGTACAATATTGTGTAAAGAATAGATAATCATTGCAAAGTTTGCTCCTCCATCGAGCCAAGTTTAAAGATAATTTCAATTCAAGGTTCTCCTATCCCATGCTTCATATAAGCAGCAAGCTAAGGCATACATGTGTACATGCTTGCATAGAGCATGCTTGTGTAATGTAATGTTTTGTTGTAGGATAAGAAAGATAAGCATGCTGTATTATCTTCATTCAAAAACTGTAACTTTATTTTCGCTTTTAGTTCCATTGAATTTATTTATAAAACTTTTTCATGAAAAACCGTTGAAACGAAATTTAAAAAAACTTCTATGCATAAGTTTAGTAATTGCTGAATAACTGACAATATATAATTGAAATAGCAAAAATGAATAAAAAATACTATAGAATCAAAAACTATATCATGTAGAATGAAGCTTTAAACAAACTCAAAAACTGCTAAAAAATTTTTAATGATATAGTGTCTATTTCAATCATTTCCAATGATGCATAGATAACTTAAATGATGTGAATAATAAGAATCAACTAAACTACCTTCCATTAATTTTGCTCATTATTGTACAATTTTTAATAAGTTTTACTCTGTCTTATTAATCTTATTATTTACTTATTATAGAGAATATCACTGGTGAAGGAACATCTATTTGCCAGTGGCGGATCAAGTATTGTTCATTGGGGGATTATTGCAGTTGTAAAAAGTTGATGACAACCTTTTTTCTGCTAATTTCCGTTTATTCTCGTTTTGGTGAGAGGATGACTTTTAAAACTCTTAGTTGAGGACATTTTTTTGCAAAATTCAGTTACTTTATTACAATATTATACACAGAACCTTATTTTCTTCTTTCGTTGCACCCTCGTCCTTTACTCTGGACCTGCCACTGTTATTTGCACCTCACCATCCTAGTCTCATGTTGTATCACAATTATTTCACAGTTTACTGGTTGCAAGTTCCAATCTTGGATTACGAACGTTTTTGAGAAAATATTTAACTAATGGCGCCTTTGTATAAATTTATTTGAATATTTATCATTTTTACAAGACTTTATGGATTCTTTTTTACCATCAACATAAAAGTATGAAAACTTTTAAATTTAAAGGACATGAGATACAACTCATTTAGTTAATAGTTTAAGAAACACTAACAAATAACAATAGGTTCAAATATATTTTTCACATCTGTGAAAGTTTTTAATTAAGAGCAGCTTAATATAATACAAGCATGAACAAATGACTCAACTAACATGAGTTTTGAGTGTAAATACAACAAAACAACAAAAAATATTTCAACAACCAGCTCAAATATAACCAACCTACACCAATTTAATTTTCTGTACACTTTTATAATGTGTTATCAAAACTCTGAATGTTAATGATATACTGAAAAATGTTATTTGTCACATATTTTACTTAAACCATCAAGACAGAAAACAAAACAAGATACACACCCCAGTAAAACATGGCATTAATATAGTCTGTGCTAACTTCTTGACCACTGGTTTTGTAATTATTTATTTAAAATGATTGATATGTAGTTTTTTAATTATAAATGTTTAACTTTATCTTTTAAGAAGGATCTAGCATAAAATAATTGAATTACAAAAAGATTGCGCAGAACGACCAAAACAAAAGCAAAAAGAACGAAAAAATATTTTTTGTTAAACAACATTCTTGATTCTGTATTAAACATTACTGAACAATAAAATAGCTTACATATATATATTGATTGAAAGCTGGAAATTAACTAATTTTGGTTATTCATAATTTAATGTTTATTTTATTGCTTTTTTAATTTTAACAACATTAAATTATGAACACATATATGTTTTTACATGTATATAAATAATTGTGCATCATCTAATTCATAATCAAGCATGATTTAGATTTAGTTTAGAGGTTTAGTTTTCAAGGTAGCATTTTTTATTTTTATCTTATATTTTATTAAATTAACTTGTTTAAAATTTGTTAAAAAAGTTGGTAAGATAAGTTTTTAGAAGTTTAAGTTATAGTACGGAACCAAAATTAGGAACAATAATATAACTTTTAAAAGTAGAAAATGTGACTGAATTAAGTTAATTACCAAACGAAAAATAACAAACTGCAAAAAAGTTAAAAAGCAGCAAAAACAACACGCATTAAGTAAGATTAAGCATTAAGATAAGAGAAGACCAACCAGAACAAATAAGTCAACAAGAACAAATTGACAAGCTTAGCTCCAAGATCGAAACTTCAAACAATTGAAACCAGCATTCTAACTGTTACTCCCAAATCTTGTCCGATTTAAAATCCAGATTCAATTAATTTAAAATTTAAATTTACACTGGTCGCATCGTTACAACAAAATTTATCTGACGCTTCACCTTGGCAACTAACTAAAGCAGACGAAAATCGAGATAACCATAGATAATAAAACATAAACATCACACTTTATCTTCGGTTTTCATTTAAAAATTGTTTTAAGTGTGAATTTAAAATTGTCCTGTCGAATTTTCTCTATCTTTCTCTCTCTCTCTCTCTCTCTCTCTATATATATATATATATATATATATATATATAAAGAGAAAAATCTTGTTTTTTCTATTATATAAGCTTGAGTTTTTCATATACAAAAATTACTAATTGCCAGATTGTTGGTGAATAAATAAGCATTCCTTTTATTCTGGCAGGAGTGTCTACAGAAATTTGAAGAGTTATTTAAAATATAAAATAGCAGGTTGTCGATCGTTTTTGCTCATCAGAAAATTTTATACACATTTTCCTATTAAAACCAGTACTTTTGTATAACAGTTTACTGAATTAAGTGGAACTGAAATAGACCAAAAAGGCGGATTTTTTGCCTCCAACATTTAACGGAAGATCGACAGGGCTTGAAAACTTGATTATTAATATGTAAATATTACATATAAAAGTTGAAAATTAATAACAAATTAAACAATTAGGATTCCTGAGGAATGGGGCAAGGAAGTCATATTCAGAGAAACAAGCAATTATAACATCATTACTGCAAAGTCTGGCCTAGTGCTTTATGTAGTGTGTATTACGGAAGAGTTTAGGATGGGCTCTTTATTTCTACATACATTGAAGAGAAAGTATACTTTTATTTTGTTAAGTGCTAAATAAACAATGTTATATTATACAACATTATATGTTAAACATTAAAAACATTATTAAACAATAAAATTAAACAGCATTATATTAAGCAACATTATATTTAAATATGTTAGTAATATAAAATTAATTAATTAATTATACAAATACGTTTTTTTTTCAATTTTTGTGTGTGGAACCACAAAAGTGATTTGTCTTGAGTCTTTCATGAAAACTTAGTTTCCGATAAGCTACACGGATATAGAACAGGTTTTCAAAAATTTAACAGCATCACAGACGAAAAAGAAAAACTTCAATTTTCTTGCAGTCACATGTTGCATGTTCACTTGTTTTTACACAAAAGCACACCCCACACACAGCCACAAATATACATTCACGCACGCACGCACACGCATGCACACGCACACACACACGACTATTTTTATGTATTTCTATGGTTAGTTTAGAGAAAGTTTTTCATCAATAGATATTATTTGAGCTGAGTTTAGATCAGAGGTGGGCAACTGGCTGGCCACACACGGCCCGCCAAGCCGATTCATGCAGCCCTCGGAAGTATATTTCAAAATTGTTAAAAAATATTAAAAAAAGTGTCATTTTTCAATACTTACTCAATTTTACTTAAATTCTATTCCGAACATATTAAATAAAAAAGTTTTTTAACAAGTATTACTTATAATAAAATATGTGTTTATGAAGGGAAAATTGACTATAGGCCCATCAGCAGAAAAGTTGCCCCCGTCCATTAACATTTTGCTGCCCCCGTGAGCGCAGGAAGTTTCAAAACAACTTTGTGAATATTTCCTCCCCCCTCGTGGCTCATCGACTTCCCCCTGTCGTTGACTATTTGGGGAAACTTCCCCCACGGTCGTTAACTTTTTTGAAAAATTTCCCTTCTCCCAGCCATCAAATATTTTTTAAAATCTTGCCTCCCCCCCGTCTAATTTGTCTAGATCCGCCACTGAATATGAGCCGACATTTTAAAAAGTAGCACAGCCCTGGTTTAGATTGTTTATTATTCAGCATCATGATTTTGGCATCGTTGCCAATTTTTCCCATCCTTGCATATCCAACACCCAACAGATAATTAAATTCGAATGTTTACATAACTTCTGATAAAAAATGAAGTGATAGCAATTTTCAGGCGGTTGTTTGTTATGTTAGTCTGCTGCAAAGCAGACAAGTTGCTTGCCTTGCACGCTCTTATTTCAACGCTACCCAATTTTGAATCAGTCTATTAATTTCTATTAATCTTTAAATGTAGTTTATTCAAAATATTTGATGAGAACCAATAAATAAACTAAATAAATAAATATAAATAATATATATTATATATATTATGAACGGGTGTCGACATGCCATTGGAAGTACTTTCCGACGCAGATCAGCACACACTCTCACACACACTCTCACACACACAAACAAACAAACAGATATATATATATATATATATATATATATATATATATATATATATATATATAATTTGTACACGCACAGATTTATAGAATGCCAAATTTTCTGTGATCGAATTAACGTTAAATGACATTATATTTGAATTTTTCTTTGCTTGCGAATTTTTATCTCTCCAGAACAATTAATGAATATTAAAAATTAACTTTAAGGTTTAAATTAAAAGAGAAAATGAATCGGGGAAAAAAAAATTAATCCAAAAATTTTTAAAACTTTTACAGAAACTTACAGAAGCCTGCATGACGCAGACAGTCATGATGATAGTTCCTAGCAGCATCAACCAACTTCCGTCTAACTTTCCCGCCATTTTCACCGTCTGTTGAGCGCAGTGTAGTCCGAACAAAAAAGAAGAATCAAATTTTAAATATTTTAATTACTACTTTACAAATAAACAAACATACAAATCTAAACAATTTAGTCAACAATCAAATCCCTGTACTAGGGATTTGATTACAGAATTTTGATCTACAATGTGAATGAATCCTCTATCTATCTATCCAGTCCAATAAAATATTCACTCAATATTTCATGTATCCATCTTAACATTATCTTCTCCTATTCAGTGTTGTTGTTTTGTTTCGCGGTTTAAACGTTAAACCGAACGTTTAGCTCCAGACGAACTTGCTCCGGAGCGTATATTAAATGAAAAGATAAACAGCAGCACATTGCTACATCACTCTCTCCATCATCATCATCATCACCACCACCACCACTATACTCTTCTCAGCACATACCCATCTTACTCATACATACCTACATACATGTATACATACCTACATGTATATAAACCTACATACATACTTACTTACATATACACATGTCAACATACATACATTTATCAACATATATATATTACATACAGGCTTGTATTCCTACATAAATACAAACGTTTATGTACATAACACGTATACTCATGCACATGCATGCATGCATGCATGCATACATAGGCATATATACAAATACACAAACATAAATATACATACACATAGGTTGGAATTCTCAAACATTCAATGTATCCTCACTTACACGCAAGAGCACACTAAAAATATTCACAAGCTCATATATATTCAGCATATAGTTGAGTTTTGTATCTTTAAACAAACGATGAGTTCAAATTTGTTTTGTACAATGCAACTTGTATTTGTTTGTACAACAAACACGTACTCCAGCTCGCACGCACAGACTTCATTCTTCAACAACTTTTTATTCGGATACAACTTAATAATAATGTACGAGTGGAATAATGTGTGTGTGCTCGTGAGAATTAACGCCATTGTGTGTGTGTTTGTATGTATGTGTGTGTATGGGTGTGTTTGTGTGTATGGGTGTGTTTGTATGGGTGTGTGGTGTGTGTGGGAGGGATTTGCACATTTTTTTCACTTTCTTAAAGTTTTTGAAAATTGGATTGCAGACAAGTGTGATAATCTCAGCCATATATGAAATAACTCGCTCGACTTTTAAACTGCCATTGAATCATATGCAATTTTTTCTCCAACGTGAAACATTTACATTAGGATCGAAAAGCTATTTTGATTCGTGCTAGCATGATGTATAACGAATTAATTTTTAATTTAATATATAATATTATTATTGTCTTTGATACATTCATGTAGCACTAATAAAAAAGTTAAAACTTTTCTCGGGAGCTCTAAGCGAAAAGAAGGCTCAAATTCCCGAACTCGGTAGCCGTCCTCCTTCCCATATCAGGCAGGTGGCTGGCGCTCGGTTAACACCAGCTGGATTGTTGTAAATTGCAAATTGTAAATAATATTTCTATTTTTTTTCTATTTAAAAAATTGAAACCTTTGAACCAAAATCTAAAAATAACTATTTAACTAATATTCTAATAACTAATAACTAATTTAACTATTCGAGGCAGTAGTTAAGAAATAGTTAAAAACAACTCTTGCTAACTTTTTAACTCTTTTTTCCATTTAGCTAACCACAATGGTTAATTTTTAACCATTTTAATAAACACATAACGACCAGTTTTTGTTGGCAGCACTACTGCACGAACACATACACACACACACGCAAACACACACACACACGCAAACACACACAGTGGCGGATCTGATGGGCTTTCCTGTTGTGAGCAGTTTCTAATAAAAGTAGTCCAAAAAAGACCGTTTTACCTGTAAAATCGACCAAAAATTGAACGTGACAAGCTAAAAAAAGTTTGTCAGTCACACTATCAAAAATCTTGCCCACCCACAGAAAAATTTTGACCTTCTCGGAAAAATTTAAACATTTTTAAATCTTTAGCCTCCTCCATCAAGGTTGTCTAGATCCGCCACTGCACACACACATACACACAGACACACACGCACACACACGTGAAATCCAATGCACCAGTATAAGAATGCAGAACGCCTATCTAAATGCACGAAAGAAATTGTTGAAGGAAACCACAAACCGCTATGCTGATTCAGAAGTTTTTAAGAGCTGGTTGATGATAACGATTGCGTAATAATATAGGTTCCGTATTCATTCGAAGCCCAAATTTGTGCTTGTTTGTTTATGTGTGTGTGTGTATGGTGTGTGTTTGTGAGTGTGTGTGTGAGTGTGTGTGAGTGTGTGTGTGTGTGTGTGTGAGTGTGTGTGTGAATTCATTGATGGTTGTTCTATCTGGTGTGGCAACGGGTTTGTTTTTTTAAAGATGAAAAGATGAGTTGTATTAATTCTAATCTTAATTCAATTTTTACTCCCAACCAGGCCTACAACATCATCCGCGGTTGTTCCTCCGGGTTCTTCCCTAAAATACTTATCAGTCTTTCCATCATCACCTTTCCTTCTCCAACATTTTATATGCCGTATTATCACTATTTGTTGCCATCGAAATCTCGGTATAAATTTGTAAAAATTTGGGCTGAAAATTTTCTGACTACGCAACTGAACCCCACACCTCAGTTTGAATTTGTCTGGTGTTTTGACAAGCATCATCATCTTGGGTATCATTTTTCTTTCACCATCATCATTCTCTTCAGCACTACCACCATCATCTTCATCTTCCCCGATGTAAGATTCAGCACTTGAGTAAATAGCTTGGAAGAGTGTGGAGTAACGGCTGTACATACAAAACTATAATAAACACACAGACACACACATACACGCACACTTTCTTTTTTCTTTCACACACAAACACACATACATTTAGAGAGAGAGAAAGAAAGAGACTTTCATATGCGTGTTATATAGCTACATGTTTTTTATACAATGTTTTGTATATATGTATGACATACAAAAATGGATATCTATGTACAATTGTATTCATATTTAATTATAAATAAATAAACAAAAATATATGTGCATTTTTATACATGTAGGTATGTAACGATCTGGTATGTGCAAAGTGCACACACACACACGCACACGCACACATGATGTGGATTCAGCTTATTGTTGTTTGTACCTTGTAAGTTTCGCCTAATGCTATAATGATAACAACAGTCCCACATAAAGATGTTTCTCACTCAGAGCAGATTATGTTTATATTTTTAATTTTTTAAATTTCACTTTTAAACTATGAAATTTTTTAAATTTATTTATAAATTACTTTTATTTAATTTTTAAAATTCAAAAAATGAGTTTTGTATGATGTATAAAAGGATGTATAAAATATGTATGATGCATATATAAAACAAAATGGAAGTTGAAGGCTTACTCCTACATACCGTACGCACGCATGCTAATGTTAAAGAAGAAGCTGAAGATTCCAACAATGATGTAATGATGATGATGACGATTATGATGATGATGATGAGGATGATGGTAGTGATGATGAGGATGATGATAGTGATGATAAGATGATAGAATAATGGTGATGAAGACAACAATGATGACGATTACAATAATGGTAATGATGGGACGGTAACGGAGAGATGAAGATGATGATTAAATAAATGATTAATATGATGATGGTGATGATGAAAGGATGGATATGATGATGGTGATGATGAAATGATTAATATGATGAGGACGGTGAGTGAAAATGCATCTCTGACGTTACTGTTCCATCCTTAGCATTTTAATTGTTTATCAATTCTCCTTACTAGATGTTGTTGTCAATGAACGTTTTATTAGAAACTCAACCGAATTTGAAAAATAATTCGAAAAAAAAATGGAAGAAATACTATGTGGGTTATACTCGTGATTGTAATTAGATACCCGAATACAGTCATCATATCCATCATCACCTTTGATGTCAGGTGAATCAATTTTTTTAACACTTTAATGTGAAATATTGTAATAATGTTATTATGGTTACAAAGAAGTCACATTCTACTCTTTAATGCAAGGAAACAAAATCAGCCCAGTGGTTTAGTTCGTGTCAATAGTCACAACGGAACATACCAGCATTGGTTGGAGTTTCATTGGCAGGATTATGCAATTGCGGGAAGAACTGGAACTATTCTTATCGAACGTAAAAAATTCTGAAGAAATTTTGGATTTTTTAAAATATTTTGACAAGTTAAAAATATAAGAGGGCATTGTTTTCCAATCCAATAAATAGTTTGAAAAGGCTGAAAGATTTGTGCTGGTTACATGGCTCCTGCTGGTTTTAGAAGAATATTTTTACAGAAACATTTCAAAATTATTAGTCGGAATTATTTGCTTTTTACTTAGCCCAGCACTTTGAAGATGAAAACAGAACAAACATTGTTCTCCAATGACATATAATGAGATTTCCACAGCATGATCTTAACTCGCACATACATCATGTGAGTACATTTATACATGCAATGAACGTATGAACCAAATTTCCTATATAAACAACTGTAAAACAGTGCTGTGAGAAACATAAAAAGGCGTTAACATCTTATAAAGCTGCTTCTCTAAAAGGATAAAAATAAATAAGATATGTACGTGAATATATATATATATATACATATATATATATAATATATATTTGTATATATATATATATATGTGTGTGTGTGGCGTATGTATGTATGTATGTATCTGTGTTATTCGTGTATGTGATGTATGTTAAATGTATGTATGTATGTATGAATGAATGAATGGATGAATGAATGAGTGAATGAATGAATGGATGAACGAAGGAATGAATGAATGAATGAATGAATGAATGAATGAATGAATGAATGAATGAATGAATGAATGAATGAATGAATGAATGAATGAATGAATGAATGAATGAATGAATGAATGAATGAATGAATGAATGAATGAATGAATGAATGAATGAATGAATGAATGAATGAATGAATGAATGAATGAATGAATGAATGAATGAATGAATGAATGAATGAATGAATGAATGAATGAATGAATGAATGAATGAATGAATGAATGAATGAATGAATGAATGAATGAATGAATGCATGTGTCTTCTACGTATGTGCTTCTGAATAATTATGACATTTGATCATGAAACTTGTTCGTATACCTTCGTGAGTGTGTGTGTGTGTGTGTGTGGGATCATGTATTGAGCACCGAACATGTTCGCGCCGCACATACGTGACTGCATGCATACATGCATATATGGTAGGCTGATTCAGCTTCTCACGTTAAACACGTTTATATGTTAATTTTAATTTTACTGAAATCTGTTTCATTCATTCCATGTTTATATGCACAATTGCACACACACAGACATGCGCATACAAACATACACACAGGCAAACAAATGTACAGAGTCAACTGGAGTTGGAATATTGTGTCGGTGACGGAGTTTTTTAAGCAGCCGGAGTAAGAGTTGGATACTTATCCGACTCCGACACCCTGCATTCTTGAAAGCGTACGAACTAAAGACATTCAGCTTTGTTATTTTCAGGCCAAAAAGCTAAATAGTGCAATGTTCATTTAAATCATTATTTTGGAGGTTTTAATACAATAATTGATTATTATTATTAGCGAAAAATTGATTTTTACCACCATAAGTGGTAAAACATCAGAATGTGAACAAGAGATTGAATATAACCTCGATAAAGAAATGTTAGATAAACACGATTAGACTACTGTTTTTTTCAATGACTAGTTTCTCATTCAAAATAATTATTTTTTCAAAATTTTTGATTTTTTGGTATTTGGTTTTCGGCTTCAGGCGAATAGTGGATCAAACTATTCGGCTTTCGACCAAAGTCTCTATTCGGTGAATCTCTAGTACAAACCAGTATAATTTTTATGTTTATCTTCGTACGATTATGTAAAAAAAATGTTCAACTTCTTCCACCAAGAGGTTCCAAATTTAAACAAACATACAAATCGAACATACGAGCAAGAGTCTTTCTTTACTGCTTCAAATTCCACGCTCATTTTCCTAGAGGCGAAAATCGTTAATACGAATATTCTGGAGTGTGTGAACAAAAAATTTGTCATCTACTCGCAGCACTAAATTATTTTTTTTTAAATTCTTATTTTTCATCCGTTCTAGAAAGCAAACTTTCATTTACAGTGCCAACCAACATTAGTTTAAATGTTGAATGGTGGAAGTACAACCTGCAAATACAGAATTAATCCGAAAGCATCTCTAGTTATCTTAACCAACATCTAACAAACGGCTGACATTTTATGGTCATTTACTTTTTGTTGCTGTAGTCAAAGATTCAAGACTCCAATATACCACATCATGGTTCGGAATTTTTATTCTACATTAATCTAAATAATATTTTGTACATTCGTCGGTATTTTTTCATTTATTTTTCAACAAAGATTGTTATTTCAAATATTTCAACAAAACATGCCTGCGGAACATTCTGGTTTTGGATGAATAAAAAATAAAATTTTGGCGTGTATAGTTTATTTCAACAAAAATATGATTGTGAAAGTTTATACTAAAAAAAATATACAAAAATTTTAATCCCAAACAAAATAAATCATTAAACACCCGAAATAAAAAAGCAAACTGAATTTTAACAAAAAAAATTGACTTGTTTCATTCCACAGGTTTTGAATTTGTTGAAGTGGTTCACATAGAAAAACAAATGAACATTGAAATAGCGACAATGTTGAAGGTTGTGTGCCATGAAGTGTTTGGTCGTTACATGAGATAACATCTAAAAATTTAACCAAGAATTAACCAAGATAAATTTATTGAATTAACTAGCTTCATATCTTGAACACAAACTCAAAAAATAAAATTAATGATAGACAGTGACTTGAGTCAGGCAGAACCAAACTCAAAACTCAAGCCTGCCCATACTACTGACCTATAAATATTTTAGTGAGTGATTTTTAAACAAGATAGATGTCACAAAACTTCGAAAATATACGATTTGTAACCAATGAGACTTTTGTAATTTTGTGAAGAAATCAATAAATGAAATACGACTTATGATTGAATAATAACGTGAAATGATTTTTAAAATAAATACAATCTTTTTTGACATGTCGTGTATTGAATATAAGAGAGGAAATATAATAAAGGATGAATTATCAAAAAAAAAATATAGTATTTGCAGAAAACTGAAATCGATCGGGAAATGAAATATAGAATTTGAAAAACGAACTACAACAGCCGTACACGGAAAAGCCGTGAAAAAAGCGATGGATAGATCAAGCAACGATTTCTACTGCAATGTAACAGAGAACACTAGTTGCAATGAAATGCGTAAGTTGCTAACTAACCAGTCGACCATTTCAATCCAAATAACTATATATTTAACTAAAGATTTTTTTCCAAGCTCAAAACCTCTGACACCAAATTCATTTGCTGCAAGGTAGAATTCAATTCAATACATTCACTATTAAAAACACCTCGTACGAACTTTAAAAAATTCAAATGATCGACATAAAGCTAGTGAAGGAATCCTTCACTAAATACAATATTACAACATTATATGTTCAAATTATGAACAAGACATTGAATTAATCGTATTTATTTCTAAAAGAAGCATTACTACGTATCTATTTACAGTATACATTCAACACACGCATTCTGGTTTTTACTAATTAAAAATAAAAATGAAACATAAATATCTAAATTTACGCCAAAAATGATATTTAAACAGTTTGGAAATCTAGAAATATTAAAAAAAAGATGGCACATTTCGTATAAACAACAGAATTACAAATGAAACTGATTGAAATGACCATTGGAGCATTTTGAGCCAAAATCAACATTACGGGTAGGAGCAAGCTCAGCAATCATTAGCAGTGCAAGTATAATAATACATTTTCAAAGTGTCCGAAAGTTATTCATAATAAACAAAATAATTTTGTTACATATTTATTATTGTAATAACTATTAGATTGTAACGGCGAAACCCCCGAATGTTTGTCAAGTAACGAATCGAAAACAAAAAAAGGATAATTTAATTAAATTAAATAACAAATTAATAATGAATAAAATGAAAGAAACGCGACAAGATGGTGACCGATTCAGTTTTCAAAGGTATCAATGATAAAATTTTAGTTTAAAATGATAAATAACAACACAAAGAACAGTGATGGACCACCGATCTAGCTTTTATCTTACTGATATAATATCAGAATCAAATGTAGATATAATGGATTGCTGTGATTATCATTAAGCACGTAGATGCAACATAAACGACGATAGAGACAATATTGACGAGAATGACGGTAAGGATGAAAATGAAGTCGCTGACGAAACAGATGAAATTCCCGAGACTTTCCAGCTTTGCACTTGAATGAGAAATGATCTTATTGGCAGTTGAAGCAGGCGCTTTCTTCCTATTGGTAGAATGATTAGGAGGATAGCTTGGATGCGTGTTGTAAAACTCGTCGTTGGCATCTTTCTGGTCGATCAGTGATGCAGCAATGAGAAACTCATCCTCATCAGTTACAATTCTTTCTTCAAATTAGTTGTGTGTCGAGGGCATTCTCCAATACAGAAAATTTTTATCCGCTTCTGACACCAGTGTGCAACTTGCGTCGAGTTATTGATATAACGTAGGTTCGCTAATTTCTTATAGATAATCACAACTTCCTCGAACACAGACTCGTTTTTTTATAAACGCCAACAGTTAGTAGGATCACTTAAATATTCGCGAATGACAGAAATGTGATAGATGTCGGCACGATCGCCAAAAATTCTAGGCTCAACTTGACCTTGACCATCCAACCACCATAGCCCACAACCCCAACCTCTCCCTGCTCTGAAAACTTTATATACCCCTTCATATACCCCTTAGCTTGTTCCTAAAACCAAAACCGCGATTCACAATCAGAGAAAGTGAAACAAAGAGTTTCCTTAATTCAACGGTCAAATATCTTGCGGATACATCATAATTATTATTATTCTTTTTCTAAACGAAATTCAGTAATTGTATGCGTATAAAAATGGATTAAACGAATAAATGATTGGTGTTTGATATATTACCATTATATATATATATATATATATATATATATATATATATATATATATATATATAAGCGAATATATATAATATTATATATATATATTCCCTTGATTTTTAAACAACAGCACAACGATGGTGAAGGTGGAAAAACTCAAAAACTAACAATAGCAATAATAAATAATAAAAATAATAACAACAACAACAACAACGACTACGATAATAATAATAATATGGAAAAATATTTAGTTGAGCAGTATGAGAATAAAGCTTGCTAGCAAGAGAACAGAGCAGATAGAAAAATAAATAAATAATAATAAATAAATAAAAAAAACATTCCTCACAAAATATTGTCAACATTGTTATTTCAAAACCGTCATCATCATCTTAACAGTTATCATCATCATTATAACCGTCATCATCACGATCATCATCATTATCATTACTATTATCTTCACCATCATCACCATCCCCCTTGTTGAATACTAAAATACCACACCATCAATCATCTCTGCTGACGTCATCAGCGTTTAAAAAATATTTTCATTGAAATAAATTTCGAATGAGTTAGCGTTAATAGAGACAGATTAGTTTTTTTTCGTGTAACTCATTTAGAAAATGAAACCAGACTACTGTACTAACTAATCCAACATTCACTCATCAAACCACCGTTGGCGTTATACATCCTATCTCAACCTCAAGTCCGAGAACTCAGGCTAGGGCCATCTGTCAACAACAACAAAAAAACATAATTTCATCAACGTCATCATCATCAACATCCTTAATATCACCATCATCATCATCTTAAATATCACCATCATCAACATCAATATCCCCATCACTATTACCATCATCATCAACATCACCTTCGACATCATCATCATTATCACCTTCGACATCATCATCATCATCCTTAATATCACCACCACCATCATCATCGTCGTCATCATCATAGCCAGCTGTATTAACATAGATGACATACCGTATGAGGGAATATATCGTGATTTAAATGCTAATATCAATCGAATTGTTAAATTAATTAAATAATAATTAATTAATTAATTGATATTAATTTATCACAAAATTAATCATAAAAAGTTTTATCCTGCCTAAATACACACACACACACACACACACACACACACACACACACACACACACACACACACACAAACAAACAAATGAACATACATACATACATACACTCATCATTTTCATCATTGGTCGGCGCGATGGCGCAAAGGTTAAGGCGCCTGGTAATGTTGGTGCAGTAACCGGGTTCAAATGTCGAGTGATCCCCGCCCGTCACATGCAAAAGTTTGTGATGCGTGGATAAGCGTGCATTTATACACAGTATGTTTGTTGTAATGATGATGACGAAGCATGATGGTGACGTCATCAACGACATTCAACACCCACATCAAATTCACTCATCGCATCGCATTGTCGTCGTCATCACCATTATCATCATCATGATCAACACCATTATTATCATCATCTACTCCACCACCACCACCATCACCGCAATGACTATTACTACCATCATCATCAGCATCATCATCATCTCATTACATCATCTCACTCATTAACATCACCAGCCACTTTTTCCCGCCTATAAAACAAGTCAGAATGTTGGAAAAGAAAAACATGGCCAAACTTGAATGAAGAAATAGTAAGAATATAGCATAATTTAATGTAATTAATATTAATGTAGCCACATCAATATTAATTAGCCACATCAATATTAATTAGTTACATTAATATTAATGTAGACACATTAATATCAATTCGCCACATTAATATTAATGTATCTACATTAATATCAATTCGCCACATTAATATTAATTAGTGTAATTAATATTAATGTAGCTACATTAATATTAATTAATTATAATATATTTTAGTCGTGCCTAGTTCAAATATTTACAAATCGGCCGTGGTGGTTAATAATAATAACGTTCCTACCACATATATATATCGATCACTACTATTAAGAATGGGCAAAATTATCGATTTTTAATATATGAAAAAGAATAAGAATAATAATAACAATAATAATAATAATACGATATCAGCAAAATAAATAATAAAAAAATAATTAATTGATCAATCAACGTCATGATAATCATCGTCGTCGTCTTCATCCTCTTCATAATCGTCCTGGCCATCACTTCTTAGAGGGATGAACTTCCCCCCGTTGCCCTCTTCGCTGCGGTTTTTCTTGGTGGGTGGGCTGTGGCAGGAGTCGTCGTCCTGCGAGTGGGGCGAGTCCCAGTGTCTCGGGGTCGGTGAGATGGCCCGCACCACCTTCATGCGGCCCTCTACGAACCATTGGTTCTGCGTGTGTGTGTGTGTGTGTGTGTGTGTGTGTGTGTCGTGAGGTTATTTAAGGTTATTTTGGTGGTTTTCATTTTTTTCATTTTCATCATCAAACTACGCAACAGGCAATACTTCAGCGGTTAAAACAGCAATTACAAATTACTACAAAGAACAACTACGACTACTGCATCTAACAACAACCAACAACAACAACAACATCAACGAAGCACTAACAATCCTTCCGTCCCTGCCAAAGAGTTCGAGGAAGTTGCATATGAACTCTCTCGACTTCTCTTCCCACTTGTTGATGAGTTCGTGACCCTTGTCCATCATCCTACCTCTGACCGACTCAACTTTCGACTGCAACTGAATCGTCTTCTCCTGGTTCCAAATGGTTTTCAAATTAATTCGCTTTTGAGGATCGAGAAGCAAAATCAAAATATAAATAGTGTTGATTATATTAATATACACAATCACCATCTTCACCACCACCATCTCCACCATGTACCGACCTTCATGAACCCGACATTGAGCTCCTTGGCAGTGTACCCCCTGGCGAGGTTCCTCCTGACGTAGATGTCGTAGTCCTTGATGATGCGGGCGATGACGTCAGTGGTGGAGATGCCCTCTGTCCTCTCAGTGGCCACGAACCTGCCAGAGTCCTTCAGCCATTTGTAGATGTCCTCTTCTGTGCTCGATCCATAAGGCAAGTCATCGTGGGCCACAAAGTCTATCTGGATGAGTGAGCGATTGACGGCGTGAGGTGTGATAAGTTGTGTGTGCGTGCGTGTGTGCGTGTGTATTAGTGAGTCAGCGTGTTGAACGGGTACAATGATTTTCAAATTTTTTCATAACCATTCCGTCTAAATTTTTTTTACACGTTGTTTGTGATTTTACATTTTTTTTTCAAAACAAAAATTACAACAAACCCGCCGGAAAAAGCAAAAACAACAAGCGAACCAAATTTCTAAGTTTGACGCTTTTTTGCGGAACAAAAACTCCGCGCCACTTATCCATAGCACTATTGCAAAAAATCATTGCAATGACTGAAATTCAACACACTGACAATTACAAATCTTTTTTGTATTTGCCAAAATGAGACGAACGACCAGACAGACAGACAGACAGCAGAACAGCAGACAGTCAGAGAGACAGACAGACAGAACTACATGCGAAAATACTGAAAATGCACAACTCTGGGACTGTGGTTAACGATAAATCCTGAAATATAAGAGGCATTATGTTCCAGAATCAACTTGGATTCCATAACTTGCAGTTCTCTTCGTCCATTGCCTCATTTAAAAAGAGAGCTAAGGAGGAAATTTATGGATGTAGTTCTAAATCCTGACATTGTTTGCTTCATAATTTTCAATTTTAATTTACGGCATCATTTTGAATCTTCCTAATCTTGAAACTCCCCGCTACTCGATTTCTAATTTAAATCTATGATATTTGAAATTTTTGTATAATTAATTAAGTTTTAAGGTCATCGGCATTTTAGCTGTTCATTGTTATACGCCTCCAGGTTATATTGTTTAGTCCATCGAAAAATTAAAAATAAAACTATCGCTATCATCACCACCAACAACACTACCACCACCATCATCCTCACCATCATCATCATCATCATAGCTAGCAAACGCAATTAATATTATTTATTGAAATAAATAAGTTGTGAATGAACTGGGGATTGCAAATCATTTTGCGTGAACAACCGATGATAATTTTAAACTGAACTAAAAAAAAACACCAAGACATATGGCAAAAACAGCCTTACCAGTCAACCAATCATACATAACATAGTGGAATTGTCATATTTAATTATTCATCCAATCATTCATTCATTCGTTCGTTCATTCATTCATTCATTCATTCATTCATTCATTCAGTCACAACAGTCAGTCATTCAGTCCTACATTCATTCATTCATTCATCACATTTGTATTAATGCAGCAAACATGTAGAATGTTCGAAAATATAAATTAGATATTTAATGATGTTGAATAATAATAGCACAACTAAATTTTAAATATAGTCGTATAGTCAGTAACTTATTTAAATATTCATTCATTCATTTATACGTTCATTTATTCATACGTTCATTTATTCATACGTTCGTTTGTCCATCTATCCATTCATTCATTCATTCATTCATTCATTCATTCATTCATTCATTCATTCATTCATTCATTCATACGTTCGTTTGTCCATTCATTCATTCATCCATCCATTCATTCATTCACATTCTTTTTTAAATTAAAATAAACACGTCAATATTTTTTCCTATGAGAGAAAGACGAAAAAATATCCCCCCCCCTAAACCTTGTGGTGCTGCATGAAATCCTCATCAATCTGCCAGGGGGCATCGGCCACGACCTCGTCAACGTACCTGCAGTGCTGCACGGCATCGTACCTCTCCTTCTCATTCATCACCGTTCGTCCTTTCATCTTCCACGTCAGTTCATCGTTGCATACTGCAGTGTGTTTGTGTGTGTTTGTGTGTGTGTGTGTGTGTGTGTGTGTGTGTGTGTGTGGAGATGCAACCTATAATAAGTTAGTAACATACAATGTGCCTTCTGAAGACTTTTAATTTTCTACTGAATGTTTACAGGCTCAAGTGTCCTCTTATTCTAATCATTCCTTCGTTTTGCAACTTTAAACGAAAAAAATTAGCCAACTTTGCGTGATGTCATTTCAACTCCGAGTTTGATTTCGTGAGGCCGTCTGGAGCATTGGAGGTTCACACTTTCTAACTCAATCAACAATTTTGTTGGACGTTGAAATATTGAAACTCTCAGCCAGAGACATCCAGCCAGCATTACTCACATCTTCCACAGCCACATTCATCGTAATTAAAGCAGTTAAACGAAACAAAAATCCAAATTCCAATAGGTACTCGAAAAGAAACCATCTCACATTACATTCCAGGAATGAATACATATGAACAAAAGTAGGAACCTCCAACAATCAGGTAAACACTTGGGAAGACTGCTTTGGCTTGCATAAGTTGTCTGGCATGCCCAGAGTGGAACATGTCGTATATGCCATCTGCATATATCCTCACTGGTCTCTTGTCTGTAAAGTGTGTGTGTGTGTGAGAGTGTGTATGTGTGTGAGTGTGTGTGTGTGTATGTGTGCGAGTGTGTGTGTGTGTGTGTGTGCATGTGTGAGTGTGTGTGCGAGAGTGTGTGTGTGTGAGTTTGTGAATGTGTATGATGACGATGGTACAGGTGATTTTCCCAATATCATCATGCTCATGATCATCATTATTCAACATTGCTATCAACGTCATCAGACTAACATTACAATTACCATTCATTGTAAAAATATATCATCATTTTTCAATATTACTACCATCATCTTCTTCATCATCTCTTTCATCATCACCATCATCACCTTCTTCTTCATTATCAACACCTTCTTCTTCATCATCATCAACAACCTTACACAGCCAACACAATATTAGAGATATTTGCTTTGAAACCGGGCTAAGTTAATAATTATAACTCAATTTTATTTATTTATTTTAAATTTCTTCTTCCACGCCTTGTTCATTCATTCATTCCACGTCTCGCCAGTGTAATCCTCTTCAGTCCGGCTTACCTCTGTACAATTTTAACTTCTTTACAACGACTTGCAAAGATTTCTTCAATAACCCTTAATCTCTAATAATTAATATAATCATAATAATCTAATATTAATTCTCAAATCTAATAATTCTCAAATAACCCTTCCCCTACTCAGGCTTTGCTCATTCAGTTACATCGACCACCAGCCGCAGGAATCAATAAACTAGCCGGTCCTACCAACAAAATACCGCACTCAACCTTCCAACTTTCATCCACTCATAAAAAACTCGTTCATCCACTCATAAGTACTCGTTCATCCACTCGTCATCTTCCTTCGTTCAGCTGCATCAACCTGTCAGCAGATCATCAACAGTCAACAGAAGCTCCACCCACGACTCTCTATCCATCCATGTGGAATGGCCTGCCACCAGCCATCCATCAATCATACTCTTCAAGAGGCGACTAAACATTGTTTATTGGGTCAGGTCAGGCCTTCAGAGACGCTCTTAAATAATAATAATAATAATAATAATAATAATAATAATAATACAAATAATAATATTAAAGTTCACACGACCATCTTAATGAAGATGTTAATTATAAAGATGAGAATGTAGGCAGAAAAACAGTAATATGATTTTGTGTGCGCGTATGATTGTACGTATGTAATTGTATGTATGTATGTAATTGTATGTATGTAATTGTATGTATGTATGTATGTAATTGTATGTATGTATGCAATTGTATGTATGTAATTGTATGTATGTAATTGTATGTATGTAATTGTATGTATGTAATTGTATGTATGTAATTGTATGTATGTAATTGTATGTATGTAATTGTATGTATGTAATTGTATGTATGTAATTGTATGTATGTAATTGTATGTATGTAATTGTATGTATGTAATTGTATGTGTGATGTAAGTAACCATGTACGTACAGTACATAAAGTATGTATGCAATGTGATTGCTGTACAGTTTGTTGCAGAGTAATTTTTAAATAATTATATTTGGGATGATTGATCCAACCACAGTCTTCTCAGTTAGCATCTTTATGATGGGTTAATTTGCTATTGGTGATAGATAAACAAATAATAACAATAAAAAAAATGTGTCACCAAAACCATTCGTTTATTCGTTTATTCATACATTCATTTATAGATCCATTCATCATTCCTTCACCCAATCAATCAATCAATCAATCAATCAATCAATCAATCAATCAATCAATCAATCAATCAATCAATCAATCAATCAATCAATCAATCAATCAATCAATCAATCAATCAATCAATCAATCAATCAATCAATCAATCAATCAATCAATCAATCAATCAATCAATCAATCAATCAATCAATCAATCAATCAATCAATCAATCAATCAATCAATCATATATTTATATATGGGTAACAATAATTTTGTATTCAGCTACCTTTATTTTCATCATCCAAACTCCTTACAACATTCATTCATGCATTTAATTCTTCTTGTGCAACGTACCAACTCAAACCCTTACGTCAACCGATTTAAAAAAAAATAAATTGAGATCATACTATACTAAGCTTTTTTGGTTTGCTTGCTTGTGTGTGTGTTTGTGTGTGTGTGTGTGTGAATGTATGTACATCATCTCAACTTATCAATATATTTAAAAGCAAGTTCTTTAGAACTAACTCTTCAACAGTCTATTCACATTCTTTAAAATGTTAAGATAAGAAACTCGTAAAAAATTACCCTGAAAACAATTTAGGAGTGAAATTTTGTGAGTGTTGATGAAAGGAAGGTTTCGTCATTTTGGACTGATCAAACAATTCGTGAAATTAAAGCCTTCCATGCATTTGGAGCAAGATGACAAATTTTCTTTTCCATTTGGTAAAACGTTAAGAAACCCATCCAAACCACTCTTCCAATAGACAACAAAACACCTCGAATAACTCTGCAGACAGCTTACCTGTAAACACCAACATTGGATAAGTTATCGTGATGTCACCTAAAAAATTCAGTTACCATCAACTCATTTAATAATTCTGGACTTCGACAACGGCTGTTTTTGAGAAATTTAAATTAAATTCTTCTCTGAAGAGTTTAAGAAAGATAAATAAACTCTTTTGACAGCAGATAACCACTCAGTTGACCTGCACTGGTACCGCAGTATTATACACCAAGTACAAACATCAGTAGCATAGACATGAACAAACATACTCAGTAGCACAGACATAAACAAACACACTCAGTAGCACAGACATAAACAAACACACTCAGTAGCACAGACATAAACAAACACACTCAGTAGCACAGACATAAACAAACACACTCAGTAGCACAGACATAAACAAACACACTCAGTAGCACAGATATAAACAAACACACTCGGTAGCACAGACATGAACAAACATACAATATACAACCGCAGTAATTTAAAGTAACATAACAACAATAACAGCATCAGTGTACAATTCACAAATGTATGTACATATGATAAAGCACATGTCACATCTCAGAGTGCTTATCTCACGTGACATTTGTCAGTCAGATCATATGACAATGTCGTCTGTAAGTGTCATCTTGACCATCCTCCTGCTTGCTTGCTATGGTCACCGGTGTACATTAACTAGCCAACATATGCGCCGGACTAACTTATCGACATGTAACATGTAACAACATAGAGATAATCATTCACACATATTTACATACACACATTTACAAACATCACAGTGATCCCATCGCATTTTACAAGAGGACATAACTCAACAACATTTACAAACATGCACGAACACACGCACACACATTTACAAACATGTATAACTTTACATACATTCGTTTACAACCCTGTACGTGTATATATGTATATTCAAACATACACCCATATACAAACAAACGTATACAAATTTATTATCGTGGTAAAATAACACAGATTAAATATATTATAAACACATTGACATGAATGACATGACACATCACATGACATATATGACACACACAACACAACAACGCGGTATCTCAACTTAACTCAACATAACTCAACCTGATGTAACATGAACTACTGAAAATAGATTTTAAAAAACTTACACAGACAAATAAACAATTCTACACTTCTACGTACTACAGATCACACTTGATGTCGTCAAAGCATTAAATTACATCACACCAAAGCACCCTTAAACTTAACTAGCCTCCTTCAACAACATCACATCATCACATGGATGGGGGTTTACAGGGGAAGGTGGGTTTAGGGGCGGGGCGGTAACAGGGGGATAACGTATGTACCAGCACTTGAAATGAGTGGCTGCTCTTAGTATTACTTATCACATATAACATCACATAATGTCCATATCAGGTCACGCCATCATGACGCATTTTACAAGAGGACATCCGTCACAACGCTGTACGGATTACGTACAGCGTTGTGACGGATGTGTTACGTTACGTTACGTAACGTAACACATCTTTTGCGTTACGTTACATCTTATAACGTAAAACTACTACTACTACTACTTGAATCCATACCTAATTGGTTTCCCTCTTATAAATTGCTTGCAACCATGCCGACCAAAGTAAGGCACCATGGCCTCATCAACACAGTGATTTTCTTCATGAGGGGCATATGTTTGGAATTTAATGTTCAATTTACTACTACTACTACCCCACCATCCACCCATCTATCCATTAACCTAACAAAAAACATCACAAAGTTCATCACGTAACGTTTAATTAATTATCTTTGGCCTCTCACTCAAGATAACAACGAAAACAACAACAACGAAAACAACAACAATAATAATAAAGCTGGTAACTGAAAAATGTAAAACACTTCGAATTTTAAACACCAAACGTAAACAATTTAAAGTTTGAGCAGTTGAAAATAAAACAAGTGTACACTCACATAATGATGATTAATGTATATATGAATGTATGTATGTGTGTGTGTGTGTGTGTACGTATGCATGAATGTATGTGTGTATGTATGTACGTATGCATGCATGCACGTATATGTATGCACGAATGTATGTCTGTATGTATGAATGTAAGAATTCATGTACGTGTGCTGTGTATATATGTGTGTATGTAGGTTTATTTGCGTGTGTGTGTGTGGTGTGTGTGTGTGTGTGTGTGTGTGTGTGCGTGCATCGCCATTATTATCCCATATTATATCACTCAGACAATACAACAATACAACTGAAGACTTCACATCAAAGTGTTGAGCTGTTTCGACAAAAAATTTAATCTATGTTACTCTAGAGCTGTGTTGACAAGGAGAAAGAATTAAATCCAAAGATGCAGTTAAAAGTGAATTCCAATTAGACTCTTATAAAATACTTTCAATTTGAAGATTCAAAAGTGTAGGCTTTTTTTTTACTACAAAAGTATTCACTGCAGATCGAACTCGCATGGTATGAGAGGATAGAGATGAAACCATGGATATGAAAAGTTTAAGTCGAAAGAATGAGGTGACAGAGAATAGTGCTGACATAAGTAGAAATGAAAAGAAGTAAAGTTTGAAACATGAGGTGATCGATTGAAAATAAAAAGAATAAAATAAAAACAATATAAAATTAGATATAACAATTCTTATATAGTCCTTTAAATTAGGTTCTCTTACATGTGCAAATGACGTTACTAGTTTAAGAAGACATTTCAAGTGGCGATAGAACGAAATGCGAATAACATTTAAATGTTGAAAAAATTCAATTTTAGATAAATTCGCTCTTTGATATTTAGAACAAAAAAACAAACACTACATACATACATACATACAAACATACATACATATATACATATATACATATATACATACATACATACATACATACATACATACATACATACATACATACATACAAACAAACAAACAAACGAACGAACGAACGAACAAACAAACATGCAAAAATACAAACAAACAATCAAACGAGCAAACAAACTACGAAACGACAGATAAGCGAATTTGAACCAGGTCACCATACAACCATTTATTGTAAGATAGCAATGTATGTAACATGCACAATTACACAAATACTTGTCTACTTCATACACCAAAGAGCTAATGAATCCAACAGACAGGTTCGATAGACATGTAGAAGAGATTGATTTGTAAATTTTCAAACCAACAACAGAAAATCTCCCTGCTGACAAAAACATCAACCAATAATACCATCCTCATCAACAACAATAACATCAATAAGTAATGAATAATTATAACAACAGCAACAACTACTACAGCAAAAATAACAAACACTTCAGCAACAAAAACTACAGAAACAACAACTACAACAACAACAACAAAAACTACTACTACTACTACTACAATAATAATAATAATAACGGTGGTAAAATACAATGAATAAGACAATTATACCCATAACAATACTGATAACATCTTGACAACAAAATTTATAGAAAAAAAATTCATTATAGTGGTCATTGTTCAGTGGCACAGACAGTCCGGAGATGATGCACAAATCAGATGCTGGTTAATTCCATAACTCACACACTCGCTCATTCAAACAGAAGAGACTGAATCCAAAAAATACGAAGTAAGATTCAATAACCACTCCTTGGACAATTTCTTTCGACCCATTTACCGTAATGATAAATCCAGTATTAATTATAATGTGCCAATACCCACGCACTAAGATATGCATGTGTGTGTATGTATGCACGAATGTATGTCTGTACGAATTCATGCATGTGTGTATATATGTATGTATGTAGGTTTATTTGTGTGTTTGTGTGTGTGTGTGTATGTGTGAGTCTTATTTCGTAGGACTAAAAATACAACTGCACAAAGCGATCTTATCATACAAATTTCAATTACCACTCAAGTAAACAAATATCAAAATAAATTATTATTATTATTATATTAAAATAACAATAATTATACTACTACTACTAGTAGTAGTAGTAGTAGTAGTAGTAGTAGTAGTAGTAGTAGTAGTAGTAGCAGCGGCAGCAGAAATATCATAATATAATATTTCTTACGTGTTATTTATTACTTATGTATCTACTTAGCATGTATCACTTATCTTAATAATAATAACAATAATAATAATAATAATAATAATAATAATAATAATAATAATTATTATTATTATTATTACATGAGTATTTATATAGCTCTCTTTAAAATGAAACTTTTCCAAAGCGCCCTTGAGAAAGAAGTAATACCTAACCACAAATACTAACCAAACTATGAAAATAATCAAATATGTAATTATTAATAATTTAAAGTTACAAACAAAGATAGTTAAGTGTCTCCACCTTACGTCCACACAAGAAGATATATCAGATATACATAAAAAGATACACACATATGTGTATCCACATAAAAGATATACAAGAAGATATCCCCAATACGAAGATGATGACCATGATTACATGACTTTATAATGTATGCAGATGACATGTTACAGGTGACAATATGATATTTTGATGTCAAAAAAGTAGTGTTAGTGTAAAATGGTGATGAATTATAGTAAAGTGGTTATAGATTATAGTAAAGACTACTACACAATAACTTGATGATAAAAATTCACTTTGAGTTTAGTTTAAAATATCAACCTGAGAGCAATTGAAGCAGGACTCAAAGTTTAAAAAACTGTAGACAACTCGGCACAGTAGAATAAGATCATTTATATATAAAAAAATTATTTCCTGATAATAATAGAATGAATGATGAAAAATCAAAATAATAATAATAATAAAAATAATTGTAACAGTGATTATAGGGCAATGAGTCTTCCATACAGACACATATATTCACATACATATATATAAATACAAAATACACATATAAAATCTTTTTTAAGAACATTAATCTATAATGGAAATTTGATAGTCCATTAATCTACAATGGAAATTTGATAGTACATTAATCTATAAAGGAAATTTGATAGTACAAGCCATAATTATATCATAGCAGAGATTCTACCATCAACCAACTATACACAATAAGACTTTCCTTTTTTTCTTTTTCTTTAAACACGTTAAAGAAACCTTATCTGTATACTTTATCTGAACGTTCCCTACTCATACCTCTTAAAAATTTAAGACACTCTCCTCACTTTTACATCCCTACTCCTAGAACTAATTCTAATTATAATAGCCCCTTGATTAATATGATGAAGCTACGGAATAAACTACCTAAAACCACTAGGCCTATTAGTTCAAAAATTATTTTTAAATTCAGCATTCTCAAGTCATTTAGCATGATTTTTTTTTAACTAACTACACATTTTTTTTGTCTAAATGTGTTTTTCATTTCTACAATTTTATCACTTTAGCCAAATTTCAGCTAAATGTATTAGCCAAATCGGTCATTTATATTCAAAAAATTTCCAAACATTAAGAAAGATTTTACACGAGTATTTTATTAAATCTATCTGCATGCAACTACGTGTATGTCCTTTCCTCCCTATCCATTTTTTTACACCTATGTACGCATTATTTCCATTCTAATCATTTCATCTTCCTGGGTCTCTGAACGCTAAATGAAGATTTCATTTTCATCATTCTCACTGCCATTATTGCTTCAATTGAATTTTCTCCCAAATTAATTTCATGCTTTGTTAGCATTGGTTTTCAGTTTACCACTTTTCTGTTGTATACTTTCAGTATTTTACTCTTAACTTCCTACACACAATCAATCTATAATATGCATTCTATCAGTTATTTTCACTGTCTAAACAAGACTTATTTGTTAATTTATTTCATTTTATTCCGTCACTGATACTCATTTCTGTATTCTGTTTATTTATATGATATTTATCCTCTATGTATCATTTATGGATCATATGTAAGAATGTGTAAGTAGGTATATTTTTGTATATGTATATATATTTATATTGTTTTATGTACTTAAAGACACCTACATCAACAATCCACACACCCCAAAAACTACCATCTCCATCAAATCCATCCGCATGCACATGTATGTATGTATTTAATCCCTGGTATAGAGTTTCATCACACGTTTATTTTGTATTTTTAATATTGCTCAACACCAGTTAATTATTAATTAATTAAATAATTAATTAAATCAATCATTCATACATTCATTCTATAGACAATATAAACAACGATGTTTCAACAGTAAAGAAGTTAGATGGTATCATTAATTTATCTATCCATCTATATTTTCTTCCATTCACTAGAGTACATTCAATCATTCATCCATTCATACATACACATGCATACAGTAATATAAATATAAATGGTCAACAGTTGAGATGATGGTTTCAAAACATTCAACCATCCACCTTTTCTTTCATTCATTCATCCATTCATTCCTTCAGACATACAATAGCTCATTCATTAATTCAAACATTCACATGGCTTTTATCCATTCATTCATCAATGTTCAGCGGTCGAACAATTTAAATGATGTTTTTTTAATGAATGAATGAATAAATGAATGAATGAATGGATAGCCGATAAATGAATAAATAAATGAGTGAAAATGAATAAACTAATTAGATTAAGATGAGAGCTACAAACTTTTGCCCTCCTTAGCTTCCTCCTTCGTTATTTTATTTGAATAATCAATTTGTTTCCTAATCCTCTCACAACAGGCATCCGTCGAGAAGGGTGCTGGCGACCTACAGGACTGAAAATTTCAATTTATTGTGTTTATTTATTTAGTTATTTATCTGTTTATAATTCAATCAATTAATTAATAACAATTTATTATTGATTCATTTATTAATGATAGTTTAGTATGGTCTTGGACTGTTGGTGCCTGGTCCAATTTAAAAAAACAGATTAAATAATTAATAATTTAATTAAATTATAATTATAAAAAAAAGCAAACCTGCCTCCAACAAGAACATATAACATACATACAATCATACATACATACATAGTACATACATACATAAACACATACATACATATACTATACATACATAGGAATCATAGGGATTTTTTGTGAAGAAATCCTTTGTAGATGTACAATGTTCCACACCTTCCGCCATTATTAAAGGTGAACCCGGACAAGCAGACAACAGCAGCACTAATAAAAAAATAGTTAAACGCCAAAACCCTAACCGATTTAACTAAATAAAATTCTGAATAGTCTTATTTAATAAACATTTTTGTCTGAAGATAACAAGAGAAACAAGCGTAACTGAAGTTAGCGCGATGTTAGCAGAATGTCGAAACTTAAGTATACGACCTAACAGCTGGTTAAGAAAACGAAAGTATGTCAGGTCATGATGATAGGATCCCTTATAATTACGCGCTATATAATAACGAATACGGTACATTTATATACATACATTCATACATACACATATTTCTGTTTGTGCTGATTTGTTCTTGATATCGGGTAATTTTAACACTCATGTAGAAAGGTTAAGTTTCCGCTATGCTCAACAGCGCTCTTCAATGAATTTTGCAAACAGATGGGTTTGAGATCCGCTCTGAAATTTGTAAGTGATGGAGAAGTAGTTGGAGAAGGAGGTAAAAAGTTTCAGAAAAAGAGCCAGAAAAAGCAAATGCAGATTTAGCAAAAGATTGTGGAGTGAGGAGTGCCAAGTCTCCCACTGCTATTAAAGGCGAAGGCATGGTTCGATTAAATAATCTCCGTCTGAAACTTAAACTAAATTCGTCATACCCAAATGATGCGGTGCTTGCGCGCATACATAGTGTCAAATGTGTATATGCGTCATGTGGTGTGGATAGCTCAGCCTTTGTGGGACGAAGGATTTAATTATAAGTATAGATATAGAATAACCTGTAACCAGCTCTGCGTTTGATTGACAGAGCTGCATTATAAAGAACAAAAAAACAAAACAAATGACCATTACTATCTTTGACAATTTTTGCTACCGTTACATAAGATTATAGTGTTTTTATAATGGTTTATTAGAATTTGCTGTGAGAACCACAATAATTTTTTATCAATAACATTTTGACCAACGGGAACTAGCTTTAAACGTCTAAGTTATATTAGTTGTAATAGTTTATTCGGTTTAATCCACTATTGAATTTATTACGGCGTTTCGCACACTCTGTGGTGGGAAAAGTTTTTTTGTGTTTTTCGCCAATTCGAGATGATTATACGTTTATATCATATCATATCATATCATATCATATCATATCATATCATATCATATCATATCATATCATATCATATCATATCATATCATATCATATCATATCATATCATATCATATCATATCATATCATATCATATCATATCATATCATATCATATCATATCATATATCATATCATATCATATCATATCATATCCTATCATATCATATCATACCATATCATATCATACCATATCATATCATATACATAGAATAAAATAATCAGCTACTTAAATATGTTTGTTGTATGGATAAAAAAAATAAAGAAATCGTGAACAAAATTATCCTGACGCTCACATGGTTCTGGTGAAAGCTATGTCGTTTTTGTTTGCATGCATTTGTGGCACGTGAAGTAGCTACAGTTCCATTCTAATTTTCCGAAGGTACGTGGACAGCGTATGAGCGATTTTAGTCGATTTTCTTCATGAATATACAAAAATTATATTAACAAAATTTACAATTTAACAAGTGGTATACATGTATAAAATAATAATACTAATGATGATAATAATGATACCTATTTATAGAGACTATATGATATATTTTATATATGAAATATTAATAATGATAATTTAATTTTTTAATAGTTCACTAATCTGCATTTTAGGCTTGTTCAGAAGTAAAAATTTGTTTACACTTGATTTTTCGATAGTTGATTGATGGACAACAACTGAACCGCTGTTTGTTATTATTATTATTATTATTTTGCATATTTTTGTCATTTTCTGTTGCTTATTTTTTTTAATTGAGGTTTGATTTTGAAGGTTTGTGACTGAAATGTATTTATTAAATTAAAAGTTTCAAACTAGGAGTAAATTTTCCATTTTGGTTTTTGGATTGGTTTTCTTACTTTTTTTAATAATTAGTTATTATTATTATTAGCATTGATTAATTTAATTTACATGTTAAATTAATAATAATAATCTGATACTGAACCAATACTGGACATTGAGACGATAGTTATCAGCACACTGAGTGTTTATTTGTTGTATGTAATTAACATTAACAGATTAACTAATTATAATTATATTTTATTTATAACATGACATATGTATGTATGTATGTATATATATATATATATATATATATATATATATATATATATATATATATATATATATATATATATATAATTATATATGAATGAATATGCATATCATGGATAATTCAACTGTCTGTGTGTGTCTGTAAATGTAAATTGTAAAGTAAATTGATTTTTGATAGCCATCATTCAATTTCCAGAAAACTCAAAACATGAAAAGAAAAATCTCCAAAATAATAAATTAATAAAAATGTAATTTTTTTCACTGAAATTTATTTATTTTTAATTTATTTAATTTTAGGATATAATAGGTAGCTAAAGTAGACACTATACAAACGAAGAAACAGTAATGAATTGGAGCAAATTGTTGCAAAACGTGTACAGTGTTGGCTGCATGTGTGGTAGGAGAGGTCTTCTGAAGGAATGCTCACCTGATGTCCAACTTACCTCATTTGAGGGTTTGCATTTTCTTGTTTTACCAGCATTTTATTCAAGTTGATAATTTTTTTCTCTTCTTTCTAAAATATTTTTGGGTGTTTTTAAAAAGATTGATATTTTCAGTGGCTATTTTTGTTGAATATTGCTGAAACTAAAACAGCAGCTGAACTCACGTCATTATGATTTATAAGTCTTTTTGCAACTGGTTTGTTCGGTTAGCTATCATCAAAAAGTCGTATCATCTCTGTTACATGTGCACTGAGCAGAATATGTTTACCTGGTGTCTTGCAATAGTTTCTGTGGAGTAAGATTGGGTAATTTATAAATGTTGGCACTCTTACCTGACATTGCAGGGAAGCTGCATTAAGATTAAAGACACATATTTTCTAGGTTTTTTAGACTTATGTATACCTGATTCTGTCATCTTCTATTTACTATCAAGATAAGTCTTGTATAGCAAAACCGAGAAGCATTAGTATTAATAATATTAATAATAATTAACATAAAATTTAATGAAAAACTTATAAAATATGAAAAACTTGCTTACTATGACTACGGAGGTGGCTAGGGAGAATTTTAGAAACAGCACTCGTCCTCTCAATGAATTGATCAACCTCATTATTATCATCGTCATCATCTTACTTTTAATTTATTCATCATCACCATCCACTTCATATGCCCACCATCACCATCCACTTTATCCTCATCAGCAAGAAAGTTACTTCAGAATATTGTTGGCTCTCCTAAACATTTTGGGTTGGTTCCTCCTTCCATAAAGAATAAATTCTGAATATTTTTTTTAATTTTTAAAGATGTTTGTCAAATTATAGACATACATTTTTATTTTATTTTTAAATTCTATTAAATTATTAAGCTAACTTAGATAAAAATCATAGAAAATATTGTATTTTTATTTCAATAACCGTTGTTGTAATTGCAGTGAGCCTGTAGATCCACAAGTGGCTTCGGAGGCCAACCAGCTGCCCAAGAAGCAGACTGATCTGCCAGCAAAACGGATGTTGGACAGTTACAAGGAGATGGTCATTCCTCTGGGCAGGGACAAGAACCATAGGGACAAATATCTTCTCACTGAAAACTCTTTAAGATTCGGAAGGTTCTTTGAGGATCTTGATACCATGGCTGGTAGGATAATTAATAAGTTAAAAATGTTAAAATTAATTTATTGAATTGCCATGTTTCACCTTTTTAAACGCTTACATCATTGGTTTAGTGGAGAAAAAAGTAAATTCTAGGTAACTGTTTTAACAAAGTGTAAGTAGGTTCATTAATTGGTGCAGCAGACAATGCATGATCTGTAAGCTTTGCAAATTCGTTTCCCACATTCAATTGGGACCCAAAATTTTCTGTTTCAACTAACATTTTTAATTTACTTTGATATTATTTATTTATTGAATGCCATTTTTATAACTATCACACGCCACAAACCGCTACACTTCGTTGCACATACATACACTGTACACGTACAGTCCTGATAAGCTACGGGCACAACCACGACCCAAGCAAGGGACCGACACACAAATCCCCCATCTCCATTGTCACTGCCATGGTGGACTCATTAAGTTGGTTCTCTGTATGATAATTTTTACGCTTATGTGATGATGCTAAGATGCACTCTGTTGTTATTAGGAATGCGACGGTTTCGAATTTGGATTTGCATCCAAATCCAGAGACCCGGTAAGATTCGGATTCGTCGAATCCAACGCTAAGATTCTGTAAAACTGGATCCTTGATTATCAAATAAAGTCAAATTTTAATATTAATTGAATTAAATACTTTCAACTACGATCTGTGATAAGAAATTCTAAACATTTTGAATCGCTAGTTAACCTTTTTCAACACGTGTTTGTTAGCAACTGCAGCCAAATAAAACACCTCTGTTTTCTATTGGCGCGTAATTAAGTTAGACTACGGTTGAATTGTTGATTGTTTTCGGAGCTCTAAGTTGGGACGGAACTTGGTTTGAAATAAATTTAATTATTGATACACATGCATCTTGGATCCGGATTCGAACGAATCCATTACTTCTATTCTTGCTTATGATGTTCTTTTATGCTGATGGGGATGTTGATATGGTGGGCGACTGTGAGGATTGGATCAACTGATTGGATGCAGAGACGAAGACGGAGCAGGTGAATCACGAGAAGGATTTGTTTGTTAGGGGGCATGTCATCTGGGTCGGCAGTTCGTCCATGGAGGTATCCATGATCGTCGAACAGGTTGGTGGGTCAGTGGGTGGTCGCCGGGTGGGTGATGGGTGCTTGTTTTCTTAGACAATCATTAGAAAATTAAATTATAGATAAAAAAGTTATTTTATGTAAATACTATTCATAACTCTTGCAACATGCTCGCTACAAGGAGCTGAATGGCAGAATGAATCAGGTGATCGCTGCAAACTTTCTCATGGTGGCACGCGATCCCATCACAAAGAAGTATTCATTGTTTTTTTTTATACATATTGTGTGATGAGTTCTTTGGTAGTAACCATGCAGATGTTGGGATTACCATTCTGTGATCCGTTAGGATCAGTATCATCTTATCATAGTTGTTGTTTATTGTTATTTTCGTGTAGTATATAGTAGTTTATTGTTATTTTCGTGTTCGAACATGTGCTAACCAACCGCCAATGCAATAACAAACGCAGGAAAGCTTTTGTGAATCCGCTGGACCTCAGGAGTCCAGAGGAAGAGGCACTTTTCGAACTGGGACAGGGTTCGTTCATTTGACATTTTCCAACGTTTCAAAATTCTTTCAATCTGTTTCAAATGGTTTAATAAGAAGAACAAATTTGTACTCACTATTCTTAAACATTTCCCGTCAGCGTTTCAATAATTATTACTAATAGCATCATCAGTTCACATTCCACAACTAGCACACACGCAAAGCACAAAACAAGACATCACGTGATCTACCAACAGCCCATAAACAGACTCGCACCTTACAATCTCAGACGTCGGTCCTCAAAATTCCTCCGAATGATCTGGAGAGGAATTCCCTGCATGACATGTTCCTCAAGACCGTCGACACCAAGTCAGTTTGTGTCTACTGCGCCCTATATGTTTGTGTACAACATGTTTTTATCCACTAAATTGTGTGTATTTGAATTGCTTGCTAGCCAAATGATTTGTATTAGCTCAATTAGCTGTATAACGTCGTCGCTAAGGGGCCGGTCTTTCGTTTAGGATGGTGAAAAAGATTTGTAGATTTGCAAGTTTTTGTTTTACATGCAAGTTTGTTTAGATCCCCTTTTTTTGCATCTTTAACTATTGCAATGCCAGCGTATGCTCATTACGTCACTGTCTGTATCACGTGTTTCCATGTAACAATGTGAATGTAGCAACATAGTACAGTGCACATTACAACGTACAACACAACGTACAACACAACGTACAACACAACAATATGATAAATAAAACGTCGTTGCACTGCGACAACTGAAACGCGACAACAAACAGATCGGGCACGTTGAACAACTTGATTCCACCTGCCAACTGCGTGTGGATGTCGGACGCCGGCCTCAAAAATGTCCTCCACTGCTTCCCACAGGTCAGTCACTTTCAAACTATTCATTCAAACTTTTATATGCTATGATTTACAGCAAAATAATTTCTTCAGTCAAATGATAACGTTTTTTCGACCTTTTTGTTGAACAGCAAAGGAATTTGTACAATAAAGTTTTTGGAGGGTACCTGATGAGGAAGGCTTTGGAACTGGCTCATGCAAATGCAATCACGCACAGGTTGGTCGACTGGCTGGCTAGGTGGTCAGCTAAATGTTTTCTTACACGTTTTGATAATGCTACACTCTAATGCAATACATTGGTGAACTATTTCTTCCATTTCTTTGTGTATTCTAGAATTTTTCGTTTGTGGGCCATGTTGTGTAAATTTTGCTTGAGTTATTTTTAGTTTTAGTTGCTTATATATGAACAGTATTGTTATTTAACGCATCCATCGGACATGAAGCAAATCTCTGACTCATTTGAAGTGTGTAGATGACATCAGCTTCAGGCAGCCAGTTGAGATCGGCCATCTACTCTTTCTTTCTTCAAGGGTTGGTGGCTGTTTGATTGCTACGTTGGGTAGATTGACTTGCTTGTTGTATGCCGTAACTTGGGTCCGTATCTGTGTGTGCGTTTGTATTGCGTGTGTGTGTGAGTGCGTGTGTGGTGTGTTTCATATCTATATTATCAAATAATTCAATCGATCATGACTTGTGTCTTGTATGTGATTTTTCTGATCCGTGACATGCACAGTTAGTGACACTGGCATGTCAGTTGAGGAAATGGAACGGGCAACTACTTTAATGACATTCGCTAGTTCCAAGTCTGAATACCTTTTAACTGAATCATTACAGCGGAGTTATTCATAAAAAACTTTTTCGCTGCTAAATTTATTCAGCTCCTCTGATTGGATGTTTATTTGAACATCTTTTAATTGAATTTCTTTTATCAGATTTTTTAAAAAATCGTCTGTATCCAAGATTCTTTCAGATGGTTTTTTAGCTCTTGTAGCAGCAAAAGCCACACAATACCATCAGACAACACAAACCAACACCGTGAGCAGTTAAATTAAACGAAAACCAATTTAACTTTTTTATTTAAATGTTTATATGATAGGAAAGTATTTTATAAAAGATAAAACTTTATAAACTGTTTGAAACTTTTTCTTTCTCGTGTCTTATCCTTTTAAAACCATCGACGAACTATTTGAAACTATATTATCCGAGATATAAACGAAGTTTTTGAGTATTTATAGATTATTAAAATGTATAGACGGCGTCAAAATTTAATTTTTTTTATTGTCCAAGGAACTACGCTATTAAAATTGCTACGATAATTTTAAACTAAATAATCGGTTAAGAATTATTTCGCGGCAGAATCTCACTATCAATTCAATTGTGAATTTTGATAATCCATTTTTTATGCGTGGATGTTCCTTAATGTTAAATGGCTTTGAGATGGTTTTTTAGCTCTTGTAGCAGCAAAAGCCACACAATACTATCAGACAACACAAACCAACACCGTGAGCAGTTAAATTAAACGAAAACCAATTTAACTTTTTTATTTAAATGTTTATATGATAGGAAAGTATTTTATAAAAGATAAAACTTTATAAACTGTTTGAAACTTTTTCTTTCTCGTGTCTTATCCTTTTAAAACCATCGACGAACTATTTGAAACTATATTATCCGAGATATAAACGAAGTTTTTGAGTATTTATAGATTATTAAAATGTATAGACGGCGTCAAAATTTAATTTTTTTTATTGTCCAAGGAACTACGCTATTAAAATTGCTACGATAATTTTAAACTAAATAATCGGTTAAGAATTATTTCGCGGCAGAATCTCACTATCAATTCAATTGTGAATTTTGATAATCCATTTTTTATGCGTGGATGTTCCTTAATGTTAAATGGCTTTGAGATGGTTTTTTAGCTCTTGTAGCAGCAAAAGCCACACAATACCATCAGACAACACAAACCAACACCGTGAGCAGTTAAATTAAACGAAAACCAATTTAACTTTTTTATTTAAATGTTTATATGATAGGAAAGTATTTTATAAAAGATAAAACTTTATAAACTGTTTGAAACTTTTTCTTTCTCGTGTCTTATCCTTTTAAAACCATCGACGAACTATTTGAAACTATATTATCCGAGATATAAACGAAGTTTTTGAGTATTTATAGATTATTAAAATGTATAGACGGCGTCAAAATTTAATTTTTTTTATTGTCCAAGGAACTACGCTATTAAAATTGCTACGATAATTTTAAACTAAATAATCGGTTAAGAATTATTTCGCGGCAGAATCTCACTATCAATTCAATTGTGAATTTTGATAATCCATTTTTTATGCGTGGATGTTCCTTAATGTTAAATGCCGTCGAGTTGAGCAATGGAAGAATTATAAGGATGGAATAACACGTAAGTAGTTCTGCGTTTGACAGAGTTGCATTATGAAGAATAAAAAAAGAAATTGAAAACACGTACGAGACACCTACATCAAAACCACGAACCAACAAACCACTCAGATTGTCTACACCCACAAAAAGTTGTTGCAACTGAGAGTTCATGCACAGGTTTTAAATCCCCTGACTGACGAACAGAAGACGACCAACACCTTCCAGTTCACGTTCTCAGCTGAGAAGGATGTTCCAACAGTGGTTCCTCGTACGTACGCTGGTTAGTGCGTGTTACATCTTGTGAAGTTTTTTTGGTTACATGGAATCGTGCATTTAATGTTCTTGTTAATTGCCCATCACGACCGCAAACATTTCAGAGTACATGTTGTACGTGGAGGGCAAAAGACACCTGGACAGCCACCTGTAGTACGACTGAGGTGTGATGCTCCTTCATCCTTTCTTGTCGTACCCGCTTCACGTGCTTGCGTATATCTCCAGTCATAGCAACCAATGAGCAGTTTGCCTTAGCTGACCAATTAATTTTAATGTCGATTTAAAATTTGTTACAATCTCATATTTTACTTTTTGTAAACATATTTTAAAATTTTATAAATTGAACTTTTATAAATTTATTGAACGCTTTTTTTACATACACTTTTTACTGAAATTTTTAGCGTATTGCAAATTTTTAAAATGTGGTAACATTAAGATCATGTTTCATTGTTGTATGCCTTCATGTGCCCTAGCTTCTTCTTCACGCTTCTTCTGTTGTCAGTCAGTAGTTCGAACGGCAAAACTCATTTTAATATTCGATATTAAATCTTTTTCAATAAAATTGACCTCATTCGTTCCATGCTTATCATCATCATTATTTTTCCCATAACTTCTAAGCGAGACAAAAGGAATGATTGAATGAAACTTTCATTCAGGTAATAAAATACATGGAAAAGACTTGATAAACAAATGTGCCATTCCCATCTCAGTGTATGTACATAATTAAGAACAATAAATGCACAGCAAATTTAAGTTTATTATCTAACGATTAACTATAATCAATTATTTATAATTAATTGGGGATTTACAATCGGAGAAGCAGGTACATATAGTGTATTCTGCCGTCTGTATTGATGTTCAATGATGAATTTGTTTTTAAATGTGAGCCAAACGAGCAAGTTAAATAAAAATACAAGAGAATGTATGAACTGAACAATATTTTACAAGATGCCATCATCCGCTATCATCATCACAAACACCAACATCATCACACGTCTCTACAATCAACATCATGATCATCGCGATTATTCATTATAAGACTGGCTGGCTGCCTCCTTCGTCATCGTCGCCACGGCCGGCACTTCCTCATCGACACTTCCTCATCTTCTCCATCGTCCCGGTCGTCACTTGCAGAAGAGTGTGCTGAACAACTTGGACAGGTTGACCTCAGCATAAGCACTAACCTTCATCTTCTGGTCAATGACCTCCTTTAGCTCGTTCATCACTTCTACGTCACGCTCCTTCAAGAACTTTGTGCTTCTTTTGTCTGCTGACAGTCAATCAATCAATCAATCAATCAATCAATCAATCAATCAATCAATCATGTAATCTGCATTGTTATCACTTTATCACTTCCATAATGCACACTTTAAACGGATACACCAACGTTACTTACTATGTAATGAGGCATAAATAAAAAAAGTCGCAGCTAGTTCATTTAATTCATGCTATTTAACAAACGTTAAATCTAGTTTTTGAAAATTTTAATTGAAATATTTAAGAAAGATCTGATAGAAGTGGAATAAATAAATGAATGAATAAATAAATGAATGAATAAATAAATGAATAAATAAATGAATAAATAAATGAATGAATGAATGAATGAGCACACCTTTGCTGCTGTCCAGATAGTTGACGTCAAAAACAGTTAGCAAGTAGCACAGCTGGTTGTACAAACTTTTCTCCGTGAACTGCATGGTTGAGATTAATTGGAGATCATTTCGTGTGCCTTTTTTAATTCTATTAAACTTAAATTGCTCAAGTATCTGAGTTTCATCAACTGCCTCACAATCATTATCTCGATGAAATGAAGCAGGTTAACGTTGAAACTAATATAAATTTCATACAATGAATGAAAAAATGAATGGTGCCAACCACTTGTGGTGCCTGCCTGCCTACCTACCTACCTACCTACCTACCCACCCATCCATCGGCCATCTAGTTCAAGTAACTCCATTAAAATTACACATCAGAAACAACACAACTTCCCACATAAACACAAATCAGTAGAATAATCTGTTAGTTATAAGGACTCATCAAAAAACATTGATTTTCTTATAAATTTTTAGTAATTTAATTTAATTTAATTATTAAAACTTATTTAATTATAAAAGTCGAGTTAATATAAGTGAAGGGTACAAATTGAGCAGTTAGTAGCAAACCTCGCACTGCAAAGCATTCTTCCTACAAGCCGGACAGACAGCGTGGCCATTCTTGAACGCTAGAGGTACCTTCCTGGTTCGGAAGTTGCAGCAAACGTCCTCGCATCTCATCCATCCGTCGTAGTACCTCCTGATGAAGCTCCTTACAAATGACGTCAACCTGTTTTTAAGGTAGTTGCCATGCCGCAGAAGATTCGTGGAGCAACTACTGTTGCCGCACCTCTCGAGAGTTAAGCGTTGCTGGGAGGATGTGTTGTTGTTGCTGCTGCTGACGTTGGTCTGGCGAGAGGGATAACAAAAAATGGAAGAAAAATCAGATTGAAATTCAACTGAGGAAAAACACATCAGCCGATTACATTTTAAATGTATTAATTACTAATTTATTAATTTTAATTTACTAACAAAGAAGTTAAACAGACAAAAGTTTAACAAAAGCCACAAATGAATTGTGATATTGGAAGGAACAGAAAAATTAAGTGATGAAAAAGTAGTTGGTACTGGATGGTTAAATAAATACTTATTCTGTTCATGAAAAATAGATAATCAAACGTAAAACAGAAGCTGAAGCTAAGATATTTGGACCACAACACATCCACCAGAGCACAGCAGACCTCATCAGCATATGCAGACTCGATGACATTCACGAAAGCACACGACGGACAACTGATGGTCAGTCTCTCGCAGTCCTTGTACTTCTCCTCGTCACAAACTTCACCACCAGCCAGTCCGGCGCCGTCCTCCTCACCGTCCACGTCTCTTCTTACGATTGTCTGATGGAAGGATTTCGCATCAAGACCTACACAGTTTAGGATGGTGGCGGTGTGAAATAGATCAATGTTAGTTGGTTAGTTAGCTCAGCGTGAGATGGATTTCAAGATGAAAACAAAAATGTTGAAGGATGCCAGGCGTGAATGTTTCCTTTGCAAATGAAAAAGCCCTTTCCTCTTAACAGTCACTTACAAATAATAGTTACTCGACGGATAGCAACAGCTTGAATGCTAAAACGACATCAACAGCAACTGTCAAAGCAACATCAACATCAACAACATCAACAACAACATCAACAACAACATCAACAACAACAACAACAACAGGAATAAAAATTAAAAGGGCCAACCGAGACACTCGGCGATATGTCCAGCGTCGGTGCCCTCGATGGGGTCACACAGTCGTGCCACGACGGGGTGGACTTGCTGGGAGAGGTAGTAGTTGGCGTCTGGAGGGTGGTGGTGTGGTGTCAAACGATGCAGGGGCGGGCGATGGAAATTATGATGTAAAACAAATGGCTATGATGGAGTGATGATGAATCGGATATGAAGATGCATGTTGTTGTTTTAAGGTTTTGATGAATTCACATTCATCAAATATAGATAGATAGATAGATAGATAGATAGATAGATAGATAGATAGATAGATAGATAGATAGATAGATTCAAAGTATAAAAACATAAAAAACATCATAAGAAAATAATTGAATTTTCTAATAAAAAAAAAATATGGCTATAAATAACTAAACATTAAAAATGTACAATAATAGCCCAACAAAAACACGTTGAAACAACATAACACAGCAGCACAACAACATCACACAGCCAGCACAAGAAACACCCCACCAATTTGAAGTGTATCCGACTTGTTGAGTTCGTCGGGATGGTAGGCTCTCTTAGTTGCCGCATCGTTCGTCCCATTCTGTCGGGTGTTGTCGGGCGTTTTATACAAATCGAGACTCACAACTCCACCAGTGGATATCATCACCATACATAACATACACACACACACACACACACACACACAGAGAGAGAGAGAGAGAGAGAGAGAGAGAGAGAGAGAAAGAGAGAGAGAGAAAGAGAGAGAGAAAGAGAGAGAGAGAGAGAGAGGGAGAGAGAGAGAGAGAGAGAGAGAGACACGTACATCAGAAGCATGTTCTAACATATTATTATTATTATATGTAGAATTTGCATTCAGCGCCCATTCAACTCCTCAACAATGCCTTTTTTCTCCACAGACACGCTCTGATTCTTTTTCTAAAAACAGCCTCTTCGATTTCATTTAATTTCAATTTCACATGATGTACAAATCCTACGCTGTTTCATTCACTTGTATTTTTACAATACATTTTTATATGAATTCTGCACCGAAGCAAATGTTTATTGGTCCGTGGTCGGGAAGCTTAACCTTTCTACCCTGACCCATCCACAGTTCAGACACAAACAACACCGAAGACTGCCAACCTGACATATAACGTAATAGATAATGTCACCAGCTTTCAACTTCCTGGCCAGGTGTTTGTTCAGTCTGGCAGCCACCTGGACGTGGGGCAGGCTGTCGATGTCCTTGTAATCCTCGGGACTGCGTGTCAGTTGCTGGGCGGGGTGGAATCAGCGAGATGGTCACAAATTACTTACCACATATGCATCGATACATGTTTGATTCAAATTATCAGTGAAACAAACAACGCCATAAAAGTGACTCAAGTCAAATGTTGTAAGATCATTTAAATTCTTTGACTTTTCATGAAAGCCATGCAAAAAATATTGAAGTTACTTTGGTGATGTAGAACAATTCCTTTGGTATGAGACCCTGCCTGACCTGTTGGGCCACCTCGAACAGCTTGTTGTGAATGTTCTCCACGATGACTTCTCGACTCTCCCCCGAGAAGACCTGACTCAACATGTAACTGCGTGGTTGTTCGTTTTATTTTTACATCCGTAAAAAATAAAAAGCTGCTACAATGACAGTTCATCCTTTACAGACCACAAACACACCAACCAACCAACATTTAGAATTAACGCGATAAACAAAATTGTAGTACAAAATGTCGGCAACAATTTTCCATAATAAAACCGATGGATTCTTCAGTCAGTTAGTAGGAATTCAACTTAGTTTTTTAAGATTTTTTTTTCAAATTTTAGGTATCAACGTAAAAGTACTAAGGGTATCTTCTCCCATCAAGCATAAAAAAGAAGGGGAACCCTACAATCAAATTCTTGAATATAATGAATGAAATTTTCTGCTGCAGGTAGCGGAAAAAAAACATTCAAAATTAATGCGTCCAATCCACATAGAGACAGAGAGAAAGCGAGAGAGAGAGAGAGAGAAAGAGAGACAGCAGACAAAAGACCAACTTTCCAACTTCTTTGGCCAGTGGACACCAATCCCTGCGGACAATGTCAAGACCCTTGCTCTCCTGCTTTGTGACCAGGGAACCATCGGGAAGTCTGGTGGCCATCAGTGCTGCGTACTTCTTCTTCTTCAATAGGAGCATCGATTTGAAGACTCCATCTATGTCAATCTCGAGCAGTCGATACAACTTGTTCACTTCTGATTTGATCTGAATGTCACATAAATTATGCTAATCAGTCTGCAGTAAAATAATTATTTCAAAGCATAATTACTTCAAAGAATAATTCTTTTAATTGTTTAAATTAACTCATTGAATGGATTCATCATCAGGTGCACATAAAAACTGCATAGCCATAAGATGTGATGAGTAAGAAGTAAGAAAGAAGTAAGAAAGATATCACAGTTAGGTCGGCAAACATTCCATGAAAGTAACCTTATTTCCAAGTTTGATGACTTCATCATAGTTGGTCAGTCCAGTGTTAACCATGATGGAGTCAGTGTCTCCATATATGACCTCTATGCCCATCTGGCAGTAACATTGTTCAATACACTACATAACAGCATCTAAATGTTTAGCTTCTTATTAGCATGATTTAACAACATCAACAACAACAAAAGCAACAACAACAACAGCAGCAACAACAACAGCATCAACAACAACAACAACTGTATATAAAAATAACTGAAATTAATTTGATCCTCGAATGATACATAGCAAATAATTGAATAATTAATTACAATTACCCATTGAAAACAACTAAGCGTATGAATGTTCAACTGAAATATAGGTGGCAAGAGAAGACAAAGAAAAGTTGGTGCGAATCAATGAAGAAACACTAACAGCTTGGACTAGATCTCTTGTTTTCAATAGAATCTGGGAAGAGTCAGTCAATGAATAAATAAATAAATAAATAAATAAATTAATTAATTAATATATAAATAAATAAAGAGTTGAATAATTTACTAGAGATAAAACAGATATACAAAAGGCAAACAAGTTAGACCTGCCCATCTATAAACGAAAATAAAACTATTTGTAATATTCAAATCAGAAATCTATCTTCAATATCCATCCACTTAGCTGGTTCATTTTGGTTTGTAGTTGACACCAACAACTAACAACATCATCGTCACCATTAGTCATCATCACCTTCATACTCACCATCACATCCATCTTCAACATCACATCCATTTTTAACGTCACATCCATCCTCACCACCACATGCAGCCTCATCATCACATTCATCTTCAACATCACATCTATCCTCGTCTCCACATCCATCTTCATCATCCCATCATCACCCTCACCACCACATTCAGCCTCATCATCACATCCATATCATCACCCCTCCTCATCACATTCATCTTGACCACCATCAACACCACACTCCCTCACCTCCCGGCCCTTCCCAGTGACGAGAGCGGCTAGCCTCTTAGCATAGAATCTCGACGACGAGAAGCCAAGACATCCGTACATGCTGTTTGCTGTCAGCTTCAATGCCTTCTGGCGTATGTCGTACTGCCGAGTGGGAAGATTAAAGCCAGCAACGTCCATGTTGTGTGATATTTAATGGAGTTAAACACAACCAGAGTAACTTTAAATTATTCAAAATATGCTGTCAGCATCGAATGATGTATTTAAGTACTTCGGTAGGTTGATTATCGCAATGCGATTCCAACCGATCAATCAATCACAGATTATTTAATTAATAATTTATCAACAATCAACCAGTTGACCAACCAACCAACCAACCAGTTGACCAACCAACCAACCAACCAACCAACCAACCAACCACATGGACCCACCTGCAGATACAAATCTGACTTCTCATCACAACTCTTCATAAGTCCCCTCACCTGCTTCCTGCTTTCCACCAACTTCCTGATTTCCGTGGGCAGGACTCCTGGAGGCAGTCCCGAATTCAAGATGATGCCCTCATCGGACTTCCCGTCGGCGCCGGACTCCACTGGCTGATGACGTCAGCATTGTTTAACCCATCAATACTATCACCATCATTCTGGCATTCTTATCACCAGTTCATTCGTCCAGAGTCGTTACTCAAAGTTATTTGGAAAAATATTTTAAAATTTTCAACACAATGGCCTAGTGGTTAAGGTCGCCTGGTGCTGTTTTGCAGTGCGTGCAGTTACCAGGTTCGAATACGACAACAAGATTCCAGCCTATCACATGCGCCGTGTGGTACGTGTTCGTGTGCGATGTTTGTGTCGTGTTGTTGATTCCTCCGATTCTAGAAAGAGTGTAGCTGACCTCTAACCTTTAACCCTTTTCATCAACAAAGCATGGAGCTTGTGAAGGAGGGTTCATAGCAAAGTGAAGTGCAACGGTAACTTCGATCGAATTACGAGTGAGAAAAGAGAGGAAAAGACTGATATAAGAAACATTCGGTAGAAAAAAATTTCATAGATGAATCAAAAAGTTGACAAAAGGATGTAATGTCATGGAGATACTAAAATAAACAAACAAACGAACGAACGAACAGATGAACAAACAAACAAACGAACAAATGAACAAACAAACAAACAGACAAACACATATGCAATTGTTACTCACGTTGTTGGACGAAACGGTAGTGAAGCATATGTTATACTCTTGAATGATGGACGGATACAGACTGTTGAAATCCAATAAAAGAATGAAGTGGTCATAAAACCCTGCAAGGAATCAATAAAATCATAAAAAACAAAAAGAATACATACAAAGAAACCGGCACAGCTTAAACTAATCAGCAACACAACAGATAGACCTTGGCAGACAGACAACACAACAGACAGACCTTGGCAGACAGACAACACAACAGACAGACCTTGGCAGACAGACAACACAACAGACAGACCTTGGCAGACAGAAAACACAACAGACAGACCTTAGCAGACAGACAACACAACAGACAGACCTTGGCAGACAGACAACACAACAGACAGACCTTAGCAGACAGACAACACAACAGACAGACCTTTCTTTGGCTCGAGTACAAGTCCTCCTTCATAGGCAGGTTTCCTCCTTGAAGATTTGTTCATCTTAGCAGCTGCTACATCGTCGTCGTTGGCTTCTTCTTCCTCTTCCATCTGTTGTTAATTGAAAAACTGTCAAAATTATTATTGAGAGTAATTTTTTTATTATTCTTATTATTCTATTCTTTTATTATTCTTTAAAAATCAGGATCTGACAGACTCAGAAACTGTTGCAGCATGCAATACAGTAGTACAAAATTAAATGAATAAGTAAATAAATAAATAAAAAAACGGAGAAAGAAAAATGTTTTAACATGAAAAATAAAAAAAATAGAATAAAATAAATAATAATAAAATAAATAAAAAAAAAAAAAATAAATTGACAATAATTGCTGGTTTTTCAGTTATCTTTACACGACCACTTTGCCTTTGCCATTGTGAGCAATACAAAGTAGGATTGTTAAGTTTCTCTACTAACTATTTGCTTTGGGGCAAAATTTATAAACAAATCTGTTGTAGAAATACAGGTGAGTAAAACAACAACGTGCATGGCATCAGCAACAACGTAAACTCCAAACATATTATATTATAGTGGGATGTAGCCAGGTCTAAGTAATTGTCTGTAGACATGTTATAGACTACTAAACCAACAAAACCTCCAGACATATTATATTAAAGTGAGACGTTGCCGTGTCTACTAGATGTCTCGCCATGTCTACTAGATGTCTCAAAACTCATTATAGACAACAAGACCAACAACATTCTTGCAAGATAACTACAAACTTGTTTTGCTTTTTTATAGATCTTGTCTGGGACGATGAAGTTTTTGCTGTTGAAGGCATGCAGCAGCAAGTATTCGTTTCTCTCTGATCGACCACCCAACAATGTTCTCGACTGTTCATGAACGTTTGTGTCGTGTTGTTGTAGTGTTTGTTTGTTTGTATTGTGTTTGTTGTGTTCGTATTTGTTTGTTGTGTTTTTGTTTGCTTTTTGTTTGCATTGTGTTTGTTGTGTTCGTATTAGGTTTGTTGTATTGTGTTTGTTTTTAAGTTTGTTTGTGTCTGAGTGTTTAGTCAGAAAATGTGTGTTTATATTATTATGTTTGTTAGAGATTTTCTGTTTGCCTGTGATGGCGGGCATTAGATTTTCCACCAACCATGAGGTTTCCACAGATGTTGGTAATCTGGAGTGCGAGAGGCAGGATGTTGAGTTCGCACATGATCCTGAAGACGTACGAACAGTCAGCCATTCCGCAAGACATCAAATCCAGCAACTTCTCAGACGAGCTGGTGGCAGAAGCAAATGGGATAAGATGCTGGTGACAATTAAGTATCACAAACAGCGTTCATGAAGCGTACTTATGTTCTGATAACATTGTACAAGTACTAGCAGCAACAACAACAGCAACAACAACAACAACAGCAGCAGCAGCAACAACAACAACAACAAAAGCAACAGCAGGAACAACAACAAAAGCAACAGCAACAATAGTAAACAGCAACAATAACAGCAACAGCAGCAGCAACAACAACATTGTCCTAAAATCATTTTCCTGACTTAAGTTTTGCCACACCTCATGATAGCTTGCAACAAGAAGACAAACAGCTAAGACTTTGACTTACTGATATCATCTGATATCAAATCAACCTAAGGAACCTCAAAACCCAACTTCAACATCTCCACCACCATCTTCAGTACAAGGACAATCATTTCCGTTACTACTATCATCACCAACATCATCATCATCACCATCACTATCATCATCATCATCATCACTATCATCATCACCATCACCACCATCACTATCATCATCATCAGCAGCAACCTGAAGAGGTAGACAACATCTTTAACTTCCTCCACCATCTTCCTTCTCTCCTTCAAGACGTGATTGGTCAGCTCGGTCAGGTCGTAACTCCGGCAGCGAATGAGTTCTCGTGCTGACAGCTGGACATCGCAGAGCAGTCGACCAGCAAACATCATCTGTATCATGCGCTGGTTGTTGAATCCCTGCAGATGCGCGTGCGTGTGGGGGTTTTGGGTGGGGGACTGGTGACAGGTGGTGTGGATGGGGGGGGAGGTATAGAATTAAACTGAATGTTTGCAATGAATATATTCTTCTTCAGTATCGGCAACATTGCACTATATATACACATAAATATGACCTCTGGCATCATCATCACCAACACCAACATCATCATTACTATTACCACGACCACCATCATCATCATCATTACTACTACCAACACCACCCCAACATCATCATCATCATCATCAAGCACGTACATACTTTAGACATTTGGATTTGATTTCGCTTGAGTCGTCCAACCTTGGACCACTGTGACACTTTACACTTGTGCAGCCTGTGCAGCAAGACGTCCAGTTCAAACCCTGCAATGTCGTGCCCCTGTCAATGTGTTTGTGCGTGTGTGCCTATGTATGCCTGTGTGTGTGTGTGTGTCTACATGTGACGTATGTCTGTGAGTGTACGTTTGTATGCGGCTGTATGTGAAACGTGTTAGCGAGTTTTGACAAGTGCCCTCAAGCAGAACCCACAGCTATGACGTCGGGGTCGACTTTGCCGATCTTGATGGCGAGTAGGGTCAGCAGGGCTCTCTCACAGCCGACCATCTCCACTTTCATCTTCTTCATCTGTGTTGTGCATGCAGGGAGGTGTGCACTCGAATGAATCAATCGCTCGACAGAGAAACGTTTATTTTGTGCAAATTTATCAACAAATCAATCATGACCAAATGAATAAATGAAATAAAAAATGTAAAATATAACAAACAAAATGACAAACAAATAACAAGCAAGCACACATACAAACAAACAAACATATAAGCTAACACACAAACAGACAAGTAAGCTAACAAACAAGCAAACACACGCGCACACAAACAAACGAACAACGGCCTCTACCTTCTTTTCCATTTTCTCCTTCAAATCAAATGGAAAGACACAATTGTTCGGCTTGCTTATGGCTAACGCAAGTGGGAAAGTATTTTTTAAAATTAACATCAAATCGTTTGGCTATCGAAACAAACAAAAAATATTCTTTCATTTGAATTAAAGTGCAATCAATCAATCAACCAATCAATCAATTATTCAATCAACCAATTAATCAATCAATCAATTAACCAACCAATTATTCAATTAACCAACCAACCAATCAATTATTCAATCAATCAATTATTCAATCAATCAATTAACCAACCAAATATTCAATTAACCAACCAACCAATCAATTATTCAATCAACCAGTTAATAAAATAATTAATTAATTAATCAATCAATTAACAACCCAATCAATCAATCAATCAATCAATTGGATGAGTGCCAACCACAAAAGTGTTCCTGAAATGGAATTTTTGGAGCAACTTTATCAATCGGAAGTTTAGAGTTCACCAACATGGAGGCACCAATGATCTGATGATGATGATGATGAAGAAGATAACAATGATGGTGAAGAAGAAGATGGTGATGATATTGAGAAAGAAAGTAAAAGTTTCAATGATGACAATTGTGCACGACGCCAGTTAACACGTGAGGATTGAAGAATGAAGTTAGTGAGGGATTAAAAGAACACAAGCAATCAGGCCCGTCCACTGGTGAATCATCTTTACTTTCGAAGGCAGAAAAACTAACGAGTTCTTATTACAAATTTTGAAATTTGGGCGGTGTGACTGATGGCCTTGTGGTTAAGGTCGCCTGCTGTTGTTTTGCAGTGACCGGGTTCGAATATGACATGCTCCGTGTTTTTTAGGCGTCGCTAAGCACGTATCCAATAAATTCCTCTGAACTTTGGAAGAATGTTTAAGACTTTTTATTGTCGTTAGAGTGAATGTTCAGTCAAATGAGTCAGTACCAGCAAACGTCATCACACAGCAATCACAAACATCTTCACCAACGTTCCAGTAAGACCCCATCAGCCGACAACGCAATCACCACTGATGCCACTACCCTCACCAATGCACACTTCAGCAATTGTCACCCACCACTCCTCCCACCACCCACCTCATTCTCCTTGGTCTGCTGATTGACGTAGGTGATGAGTGAGAGGGACATGACGCAAATGTTTGGAGGGCAGGGCTGGTCGCTCGACACGACAACATCCTCAGGGCGGGTCAAGGACAGCTGCATGAATGACGGAACGAGTGAGTGTACGGAAGAATGAGTGAGAAATTGAGAAATCTGATTTTTTATTTTTTAATTTGTAAGCCATTCTCTTCATCTCATTAAAATCCTATACGTAAATCTCTCTCTCTCTCTCTCTTTCGTTTTCTCTCTTTCTCTCTCTCTCTCTCTTTCCTCTAATTTATTTATTTTATTATTTTAAATTACAAAACATAACAAAAAGGCAAAACTATCAAACACAATCACCTTACCAAATGAAGAGCAATAATTAAGCAGCCGACTGTTACATGATACGAATCAATACGAATCATGAAATATGAGAACATTAAAACAAATGCGTGATGTCGGACAGACAGACAAACAGACATGCACACAAATACGTAGACAGGCGAACATAAAGACAGAGAGACAGACATACTAGCAAACATACTAACAGGTATTGAGACATACAGAGACTGATATATAAACACTACAAACCTCAAAGGCACACCAAGTCACGGCGGGGTTGTTAGTTTCTGCAGAAGGTTTTCATTTCATAAGACAAATATGTTGAATAATAAATAATTTTTTGAGAGAGAATTATTGAATGTCTTGTAATGGCGCCTATGTAGTTTACGTAGTTACATAAAATAATACTTGTAATACCATGCTTGTACAATGTACATATACATATATAATATAAATATATATATTTATATGCAGCTGTTTGACCGAGGAGAAAAATGTTGATTAGACAATTGTGAAAGCAAAAGACAGAAAGGAGTTTATTTAGTGAGGAAGAAAGTAAAAACACAATAATTCAAACTAACAATGAACACACAAATACACTTATATTGAGAGAATCTAGGTGACAAAACATAGGCCACCTGCTTAAACAAACATACAACTACACAAGCAAGCAACCACACAAACATACAAACACACAACCACACTCACATACAAACACACAACCACACAAACATAATGGACTTGCTTAAGCAAATATACAACCATACAAGCAAGCAACCACACAAACATACAAACATTCGACCAACACAAACATGCAAACACACAAACATACAAACACGCAAACATACAAACAAGCAAACATACAAACACACAAACATACTGGACTTGCTTAAACAAACATACAACCATACAGGCAAGCAACCACACAAACATACAAACACTCAACCTCACAAACATAAAAACACACAAACATACAAACACACAGCCACAAAAACACACAACCACACAAACATACTGGACTTGCGAATGTCCAACCAGCAAGGTCCCTTCAGTCTCCTATCAATGAGAAAGATTTCGAGAGACGAGGTTGTCGTGCCAAATATTTCACTGAACGTTTCCCCACTGACGTTGTTTGGGATTTGTGCTTCCGTGGCCTGTTGTCGTTGATGTTTGTTGTATGCTGAATGTCGTAAACTCGAAGATTCAATGGCGTCTACTTACATATTTCATGTTTGTTTATTCATTTGAGGTAATACTTTTCACCATAAACTCCTCATAAATTAAATAAATCAAAACCATTCCAATTTCATTATTGAATCAAAATAAAAAAAAGGGCGGTGTCGAAAGATGGCGTGTGAAAATGAACCATTTAGTCAATCAGTTGCAAGTAGAAACACGGTCATATTTATCAGCAGCATCAAGAAGTCATTCAAATGGACAACAAAAACGAACAAAGACTACATTTAAAATAATGGTAACTTCAATCAAAATCATCTTACAATCGAGCTCAAGCAACTCAACATCACAAACATATCAGCAGTTGATTAAAACATAAAAGAGACAAGAGAGACAGGAGACTCACAGGGTATCTGACTTCCAAATAATCACTCTCCATTGGCACGTCGTTCTTCTCAAATGCATACAGCTTGCTGGATTTCTGGGAAGTTGTTGATTGGTTGGTGGGTGCCAAAAATATATTTCCATGTGATTTCAAAATGTAGTTTCTTTCAACTTGTAACAGTGATTGAAACTTATGTACAGTGTGCTTGCCAAAAAATTCATTGTTCAATATTTGATTTAATAATTGAATACCTGAGTGAATTATTTATATTAAAAATTATAATTTAAAAAATGTTTCTCCCATAAGAATTCAAATCAAAAACATTCAAAATTAGTGCAAGTTTCCTCATTTTGCAAGCAGAAACACAAACAATCAGACATACAAAGACTTAACAAACACATATAACTTACATATGACAGAACACATATAAACACATATAAACATACACATATAAACACACACACACACACACAACAAACATACATTCCAACAAACAGCCATCAGCCAGCTAACCAGCCAGCCAGCCAACCTTAGACTTGAAAGTCATGATGTTGTACTTGGTGGAAAGGTGCTTGTTGAATTCATCGTAGACATCGGCTATGCTGATTGCCTCATCTGTTGGCTGGCCATTCACTAATCTCTGTGGTGTGTTTGTGTGGTGTGTTTGCCTGGATGTTTGTGTGAATGTTTGTGTAGATGTTTGTGTGGTGTGTTTGTGTGGATGTTTGTGTGAATGTTTGTGTGGATGTTAGTGTGAATGTTTGTGTGAATGTTTGTGTGGATGTTTATGTGAATGTTTGTGTGAATGTTTGTGTAGATGTTTGTGTGGTGTGCTTGTGTGGATGTTTGTGTGAATGTTTGTGTGGATGTTTGTGTGAATGTTTGTGTGAATGTTTGTGTGGATGTTTATGTAGATGTTTGTGTGGATGTTTGTGTGGATATTACTAATTTTGAACAATGAAAATGTTGGGGTAAGAGGAAAAAACTAAAGACGGCACAATAATACAAACTAACAATCAATCAATCAATCAAGCTTCGTTTTGCGTCCAGAGACCCGGTTTCCCGAGGTAGGACGTAAAACTAACAATAAACACACATACAAAAACGACAACAGTATTACAAACGAAACCTAAACATAAAATTGTTGCTATCCAAATCCAAATACGTTGGACTGCATTCAAATTTCCTGGCAATATTCCAATGTGTTGAGGGTTTACATATTAAAATATAATGAATAGTAGGGAAGCTGATTGAGTATTGCTTGATTGAAAGCAATAAGGGAAGTATTAATGATGGTAACTGAAATACTAGAATAAGAAAAATAAAAAAACTGTAAACTTTGAAAAAAGATTATCATGAAAAACGTAAAAAAAAGGCCACCAGAGGGACCAGCAAAACAAAAATGTAAAGCGTCAGGTGAGATTTAAGATGACAAATGTCAATGGGTCAAACTTTCCACTGACCTTTGACCTGGGCAGAATGAAGATCCGCCTCTCAATGTTCCTCACAATGATGCAACAACTCTTGTGGCAGTTGGACGACTCCACCCACACCTTGCCGAACAAAAAAACAACACCTGCATCGTGGAAACAATTCATGCGTGGATTCTGTCTGCTGCATTAATAAACATCATTCAACCTATTCACTGATCATTATTGTTAATTTAACCTAATTTAACTCATGATTTCTAGAGAAGACACCTGCCGACTAACATTGGGTTATGCACGCTTTCCTAACATAATCCATTTATCAGCAATACTCTTTCTTGTGTCATATTTCATGCTTACATTTTAAGATTTTAAAATATATGCATGTTGTAAAAGTATTAGAGAATTTTCATTGCTATTATCATAAGAGGGCACATTGGGATTGATGCTATGGTGTATGAAACCTTTTTAACATCAACATGACATCATCATGACATCACTACACAACCAACAAGCTATGAGTGAGAAAGTTGGATTGCGGATGTTGAATTTTTTTTACAAGTTCCGGCTTGGTCCAGTTAGATGCAGTGAATGGTGGTTCAAGTTGCTTAGTAGGAAAGAGGATTGTTGTGACCTGACCAAGTTACAGTGACTCAACAGCAAATTGTAACATTCAATGTTTTGTGAGTCGTGTTGCTATTACAAGCAACATTTTATAACATAAGACTAATCACTGACAACCATCAAAACAGCAGCAGTAGCAGTTGAATGTGGAACAACACCAACCACACAATAAACAGATGGACCAACCAGGGTGTTTAAAATGGTCCTCAAACGCATCCAGCCAGTACATTTTGAGTACCTTCTCTCCATCGTCGTCAGTGACATACGACAACTCGTGTTTTTCTTCGGTGGTTGATGGAATTTCTGTGGTCAATATCCAACTGAGTTCGTTGTCAAAGTCAAACTGTTGTTGTTCTATTATTGGTTCTGCAGTTGTTGTCGCTGTTCGTGGTGGGAGCAGTGATGTTGTTGTTCGAGGTGGTTGTGTTTTGTTGGCATTTGAAGAAGGCAAACATGACGATGAAGATGTTGAAGTTGATGATGACAATGTTGATGCAGATGCTAATCTGGATGACGACGACGACGTTGATGTTAACAGTGATGATGATGATGATGCTAATGATGATGAATATAACGAAGAAGATGGTGTTAAACATGAAGAATGCGATGACAGAGAGGCTGGGGTTTCTCCGTCCAATTCAATCACTTCTTCTTTTTCAATTGTAATTTTCCTAGAAATTTTATTTATTTATTTAAATTAAAAACAAACAAATAAATGAATATATATACTGCCAGCAACAAAAAGAAATCAAAGCCGCAACAAAGCCAAAAAACAAACAAAAATTACATAAACAGTACGACAGTGAAAAACTGAACTCCAACAACAAACTGAACCACAAAAACAAACAGCATTAGAACAGTGCACCACCAACAACACCTCAGCAGCAACAACAACAACAACAACAACAACAGACTACCAAATTACGTTACCATTGGAAGCAACTCAAGAGGATAAGTTGAATATGCATCTTGGGTGGAGGTTTTGTGGTAGTTTTTAACAAATTTACAACAATTGCAACTAAATTTTTTTTTGCCATTTAAATAAAACGTCATCCTCATTACAATGATACAGACATTTTGGGTTAGGGCCATGGTGTACAAAAATTTTTGGGTTAGGTATATGGATGGATTTCTGGTTTTGCACCATGACCAACCTATTGAACGCTGGTTCTTTGTGCTTCTTGAGGCGAACCGGTGTTGGTTGGATGATGTCTTCATCTTTTTTCATTTCCTCCATCAATCCCATCAACAAATCATCCTTCTCTAGGTCTGCACTTGTCTGGTGCAATCAATCAATCCATCAATTTATCAATCAATCAGTCAATCAATCAATCAATCAGTCAATCAATCAATCATTCATTCAATTAATCATTAACCTCATAAATGATTCTATTAATATATCATACAGTCAACTTATTCATTCGCAAGCAGATGATTAATTTAAAATTACAAATAAATTTACATTCCAGGTAATAATTAATCCCACCTCCCACATATGTATATAACATCTTACAAGAAGTTTCAAACTTGCACATAAACAAACATACAAACACACATAGAGAGATGCACTTACAGTATGCAAAAAATACACAAATGCACGTACTTCAACTTTTTTCTTGGGTTTTACCGCAGCAGCTGCAAACAAGCTCTTAATGTTCGATGGTTTGGAATTCGGTGGTCGAATGTTCGGGTTGGTCGCCAATCCTGCTGGGTTCTTCTTCTGGGTTTTTGTCTCTGAAGAATTTTCAACATTTGTAACTTTTGTAACACTTGTAAAATCTGTAACATTTGTTACATTTGAAACATTTCTAACGTTTGTAACATCTGTAACATTTGTTACATTTGTAACATTTGTTACATTTGTAATATTTGTTTCATTTGTAACATTTACACAAATGGTTCACACTCAGGTTACTCTGATTCTATTCAGAGTTGGATTAAAAACTCTGATTGTTTGTTCAGCCTCAAATCATACATCTAATTTTATAAATTACATCTCCATGTATGTTTATTATAGATCATTATTTAAATTGAATATACAAATTCATCATCAATAAAATAAGAAGTGCCACTAATTGCTTCAAAGCAAAGAAGCCAGTAGCCACAACATGCTACAACAGCATAATATAAATAACAGAGAAACGTGATAGAGATAAAGTCAGGATGGAGAAACAAGTTAGTCAACCCGCATCAACCTGCATACAACTTAAAAATTAGAAGCAGCTGTAGCATGCAATAATGGATGAATGGATAGATCTTTGACTTACTCTTCATTTGAGGCTCATCATAGATGTCCTCGTCAAACAGCTCCCTGCCATCTTCGACGTAACCCGACCCATCTGCCGATCAGGTTTAATCATATTAATAAATTAATATCACAATACTGCAATGATGTTGAGTTAATATTTGAGAGTATATCAGTTAATATTGCAATAACTTGAGTTTTAATTTAAAGACGTCATTAAATCAAGTTGAAATGGCGTTATCCCAGGACTTGATTAATTATTAATTAATTTTTTGTTTTTTCTCTCTTGTTGGGGTATGGGGATGTTCAGTTTGTGCCCTTTACTAATAAACTATTATTTATTTATTTATTACATATAATAAAATTTCATGTTGGAATGAAAACTTGTTCATAGTGTAACAGATGTATCCTTTTATGAACTCATGCTTTGCACCAACTACCTCAACATTATTTTCTCCAACAAACGAAGAAATTAATAAATAATTAAAATAAATATTAATAAATAGCAAATTGAATAACAATAATAAATCAATCAATCAATCTATAATAAGAATAAAATATGAATAAATAATAATAATGAATAATAATAAAAATAATAAAATAATGAATAGAATACTATAAATAGTTCAAGCTGTAAAATAAAAATGAAAAAAAATTATATAATTATAGGAGAAAAAGTTCACCATCAATAATCCAGTCATCTTCCTGCCGGTTCCTAACGATCTCCGAGTACTCTGACTCATCGACTTCATCGTAAACGTTCTTCTCATTCAGAATCTGGAAATCGCATTTATATTATTAATTATATTATTATATTAATTACATTATAATAAAAAGATAAGTTATAGAAATGAAACCATTAAAAAGATATGTAAAGATATTTTTTAATACTAAATAATACTGCTGTGAGCTATCTTCACTTTATTATTATAAATCTCAAACATATTGACCTATTTTCAATAATCTGAACTACACAACAAATTTTTTTTTGTTGAAAATTTACCTAATATGACACCCTGCAAGAAATGGAATAAATAAATGCACGAAAAAAGAATGGATGAAGAATAGGAAACATATTACAACCATATAAATAAATTTATTAATTACAGGTTAAGAAATTAAATGAACGTGAACATTCATTTTGTTTAAAGACAAATTAGTATGTTGAATTCCATTATCATCGAAAGTGGGAGATTTACACACAAAAAAACACAAACATTAGTAGACAAGTACCAAGATGTATCTACAGAAAAGTCAAACAAAAAACATCTATAAACATCAAGGAACATTTTCATACAAACATGAAAAAACAAACATTTACATATAAGCATCAAAAAGCATTCATAATAACGATAAAAATAAAGAAAATGAAATATTGAATGAACTTCTCACGTCTGGCCTGAACTTCTCACCAGCCAGTTTGGCTTCTTTCAACTTGGCCAATGCCGCAAACCTCCCATGCCTATCGGATTTCTCTCTTTTTGATCTGTTTCGTGCAAGACTGTAGTCTGCAAGAATAATAAAATAAAATAAATTCTATTTTATTTTTTACTCGCTGAACTGACAGCTGGCAGTCGAAAAACCAAACACAAACACCTCTAAAAAAGTCTAAACTAAATAGACAAGTAGGATTTTATCCTTAATTTCATGTTTTTGTCATAATCATAATATCATATTGACAGGGTGGTTCTCACACAGAGCCATCTACTGGACCACTATAAAATTTGCTATGCTACGTCAGGTTAAAAGTATGCAAGTGCAAAGCCACCAGCGGGGAAATATTTAGTATAAATCCGAAATTTTGTGAAACGAAATGTGAGCCAGTCAAACGGCAAAAGAAACTAGCCTACGAACCATGTTATAATATTATAACACTATTTTATTAAAAATACAAAATAACCTGAATTTTCATCCATTCTGTAACAAAAACCTGGAAATTTTTGCCAAAATTTATGTGCGATTAGTTAATTTAGCCTGTGGCTATCTCCTTAAACCTTAATCTTCCTCAGATATTAACAACTATTGTTGAAATAAGGCGGGAACGAAAAGGAAACTTAAGAATAAATGGATCACAGAGATTAGATTGCTACTAAACGCCACACGTATCACACACACAACACACACACACGCACGCACGCACGCACATACACACACACATACATACATTTATATATACACACACATATGTAGACGTATATACATATATATAATAACATCTTAAACATCGACGGACATGGACATAACTTCGCTCTTAGCATAATGCTTAAAGTGTTCAATTGTAAGTTGCAATTGGTTATGCATAGCTAAAGCGTTCCAAAGTCTAACTCCCTTAGCAACCCAACTTCTATCGTAAGTAGAAGTTCTAACTTTTTTTGACATCAACATACCATGTTGTCTGGTGGCCGATGTGATCTTACAAAAAACATTTAGGTGCTTATAATCGTTATAAGAAAGAATTTTATAAAGAAAAATCAGAAGAATGTAATTGTGTAATTGATCAAACCTAAGAATTTTATGACTTCGGAACAAATGATTGGTGTGATCACGATAACTTAAGGAGAAACACAGGCGTATAAAACTCTTTTGCAGCACAATGATCTTATTGATTAGATATTTACTTGCGGATCCCCAGAAAACATTCCCATACAGCAGATAGGGATATAGAAAAGAATAATAAAGCATCATCATTGTTTCAGTATCCAATCTGTTTCTCGCTTTAAATAATATTCCAATAACTTGATACAATTTATTGACTATTTTGTTAACGTGATTGGTCCATTTTAAATCACTTTGAAGTATAACCCCCAAAAATTTTATCGATTGCACTCTTGGGAGCACAGTGCCCTGAATGAACAATTTATTTTTTTCTAGAATTTTGTTATTAGTACTTATTTTAGGGCCAAATATAATATAACATGATTTACTTAAGTTCAATGCCAATTTATTTTTCAAAAACCAATCACAGAATTTTTGGAGCTGACGATTCATTTCTAGGAACAATTCATTTGGGTCTTTTCCCGACAAAAAAATATTGGTGTCGTCGGCGAACAGGATTGTAGTACATTTATCTGATATTGAAAAAATATCATTTACAAAAATTATAAATAATAGGGGGCCGAGTATCGAACCTTGGGGCACCCCTGTTTGAATTTTAAACGGAGGAGACACTACATTATCAACTGAAACAAACTGACTCCGATCAGATAAATACGACCTGAACCAGTCAAACACAACTCCACGAAAACCGTACATCGACAACTTTTGTAGCAAAATTTCGTGATCAATTACATCAAAAGCCTTTTTTAGGTCAATGAAAACACCCAGGCTAAATTTTTTCTTATCGAAACCCTCCAAGAGAGACAAATGCAAATTTATATATATATATATATATATATATATATATATATAAATTCGTCATTTAGTTAAAGCCTAGAATTTAGTTATGTAATTTTTTTACCTTAATTTAGTTACCACTACACGGTTCAACTGATCATTACAACAAATTTCGTTACGAACATGATCATATATATGGATGAGCACATAACTAGAATAATATGGAATATCATGTAGTATAATACTACATGAATAGTTAACGAAACATGAAAAGTGAGAAAATTTTCAAGATATATTCATTTTCTTACATTTTTCTTAGGAATTTTCAATTTATTGAGTTTAGGTTTTTTTCATCAACTTTAAAATTTTGTTGTTCATCTTCATTTAAAGTATTCGTACAGTTCTTTCAGAGGCGTTGTTTTTGTAATTTGTATCAAAATATGCATTGAAATTTGTCGTTAACTTCGGAAGATTCTTTTGAGAGAAGAATTAAAATGGTAAAGAATTTAAAAAACTCAAAAGAGTTGAAGAAACCTTAAAATTGTTCAATGGTAATGGAAATAAATAGGGACAAAAAAACCATGGATATGATCTTTGACGAAGTCGTTTATGGTTGTAGTTATGACATCTCAATTATAACTTAAAATGAAATTAGAATGAGTTCGTACATTAACGTACGTATTATAAAATCATTCATAATGTTTTTATATCCATGAAAAATACGTATAGTATCTATGTATGTGCATATGAGAGGCTGGAGTCCAGGGCTATAAGATCAGAAGATGTATGGATAATGGGAAAATGCATTGTGGTTATCATCTTCTTAGTAGCTCACCTCTAAACCAAACTACTACAACTCCAGCATGTGCATTTAAGATTGATTGAAATGCAATAAATACCCCTAGAGTTGTAGAAGCAAATTCAACTAGTGAAGTAACATAACTATAGTTAAAAAGTCATCGAGAAAGTTTTAAGGTTTTCAATTGATTTTTAAGTAAATTTTAAAATAATCCGATGTTACATTATTACAGGACCTGCGTTTGCTCGTGTGCTTATTTTATAATTATTTTATTTTTCAAAATCATCAATGTAAATCTTGTTGAAACAGTTTTATTTTGAATAAGTACGGCATAAATTCTAAAAATGGCCAATTAAGTTGAGTTAACGATTCAGTTCATGCAGCTTTGAAAAGAGTGGAACGAATAAAATAAATATTTGAAAAATAAAATTTTGGAATGTTACAATTACATTGCAAATGCTACATATAGTTTTTAAAACACAAACCCTAACCAGAAACGAACACCGCACACACACGCATACACACCACAACACACACATACACACTTTGATCCGATGGAGCATATTTGCACCAAAGCTTCAGCAGTGAGGACACCTTCCACACGGCTAGTGACTAACCTGGAGGGCCCAAAACAAAGCAGGAAAAAGTTATTGCCATCAGCGATCACGATGGTGTTAACATACGGAATATGTTAGTGGGCCTATGTTTTCAGAACCCCCCACCATTATATCGCTTGAACGCTTTGAGTGCATTCGGTGCTGTATGTTAAGACGTGACGTTATCGACCGGTTTCTGCCCATGACAATCTTGAAAGAGAGGAACGACATGGCATACCTCGATAGCAGGGGCTGTTGGCGGACACACCGGCTTCTACCTATGCCACAGGTAGATGCTTGGCTGAACGGAATTAACGGTGAAGCCAATTACCATATAACAGATGTTTTCAGCATGTGACTCTTTCACGGCACGTCTTTATTACCTCCAACACAGAAACACAAACACAGAGAAAATACAAGTTGGTAATAGCACGCATCTCTGATTAGTAGCTGATGCCTTTGATACGTACTGTAAACCAGACAGTCTAATAAGTTGACTTGCAAATTTGATTATATAAAAATAGCTGAATGACAAAACGATCTTACATCTTTTAAGTTGAGCATACACAATAAACAGAAACACACATGCACTTACATTTGTATCCATAATTAACAATTTTCAAACGAAAGATGCGCTAAAATAATGCTGGCATCCATCTTTCTATTCCAACATTGTTCTGCTAAGTTTGTATTGATGTATAAATTTAATCAGTTCGTGCATCCAACCATGCTAATAAAATGCAACATATTCACATTGAACATTGATGTTATCGTATTAAATTAAATTAAAATAAATTATTTGTTACATATGTACAATTATTTCGGGTTTGAGCATTTAATACAAATTGCGCGTAAAGTCCGCGCTGGAGTGTCGGTTACACTTTCGTTTCGGGTCCGTTCGTACCGGAGATCTTTTTTTGAAAAAATTTTTGCAAGTTGGAGTAGTAGCGATGTAGGATGGTCGGAATGGCGTCTCTGTACCACTCTGTCGAATGCCCTCTGAAATTTTTTAAAAAGTAAGTTTCGTAATAAATTAGATCATCACAACAACAATAGTGTGAGTCCATTTAAACTTTCTTGCTTGCGTATACCACCGACATACACTAGCCAATCAGATCCATTCAATAAAATGCAATGCTATAGAAAAATAAAGTACATTAGCTATCACAAACAACCATTAATTTAACACTACAAAATAACAATCAATAATCAATTTTTTGGTATAAAAAAAAAAGTTTGAGAAGAAGTTCCAGAGAAAAAAACCAAAAAAACTACAGCAAAGATAGTATAAGAGTGATGAACAGAAACTATAAAAATAATTTTTGATAAATATCTAGAAAATGAAAAGCCTGATTGTTAAGGTTAACCATGGCACAAAATGAGCAACCAGTAGGAAGAAACTAACAGAAGATCAAGAGTGAGAATGTGCGTCAACTGTGCGTAGCCCTCTCCACACGGTTCTATGTAGACGTTTGATTCCATGCACTCCACCAATGGACACTCAGAATCATCATCGTCATCACCTTCATCATCGTTATCACCTGTAGAATGATTGTTATCATCACGTGATGTCATGTCATCTCCATCGTTGACACGTGTCTCAAAGCTTTCCTGCCTCCGAATGTTCCTGATGGTTGCCGATGAGATGGCTTTTGAGCAGAGGAAGCATGCTTCTTTCTTCAAATTCGTCTTCCAAATCCTATTAAATAAAATTTTGTTGCGTTAGTCATATGTAGAGTAGAAATATCGACTTGAAAGATATGCTGCTTATCGCGACTGTGAAACGTTCAAAAATAAATTTCAAAGTAATTGTTTGAATTGTGTGCGGCTTGAATGTGAAACGACGTGTGATGAACTCACATCAGCTCGTATATCTTCCTCCTGTCGCAGTGTTTATAAAATACTCGCCCCTCCCCCTCCTTCTGCCCCCCACCACCACCCCCACCCCCACCACCACCACTTCCTTCCTTCAGCTCCCAGCAGCCCAGGGCGAACTTGTAGAACATGATGTCGACGTTGTCGTTGATGACCTTCCTGTTGACGGAGTGCTTCCGACCGAGCACCTGCATGCTCCAGGGCCATCCGAGCTGTCGAATCTGTTTCAAAACTTCGATCGGAGGGGCAAGAAGTTCCACCTGACACCGGAAGAAAGGCCACGAAGAAGATGAAGATGAGGAGGATGAAGATGAGCAGAAGATGAGAGACATCGGGGAGGAGGCGAAGATTTCTTTTTCGCTCAAGTTGCTTTCTATCAGTAGTTGGTTGGTTATCTTTGCTGTCGATTTGTGCTTCGAGGTGCCTGCTTCTCGAGTTGTCTGACACGCTCCTGCCCAAGATATGCTCTGAATTTCATTCATGGAAACGTTTTTGAATCTTTGAAATATTATTTGCGTGAAAATCATTTCGTTAAGAGTAATTATCTTAGAATGGGATTAAAAATTTAAAACAAGTTAGCTCATTTTATAAATATTTGACGAAAAGTTGATTGATGACTGGTGCTCTTTGAACTTCGTCATTTTCATAAAATAAGGTATGCCTGCTTTAAGTAAAATAATGTTGATGTTAAAAAAATCTGCGTTTATCTAAGCCGAGCAGAACACACTTGAATCATAATTGAACTCAGCTTAGTGTTGAATTCATGAAGCCAGTAAACTGAACATACTTCACTTTATTTACACAAACCTAATTTGCTGTTTACGTGTTTTTAGAGTCAGTTAAAATTTGACAGAATAAAAATCGAAGAGCTTTGAAGCCTGGATGCATGCGATGAACTTCGAAACGAACACACGACACGAAATGACTACTCACTGAATGAAACAACAACCTTATTGATGTTGAACGTGACAATCTTCGCCAGATCCTCGTAGCCATCCGCGACTTCAGGCCTCTGACGACTCTTTGAATGGTTGAGGTGCTTCCTCAGACTAAGGATCTCGGTGACTTCTGCCTCATCAAACACCTTCCAAACAACACATGCGTCAAATTTTAATATAGTAATGTATCACGAAGAACTTCATTGGTTCAAATCTGGTGTCGTAATAATGTGAACTAACTAAAAAAGTTGATAACTGGAGATATCGATTTAATAACAATCTGAA